CCGAGCTGGGACTGGAGCCAGGCATTCTGATGCAATCTGCAGGCATCCCAAGCAGCAAGTTAAGCACTATTCCGAGGCCTGTGCTGTGACACAGTGGGTTTCAAGCCTCTGGCTAGAGTGCAACAGTGAACAAAGCCATTGCCTGGGACACCTGCATCCCATGTAGGCACCAGTTTGCGTTCTGTCTACTCTGCTTGCAATCCAACTTCCTGCTAATGTGCCTGGGAAAGCAACAGCAGATGGCTCAAATGCTTGGGCCCCTGTCACCCACGTGGGAGACCCAGCTCTTAGCTTTGGTCTGTCACTGCTCTGGCTATTGAGGCTATTTGGGGTGAAAAGCCTCAGATGGAAGATCTTACTTTGTTTCATCCTGTCTGTAACTCTGATTTTGCACAAATACATACATCGTTAAAATAAAACAGGGGCCAGCCAGTGCAGTGGCACATCATGCCAATCCTCTACTTACAGTGCCAGCATCCCAGATGGACATGGATTAATATCCCGGCTACTGCATTTCTGATCTAGCTCCCTGGGAAAAGAGCAGAGCGTGGCCCAATTGCTCAGGACTCTGTATCCAGGGATAAACTCTATCTCCTAGCTGCTGGCTTCAGATCGGCTCAAGTCCAGCATCTGTAGCCGTTTAGGGAGTAAACCAACAGAAGGAAGATCTTTTCTCACTCTGTCTTTCCTTCTCCCTGTGATCTCACAAGTAAAGATAAATAAATCTTTAAAAATAAAAATATTTTAAGTGAAATAAACCAAAACACTTCACCCAATACCTACCCCTTAGAAATTTTCTGAACAGAAGTCGAAAGGGCCAGCTGACACAGTTTACACCACCGTACTTTCTTTTTTCTACAGTATTCTTGGCTTGTAAATGCTTGTGGGTTATGTAAAAACTTTCAGACGTGGGGAGCATCTTCGGCAGGTGTGAGACTCAACTCAAGCCCTAAGCGGAGGACGTGGTGTCACTGTCCCGTAAGAAAAGACAAAATGGAGAGAACCAGAAAAAGATGCAACACTTTGCACTGTTTTCTACGCAAGTACTTTTACTTCCTTCAAATGGGTGCCATCATTTGCCCAGAAGAGTCCATGGTCAATTTCTTTCAACTGAGCTCTAAAAGTTGCTTTACAATGAATCTGACAGGCCCGGTGCAGAGGCCCAATGACTAAGTCCTTGCTTTTCACATGCCAGAATCCAACATGGCTGCTCCACGTCCCTTTCAGCTCCCTGCTTATGGCCTAGGAAAGCAGCGGAGGATGGCCCAAGGCCTTGGGACCCTGCAACCATGTTGTCGATCCAGAAGAAGTTTCTGGCACCTGGCTTCAGATTGGCTCAGCTTCAGCCACTGTGGCCGGAGTGAACCAGGGGGGTGAACCAGCAGATAGAAGATCTTTCCCTCTGTATCTTCCTCTCTCTGTAAATCTGCCTTTCCAATAAAAATAAATAAATCTTTTTAAAAATAATAATGAATCTGGCAAGTCTAAGACATGTGGGTCCCCAGTGACCAGCCCAGGGAGTGTCAATTGGCTTCTCCACCAAATGTTTTACAGGCACTGAAGGACAACCTAGGAGTCCAGCAGGTGCCCGGGAAAAGCAGCCAGCTTGCTTTGCACGTGGCCCCTCATCTTGGAAATGAAGACCTGCTCTGTAACCCTGAATTCTTTGGATGGATTTTGTTTCCATGAGGAAGAAGCAATTCTAGAATGAAACATTCAAGACCAAACTAATTTTTTAAAAGATTTATTTAAATAGATCTTGCAAAAAAAAAAAAAAAGCTGTTAAAAAGAGAAAATACAAGGGGCCCAGTATGATGGCACAGTGGCTAAATCTTACTCTTGTAAGCACCAGGATCCCATAGAGGCTCCGGTTTGAGTCCCAGCTGTTCTACTTCCTCCTGGGAAAGCAGTAGAGGATTGCACAAAGTGGAGGGACCCTGTACCTGTGCAGGAGACCCAAAAGAAACTCCTGGCTCCTAGCTTTGGATCATTTCAGTTCCAACTATTGTGGCTACTTGGGGAGTGAATCAGTGAACAGATGATCTTTCTCTCTGTCTCTCCTTCCCTGTTGCAAATCTTCCATCTGTAAATCTGATCTACCTTTCCAATAAAAGTAAATCAAGAAAGAGAGAGAAAGACACAAAGAGAGTTACACAAGAAACCAAAATAGAAATTTACCTGTCCACCTTGTCTTCTTGGCCTTTCCTTTGTAGTGTGAAGGATCTTTAGTCAGTTCATTTAACACAGCAAATCACAGAAGCTATCAAGAGCCAAAAGGCATGGTGCACAGTATTCCTTCTGCTCCTTGCTCTTATGCCCAGGCTACAGTTGGGGAAAAGGAAGATCACAACCAAGGAGTGGCACACAGGAGTTGACTGATTTCCTGGAAGCTCTTCTCACTCACTCTGTGTACATTCATTGTTTAAGATGTTCATTTTTTTTTTTTTGAAAGTCATCTATACAGAGAGGGGAAGAGATAGAGAGGAAGATCTGTCTGCTGATTCACTCTCCCAAGTGGCCACGATGGCAGGAGCTGACCCTATCTAAAACCAGGAGCCTCTTCCGGGTCTCCCACATGGGTGCAGGGTTCCAAGGCTTTGGCCACGCTTACTGTTGCCCAGGTCAGAAGCAGGGAGCTGGATGGGAAGTGGAGCAGCCAGGATTAGAGCTGGAGTCCATACGGGATCCAGGCGCATTCAAGAAGAGGAATCTAGCACTTGGCTATTGTGCCAGGTCCAAGATGCTCATTTTTTTTTCTTTTTTTTTTTATGACACAGTTTAACAGGCACTGGATTCTTCCCTCCCACTGCCTATGATCCCTCCCCTCCCCCCGTTCTCCCCTCCAGTCTTACAATAGGTGTCTTTTGTGTACCCTCAGAAGTCCATTTTACTGCCATTGAAGTGTCTCTCAACAATGCAGATTATCTGCCATTTCACTGTGTTTCCATTATACATAAGTGTTATACACTGTGTTTCCATTATACACAAGGTGCTCATTTTTACATGATACATTAACTCATTTACTTGAGGGAGATCTTTCATCTGCTGGTTCATTCTTCAAATGATTATAACAGTCAGGGGCTTGCCCAGGCTAAATTTAGGAGCCACGACTGCATTCAGGTTTCCCACATGGGTGTCAGGGACCCAGGTTTTTGGGCCATTATCTGCTACTTTTAAGCACAATGCAGGGGGCTGGAGGGGCAGCTCAGGAAGAATTAGATCCCAGGTATTTGCATATGGGATGAAGCATTTCAAGTGATCCCTTAACCCACTGCTCAATAATGTCCTCCCCAGCACAATTTTTTTTTTTGCAACACAGTTATTCTTTTTGCTTCTTGACTTCCTCAAACACATTTAACAAGAGGTATTATATGCCAAAAATACAGCTGATCAGAAGAGAGGTAAGGCTTAAATTCACACCATTCTGCCTCCCTGGAAAAAGAGACAATCAAAAGAGAAATAAGGATACAGGCAAAAACGAAAGTTTACTAGCTATAATTATTAAAATTCTATAGGACAAGAATCATCTAAAAATAAAGAAAATGTAGTGATAGGATAATCATATGTGTCTACACAAATATATACACAGTAGGCAGAGAGCCATAGAATATAAGAAATGAAAAGAATTATAAATGAGAAAACTTCAGGTCCACACACAGGGTTCATGTTAAAATTCATGTCCAGGAGCCCTGATTCCCAGGCAAATGCTGTCAGGGCAGGACAAAGGAATTATGTTGTTCTCTTCAGCATTTCAAGTCTTCGGTGAAGATCTTCAAAGTCAACCTCTTCAGTATCACAGGGGTCCAAGGACAGGCTCGCTGGAGCTTTCCCAGCAGGAAATTCAGGCAGCATAAACTTCTCGAAACCAACCTGACCTCCTGATCCTGGCTCAGAAGGTTGAGGGTTGCATCCTGGACCTATTCATTTCAGCAAACATAAATCAAAGTCATGAAAACTTTACAAAGAAACCCCAACCTGAAAGAAAGTAGACCACTTACAGGTGTTTTGTTTCTGGTTTGGGGTTTTGGGGTTTTTTTTTTTTTTTTTTTAATTCTCGGTTTTTGAGACTGCAACTCATACCATGCCTAGAAGACTGCACAATACTACCATCACACAAGCAGCGGTGCTAGTTATTATTTGTTTGCAATCTTCAAGGGCAAATCTAGACTTTTTTAAAAGGCACAGTTTTTCAAAACTTGTACTAGGATGATGGAGTGTGGTGGTAGTTTTATAGCTTGTTTGGTTAAAGTCATCTTTGCAATCTGGTGAAAACAGCAAAATAATTCCCTACAAATACAAATAAATATTGCCTAACACTATCCAGTATTTTGGTAGACTCCAAACTAAGAAATCCTGGCCTGGGCCCTGCACTATGGCTCAGTGGCTAAATTCTCTCCTTGCAACCACAAGGATCCCATATGAATACCACTGATCCATATAATGGCTGCTCATCTTCCATTCCCTGTTATGGTCTGGGAAAGCAGTGGAAAATGGTCCAAAGCCTTGGGACCTTGTACCCAAGTGGGAGACCGGGAAGAAATTCCTAGCTCATTGCTTTGGATCGGTTCAGCTTCAACTGTTGCAACATCTTGGGGAGTGAGCCGGTGGATGGAAGATCTTTCTCTCTGTCTCTCCCTCTCTCTATAAATTTGCCTTGCCAATAAAAGTAAATAAATCTGCAAAACAAACAAAACAGAATCCCAGGGCTAATTCAGATTAAAGACCTTAGCACAGGAAGTTGGTCTATTTGCATTAAACCAGGTTCATAGTACTGACATTTTTAATGGGAGTAGCTTTATTTTCCTATCAACCTTGAATTTCCAAGTTTTGGAATCTCCTGGACATTGTTAGTAAGTTCATCCCTCCTGAACTGTATCATGAATTTCAAAACATTATCCACATGTGAATTGAAAAACTTCCAGCTACTGTAAAAGAATACACCATACCCCCAAGTAAATCACTAATACACATCTATTATTCATTCATTGAGCCACGGTCCTCTGTTCATTGCACAATCACATATACTAAAAGTGGAGCGATACAGAGAAGATTAGCATGGCCCCTGTGCAATGAGACATGGTCTTACACCAATACAGACACCTTTAATGAACATGAAGCGACCCCCAAGTCCAGCAGCATCCTCTATACTTACGAGGAGGAAGTGAAGGGAGGAAATCATTCCTCTTGCACACATTATTCTGCAAGAAAAAAAAGATTCCTGACAGTAATTGGTCAAGTTTCCATTACATATTTTTCACATAACAAGCCTTAAAGAAATATTTCTTAAAATTACCTGGAAATTCAGCTGGTTCTGTTACAGTCACGCTTCCTTCTTCTTGGGGTAAACTTTATATGGTTTTTGAATTAGCCTTTTCTTTTTTTAATATTTATTTATTTTTATTGCAAAGTCAGATATACAGAGAGGAGGAAAGGCAGAAAGGAGGATCTTCTATCCGCTGATTCACTCCACAAGCAGCTGCATCAGCCAGAGCTGTGCTGATCTGAAGCCAGGAGCCAGGAGCCAGTATGTGTGTGAGCTGGATAGTAGGGCTGGTTGGGTTGAGCTAGGCTTCAGTGCCCATTGACATGTATGAGAGCTAAATGGGATGTGGGACAGACTGAACAAGTCTGCGGTACATACTGGCAAGCATGTTAACCAGGGTGGGGGCAGGCCTGGTGGGGTTATGGGGAGTCGCCCCAACTAGGCTGCAACTCCCACTGGTTTGTGTGAGGGCAGTTTGAAGTGGGCAGGATCAGGCTGGACTGCAGCATCCATTGGTTCGCATAGAAGACAGGGCAGGAAACAGAACTGACCCAGCAATTGCAACGACCAGCATGTGCATAAGCTGATTGGGGTGACCGACTGTGCCAGACCCTGTACTGGCAAGCACACACAAGAATCAGGTCTGGGATCATCTCAGATGAAGTTTTTTGCTTCAGTCAATGAGGCCATTCGGGGAATGAACCAGAATATGAAAGAACTCTCTTTCAGTCTCCCCTCTCTGTAAATCTATCTTTCAAATTAAAATAAAGGGCCCGGCGCGGTGGCGCAGTGGTTAAGGTCCTCGCCTTGCACGCCCGGGATCCCATATGGGAGCCAGTTCTAATCCTGGCAGGCCCACTTCCCTTCCAGCTCCCTGCTTGTGGCCCGGGAAAGCAGTTGAGGATGGCCCAAAGCCTTGGAACCCTGCACCCACATGGGAGACCCCGAAGAGGCTCCTGGCTTCGGATTGGCTCAACTCCAACCGTTGTGGCCGCCTGGGGAGTGAATCATCGGACGGAAGATCTTCCTCTCTGTCTCTCCTCTCTCTGTATATCTGACCTCCCAATAAAAATAAAATGAATCTTAAAAAAAATTAAATAAATCTTAAAACAAGGATGTGAGAACTGTTAACATTAAAGTATGGGTATCTACAAGTTCCTCATCTCATTCCCTTTAATACTGTATACTTAAAGTTTTATTTGCAAATTGGAGGACTCAGATGCGTAAAAGCCTAACAAAAATGATGTATCATTCAAATAATTTTTTAAATGTATTTTTATTGGAAAGGCACATTTGCAGAGAAAAACAAAGACAAAAAGATTCTCTGATTCACTTCTCAACCGGCAGCAATTGCCAGAGCTGAGCTGATCCCAAGCCAGGAGCCAATTGTTTCTTCCAGGTGTCCCACAAGGTGGAGCGTCCCAGGGCTTTGGGCCAACCTCCTCTGCTGCTTTCCTAGGCCTTAAGCAGGGAGCTCGAAGGGAAGTGGAGCAGCCAGGACATGAACCAGTACCTATATGACATCCTGGGTGCTTGAAGGGAGAGGGATAGCCAACTGAGCCATTGTACCAGGCCCCTGAAATAATTTCAAAAAGGGAAATCAGAGGTAGTTTGTGTAGTTTCAGAAGGGTTTGGCTGTATGGTTTAGTAGAATAGAGCCTCCACCTTCTGTGCTGGCATCCCATATGGACACCAGTTCATGTCCTGAGTTCTCCATTTCTGATCCAGCTCCCTGCTATGGCTCAAGTCATTGGGCCCCTGAACCCATGTGGGAGACCTGGCTTCTGACTGGCTCAGCTATAGCCATTGTGGCCATTTGGGGAATGAACCAGCAAATGAAAGACTTTCTCCCTACCTCACCTTCCCTGTAAAATCTTCCTTTCCAATAAAAATAAATAACTCTAAAAAAAAAAAATCTTAAAAAAAGAGCTTTAGGGTCAGAAAGAATAAGAGCATTTGTCTTTATGATGAAGAAATAATCATAATAGATTATTGTGCCTATTGTTGTTTAGACTTAAAAAAAAAGCTTTATTTTATTTTAATTTTATTTATTCCAAAGGCAGAGTAATTGAGAGAGGGAGAATCAGGTCTTTCTGTTGCTAATTCACTTCCAAAATGGCTGCAGCAGCCAGGATTGGGCCAGGCTGCAGCCAGGAGGCAAGAGCTTGTGTACGCGGGTGCAGGGCCCAGACCTTGCATCATCCTCCCTACTTTCCCACATTAGTAGGGAGCTGGATGGGAAGTGGGGCAGCCAGGAGTAGAACTTGCACCCAAATGTGATGCCAGTCCTACAAGCAGCAGCTTAACTGCTACACCACCGGTTCTAATCCCTGCGGCCCTGCTTCCCATCCAGCTCCCTGCTTGCGGTCTGGGAAAGCAGTTGAAGACAGCCCAAAGCCTTGGGGAGCTGCACCCACAGGGGAGATTCGGAAGAGGCTCTGGGCTCCTGGGTTCAAATCACTGCAGCTCCGGTCATTGCGACTGCTTGGAGAGTGAATCAGCGGATGGAAGGTCTCCCCTTCTCTCTCTCCTCCTCTGTATATCTGACTTTCCAATAAAAATAAAATAAATATTTAAAATATATATATTTCTGACACTGTCTATAGTACTGATCTGGATTAGATTTTCCTATCCATACTGACCTGTCCTTCAGGAGGAAAAGATGGGAAATGAGCAGGTGGTCCAGGTGAGGGTCCTTGTGCAGACAGTGGTGAGTCTTCAAGTGGATCATCAGCTCCTTCTGCAAACCCACGGCCTCCTCCCAGGACATCTTTCCCAGGGCCCTCAGTGCATCCGGTTCCAAGCAGGTCTGCTGGGGCTTCAGCCTGAGGCAAGGGATTAAGAATTGCCTTGACTTATCAGTTTTACCTTATGCTTACTATACACCAAGCGCTCTTACTTAGGTGCACTGGGGAGAAGTGATGGGCAAAGAGGGACGGTTCCTGCCTCAGGAAGTTGATGATGTGTAATCAGTGATGATCAAAAGTGGACTTCTGGTTTTCTAGCACGAGGCCTCTGCCCTCGTGTCTCTTTCAATTATTTTAAGTACCCAGGAAGTCAGCTGCTGTGTTGTATCATTGCTTCAGAGCAATGCATAAATACACAGAGATACACCAACAAGAAAGTTGAGTAAAGTTTAGCAATGGAGAGCTCTGTTGGACATTGCTCTTTTTATAGAATCTATTGATTACCTACTATGAGGGCACTTCAACAAGTTCCCTTACATGGTAAGTTTATGGAGTGGTTATTTAGCCTAGTGACATAGACACCAGTTAACACACGGATGCCGCACAGAAGAGGAGTTCAACATCCAGTTCTTGCTCCTGACTCTAGCTTCCTCGTAACGTGGCCCCTGGGAGGCAGTGGTGAGGGCTCAAGGGGGAGTTATGCCTATCCTGTGGGAGACCCTGGTTGAATTGCCATCGCTTAACTTCAGTCCCAGGCCAGGCCCAGCCCAGTTCTGACAATGCAGGCATTTGGGAAATAAACCAACAAAGGAAAACACTCTCTCTCTCTTCTGCCTTTCAAAGAAATAAATCTTTTTAAAGGCTAAGTTTAATTTGGTGCAAATTATTGAAATTCATGCATATAAGTTTTCAAAGATCCAATATATTAGTCTTATAAAAATGTTTATTTTGCTCTGTTTTGTTATTCATGAGCATTTTTAAAAAGATTTATTTATTTTTATTACAAAGTCAGATATACAGAGAGGAGGAGGAGAGACAGAAAGATCTTCCGTCTGATGATTCACTCCCCAAGTGAGTGCAAGGACCCTGCACCTGCATGAAGACCTGGAAGAAGCTCCTAGCTCCTAGCTTTGGATCAACTCAGCTCTGGCCATTGTGGTCACTTGGGGAGTGAACCAGCAGACATAGATCTTTTTCTCTGTATATCTGACTTTCCAATAAAAACAAATAAATCTTTGAAAAAAAAAAGGTGTAAGGGAAGGGGCTGGTATTGTAACATGGCAAGTTAAGAGGTCACTTGGTACGCCAGCATCCCATACAGAAGTGTCAGTTCAAGTTACAGTTATCCTGCTTCCAAGTACTTGAGCTGATGTACTTGTGATGCAGTAGACAATGGCCCAAGTACTTGGACTTCTGCCACCCTTGTGGGAAACCAGGAAGGAGTTCCAGACTCTGGACTTTGACGTGGCCCAGCCCTGGCGTTTGCAGGTATTTGAGATGTAAACCGATGAATGGAATCTCTCTCCCTCTTTTCTCTGTATATTTCTCTTTTCCTCCCTCTCTATAACTTCTTAAAAATAACTATTCCTGGGCCCAGAGTAATGGCCTAGTAGTTGGGTCCTCGCCTTGCACGTGCCAGGATCCCAAATGGGCACTGGTTTGTGTCTTGGCTGTTCCACTTCCCATCAAGCTCTCTGCTTGTGGTCTTGGAAAGCAGTGAGGAAAGCCCAAAGCATTGGGACCCTGCAGCCATGTGGGAGACCTGGAAGTCCTTGGTTCCTAGCTTCAGTTTGGCTCAGCTCTGCCTGTTGCGGCCACTTGGGGAAGGGAACCAGTATCTCCTTCTCTCCTGCCTTTCCTATAAAAATAAATAAAACTGAAAAAAAATAAAAAGCTAAACCAATATTTAAAACTAAATAAGTAACGATTGATTTCAGCCTCAAGATTTCTCATTATGCATATGCAAATATCCCCAAATCTGAAAACTATACATAAACCAGGAAGGAACACTTCTAGTCCCAATCATTATGGTTAGGGATCATTAACCTGTCGAAAATCTGAGTGTGAATGAAAGTAATCAGAGAATACAGAGACTACAGAGTGCCAAGGACTGAACCCTCAGGTGCCATTTTATGTGGCTTTTATTTTTCAGGGTCTTAAATTTTTCACAATTTGTCATTTTTCTAAGCAAGATATGCAACTCATTAGGAGAGCGATAGAAAAAAAAAAAGAGTTGAAAAGTTCCAATCCCTAAGACAACTGCCTTCCCACATGAAAGGCTTGCAGGAGACATCCCTCTTAGCCTGTGACAACCTCCTGGTAGTTTAATCCAGTCCCATGATAATAAAGATGATGATAAAAGAAAATATTCGTAACATTTTCCATGTACCTAACATCACACTTAATTTTCTTTTATGCATTAGATCATTTAATGATCTTGGCAAGCATAGGAGAGAGGAACTGTCAGTATCCCCGTTCTGACACTGCAGGGAGTGGCACATTTGAGACCTGTCTAAAGCCTCTAGGTTAATAAATGGGGGAGCTGGGCTCTGCCCGAAGAGCTCTTAGTCCTAACCGAGACTAACACGTAGCCTTTGTGACCTGCAACACACAGCCTTGAGTGCAGCATCTCTTCGTCAAAATCCCCACAGCAAAGACGAGATCTCAAGAACTGAAAGTGTTTACACTGCGTGCATCACATTTTAGGCAGTTTTATTTTGCTTTTCTACTTTACCGTCAACTCGCACCCATCTGTTAGGGAGAGTACATGGCCACAAAGTCCCAATTCACCTGTTCTATAATACTTGCAAAGAGTTTGTGGAAACCATGTCCCCTAAGCAGAAAAAAAAATAAAACAACATTTCCAGTGTATGATAAAATTGTCAACTGTGAGTCGGCTCCGCCCTCCTGCAAGTACTCACCAGCAAGGCCGCCTTGGGCTTCAAGGGAACATTGTAGTTCCTCGCGATTTCTGTCAGGTACTCTTCCACTAGAACCTGGGGCAGGGTATTCAGATTTAACTTACACATCAGCTGCGAAACAAAGAACAAAGGATGGCAGAAGAAAACAAGAAACAAGTGTGAGTACTTTTCCAACTCTGAATTATTACTCTTCCTTTTTTTTTTCCTATTCTCTGTTCTCTACAACACTTACTTTTTTTTGAAGATTTATTTTATTTTATTTATTTTTTTTTTTAGGAAAATCAGATATACAGAGAGGAGAAGAGACAGAGAGGAAGATCTTCCATCTGCTGATTCACTCACCAAGTGACCACAACAGCCAGAGCTACACTGATCCGAAGCCAGGAACCTGGAGCCTACTCCGGGTTTCCTACATGCGTACAGGGTCCCAAGGCTTTGGGCCGTCCTTGACTGCTTTCCCAGGCCATAAGCAGGGAACTGTATGGGAAGTGGGGCTGCCAGGATTAGAACCAGCGCCCATATGGGATCCCAGTGCACTCAAGGTGAGGATTTTAGTTGCTAGGCCACAGCACTGGGCCCAAATCTGACTTTCCAATAAAAATAAGTAAGTCTTAAAAAAAAAAAAAAAGAATGAAAGAGTTACAGAGAAAAAAGGAGGGAGGGAGGGAGAGAGAGATATCTTCCATTTGCTAGCTCATTCCCCAAATGTCTACAATGGCCAGAGCTGAGCTAAGTTGCTCCAAAGCTGGGAGATAAGAGCTTCTTCTGGATCTCCCACATGCTTGCAGCATCTCAAGGCCTTGGGCCATCTTTGACTGCTTTTCCAGGCCATTAGCAGGAAGCTGGAACTAGAACTGGTACCTATACGGGAGGTCAGTGTGACAGGCAGAGAATTAGGCTAGTATACCACAACACTGCTCACAACATTTTTGAAATGTACAATTCATAACCAGTGCCATTCTTGTAACTGTATCATAACACCACTCTATCCTAGTCTAACAACTGCAAAACATAGAGAAAACGAATATAAATGTATCTTGAATAAAGAATTCAGATTTTGTGATATTATCGAATTATGTCAGGAGTGCTATTCGGAATATATTTTTTTAAAGATTAATTTATTTGGGGCCCAGTGTGGTAGTCTAGCAGCCAAAGTCCTCGCCTTGTATGCACTGAGATCCCATAATATGGGTACCAGTTCTAATCCCGAAGGCCCCGCTTCCCATCCTGGGAAAACAATTGAGGATGGCCCAAAGCCTTGGGACCTGTACCCACAAAATAAATCTTTTAAAAAGATTTATTTATTTTTATTGGAAAGGCAGACATACAGAGAGAAGGAGAAGCAGAGAGGAAAATCTTCTGTCTGCTGGTTTGCTCTCCAAGTGGCCACAACAGCCAGAGCCGAGGAGCTAAGTTGCTCCAAAGTCAGGAGCTAGGAGTTTTCTCTCTTTCCCCACGTGCGTGCAGGGTCCCAAGACTTTGGGATCCGGGCTCATGCAAGATGAGGACTTCAGCCACTTGGCTACCATGCCAGGCCCCAAAATATTTTTTAAAGATTTTTTTTTTTGAAAGACAGATTTACAGAGAGAAAGAGATACAGAGAGAAAGATCTTCCATCCACTGGTTCACTTCCTAAGCGGCCTCAATGGCCAGAGATGAGCCTATCCAAAGCCAGGAGTCAGGAGTTTCTTCTAGGTCTCTCATATAGGTGCAGGGTCCCAAGGCTTTGGGCCATCCTCGACTACCTTCCCAGACCACAAGCAGAGAGCTGGATGGGAAGTGGAGCAGCTGAGACACGTACCGGAGTATGCAAGGTGATAATTTAGCCACTAAGCCATCTTGCCGGGCCCGTGATATTAAAAATATTTAGTAACCTGATACAAGGTGGAGATCCAGAGAAATAAAACTATCCAAGACCTGAAACAAGTGCTGTGCGCAGATCTCTGAGTCCCGTGGCAGGTCAGTCCTGACTCCATCTGAGCAATCCTAATGTGATAGATCACAAGCTGCACTGTCCACTTGTTAGTTTCATTTGTATTACTAAGCTGGTTAGGAGTATGTATACCTTCCTTGGAAAGAAACCAGCTCAGTTTTCTGATCTCCAACTTTTTCATTCCCTAGTCTAAGAACTTTAGGCATGTTGCATTGCTTCCAATGCAGACTTTATTTCTAACCCCACCTCTCAGTCTTCACAAAATGATTTACACGTCCTAGGGTGCTCAGCTTTTCCCAGACTTGTAGGATCAGGAGACCATGTGTCTCTATCATTGCCGTTACCCGAGCATTGACAGTTCCGATCTCATTGGTTCGACACAGCTGCCCGTAGTCTTCACTGTACTTTGCGCACAGCTGATCAGAAACCTGCAGCAAACCACCACCGAGACAGAAGCAAAAGTCATCAAGTTGTGTCACATTTGCTTAAGAAAGATGGCTGAAAGAACAGAAACTAGTGTTTGCCACTTCACTGGAACTGAGTTCTTTTAGGGTCAAAACTTAAATAGCTGGAAATGCTTTACTTAGTCTTAGAGTACATGACATGGAAAACTTAAGGCTTCTCATTCTACATACTTTGAAGTTGTGAAACTTCTCTCAAAGAAATCCAATTGTAAGGTTTTTTTTTTTTTTTGTCTTACTTAAGGATGATTTCTTCTTGACTTAAAGATGAACAAAAGAAGCGCTTATTTAGTTTCCTTTAAGAGAAGAAAGGATAGGGCCCAGCGTGGTGGCGCGAGTAGTTAAGATCCTCGCCTTGCATGCCCGGGATCCCATATGGGCACCGGTTCTAATCCCGGCAGCCCCGCTTCCCTTCCAGCTCCCTGCCTGTGGCCCGGGAAAGCAGTTGAGGACGGCCCAAAGCTTTGGGACCCTGCACCTGCGTGGGATCGGCATAGCATTGGTCGTTGCGCTCACTTGGGGAGTGAATCATCGGACGGAAGATCTTCCTCTCTGTCTCTCCTCTCTGTATATCCGCCTTTCCAATAAAAAAATAATAAAAATAAATCTTAAAAAAAAAGAGAAGAAAGGATAGCTCAGGCAACCCACAATTCCAGTGAAGTAACCTTCCCCACACAGTGTTGACACTGGGGAAACTTGAGACTGGCTTTGTGTCGCAATTGATCAGCTCACTACTTGTGACACTCGTGTCCCACATCAGAATTCTATCTACCCCACTTGCAATCCAGATTCCTGCTGTGCTGATGAGATCAGCCGTGGATGGCCCAAGTCCTGGGAGGCCGGGATGGACTTCCTGGCCCCTGGCTGAGGCCTGGTCCAGCCTTGCTTTTTGCAGCCAATGTGGGAAGCAAACCAGTGTTTGGCATATCTCTGTCTGTCACTCCACCTTCACAGAAACAAAATCAAAAGCCCAAATAAAAAAAGCAAAAACTCAAAAACAGAGAATGAGAGACAGGGAAACAGGTCTTCCATCTACAACATCAGTTGAGCCAATCCCAAAGCCAGGAGCCAGGAGCTTCCTCTAGATCCCCACCCCCACATGGGTGCAGGGTCCCAAGGTTCATGGGCCATCCTCCTCTGCTCTCCCAGGCCACAAACAGGGAGCTGGACAGGAGGTGAAGCAGCTAGGAAACAAACTGGTGCCCAAATGGGATCCCAGCACTCACAAAGGGAGGATTAGCCAATTGAGCCATTGCAATGGGTCCCCAAACTTACTATTTTCAACTCAGGCACTTCTGACTGCAGTCGAGGAGTTGCCCAGATCAGTGAAGATATGGATTCAGCCAGACCAGGATCTAGTTGCCTGAGGAAAGCACAGAGTTATGAGATAAAGGCTCCATGGTTTGTTTTTTCTTTTTCTTATTTCGAAGGCAGAACAAGGACAACGCTAAATGTTAAATAAACTTTTTTACAAACGAAAATGGTTGGGGAAGGGAACAGGCAACCTCAGAACCTACGGAACTATACCAAAAAACAAAATATAATACGTTAAAAAAAAAACTAAAATGGTGTGTTAACCTATATGTGAATATGTATGTGGATACATATGTATGCGTGTATACTAATTTACACATGTGTATGTATATAGCTATTTATATACATAATTCGAGAGGAAAGACACCCCTCGCCTTGTCTGCAGAGCAGGAGAGACTCTCATGGCTTTGCCCCTGGGTACAATAACCTCACCAAATCCACCTGCTGGCAGGGGCAAAGGGTGTGATAGAGTTGCTGGAAGATCTCACATGCCCAATTTTTACAATCTGTCTGATAATACTTGACTTTTGCCTTGTTTTTACAACTTTCGAGGAAAAAAAAATGCTTAGAAGCTGTCTTTGAGGGGAATGTTTGGAATCTGTTATGGAGACCATTTCTGTTCAAGTGCCCTCGGGACCTTAGGGAACGTCAGGTGCTGGAGTCCCGGAAGCGTGCAGTGGGGACGCAGAACAAGATCGAGATCTCTCCCAAGATGCTGAAGTGTAAAGGACACGGGAGGCCCCTTCCAACAGGCAGGTCATTTGTGGAATCTGTGCACTGTAAGTAATCACGCCACCAAAGCTTCAAAAACTAATAATATTTAATGCATTCATTTCATCCATCTGAAAGGGCAAGATCTACCTTCTTCTTCCCCCAGCCCAAATGCCAGCAACAGCTGGGGCAGGGCCTGGGATGTCCCAGCAGGTGGCAGGGACTTACGTCCTTGGACCATTTGCTGCATTCCAGACTGTGCATCAACAGGAAGGTGGATTAGAGAGACATGTCAGGATGTGAACCCAAGTACTCCAGTAGTAGGTTGCAGGCATCCCAAACTGGTTTCAGCACTGTGCCAAAACCTGCTCCTAAAAGACTTATTTTTTTTTTAAAGATTTATTTATTTATTGGAAAGGCAGATATACAGAGAGGAGGAGAGACAGAGGAAGATATTCCGTCCGATGATTCACTTCCCAAGTGAGCGCAATGGCCGGTGCTGTGCCGATCCAAAGCCAGGATCCAGGAACTTCTTCCAGGTATCCCACATGGGTGCAGGGTCCCAAGGCCTTGGGCTGTCCTCGACTGCTTTCCCAGGCCACAAGCAGGGAGCTGGATGGGAAGTGGAGCTGCCGGGATTAGAACCGGTGTCCATATGGGATCCTGGCCCGTTCAAGGCGAGGACTTAAGCCGCTAGGCCATGGTGCCGGGCCCAAGACTTATTTTTTATTCTATTGCAGGTGCATGTGTTCAGAAAAGAAATGGCTTTGAGTCTTACTTCCAGAGCCTTGAGACTTGTGTCAGTCTCAGAGATCTCTTTTCTGTTTGGGAATCTTGGAGGCTGCAAAGAGGAAATTACAGATTTTGAGAAAGTAGAGGAATTTCTTTTCTTTCTTTTCAGAAGTTACAGCATACATTGGATCTAAAGAAGGAAGAAGTCCCACCAGAGTGTGACTCTCGGAACTGAAGCAGACATTTAACCCAGTAGCTAAGACGCCTAGTAGGATGCCAGGACACTTAATCAGAGTACTGGGTTCACCCCGTTTCCTGCCAAAACAGACTCCAGGAGGCGGCTTGATGGTTCAGGTTACACAGAAGACCAGGGTTGGGCCCCAATCTCCAGTTCCACTTTCAACCCAATCATGGACATAACTAGCAACTAAAGAAGGGGAGCGCAGTCCTTGGAAACTGTCTCTGCAATAAAATAAAGGCCCAGCTCAGTAGCCTAGTGGCTAAAGTCCTCATCTTGAATGCATCAGGATCCCTTATGGGAACCAGTTCTAATCCCAGCTGCTCCACTTCCCATCCAGCTCCCTGCTTGTGGCCTAGGAAGGCAGTCAAAGACAGCCCAAAGCCTTGGGATCCTGCACCCATGTGGGAGACCCAGAAGAGACTCTTGGCTCCTGGTTTTGGATAAACTCAGCTGTGGCCACTGGGGCCACTTAGGGAGTGACCCAGTGGATGGAAGATCTTTCTCTCTGTCTCTTCTTCATCTGTAAATCTGACTTCCAAATAAAAACAAATAAATCTAAAAAAAAAAAAAGCTCTTTAAAGTGAGTGACAAAGTTTTTTAGTGAGTACCAACAAATTAATGCACACTCCACCCTCAGTTGGCAGGAAGATATAATTAAAACACTCACTTGGTGACATGGACTAAGCTAAACCGGGCCAGCAGCAGGTCGCAGTACAGCTCCAGGATCTCCATGGCCTCCACCAGGTAGTCCTCCCGGATGATGTGCTCCACGCGGATGCGGGCTCGCTCATCCTTCCCCGCAGCCAGGTAGTCAGCGATCTCCTTCCTTGCTTTCTGCGACTGCTCAGCTATAGCACAAGGCCCAAAGAGAGACACGAACACCCCAGAGAGTTAAAGCAAGTTACGCAATGGTGTGAAGCAATGTTTCTATTAAAACAAACACGTACACTTAAAGTGTGCACAGTGTTATGTGTTTTGTGTTAGGTCACTGGGTCTCAAAGTCCTGTCCCCAAAACAGTAATGTTAACATCTCCCAGGAATTCGTTAAAAATACATCCCTTGGGGCTTACACAGTGGTATATCACACTAACCTTCCGCCAGCAGCACTGGCACCCATGCAGGTGCCCATGCATGTCCCGGCTGCTCCGCTTTTGATTCAGTGCCCTACTAAGGTCCTGGGAAAGCAGCAGAGGATGGCACCAGGGGCATGCGTCCCTGCACCCACGTGGTAGATCTAGTTTTGACTCCTGGCTTCAAACCAGCCCAGGTGTGGCCACAGTAGCCCCTGAGAGAGTGAACCAGAAGATGAAAGCTCTTTTTGTAACACTTTCTTAGGTAAAATGAATATATCTTTTTAAAAATGCACTTTCTTATTCCAGAAACACTGTATCTGGAAGGGGAGCGCAGTAGTTGGTGATATAACAATACCTCTCTGGGAATGCCGGCACCTGTTAAAAGATTTAGAACCAATCTTAGGGCCCATTGTGGTAGCCTAGTGGCTAACGTTCTTGCCTTGCATGCACCGGGATCGCATATGGGTGCCAGTTCATATCCCGTGTACCCCACTTCCCATCCAGCTGCCTGAATGTGGTCTGGGAAAACAGTGAAGGACGGCCCAAAGCCCTGGGACCCTGTACCCGTGTGGGAGACCTGGAAGAAGTGGCTCAGCTCTAGTCATTGCAGGCATTAGGAGAGTGCCTTTCCAATAAAAATAAACATTGCAGTATCACCTGCCTGAGTTTGTATGTTATTTATATTTCACAATTGAGAAAATTGAGACTGTGGGCCTGGCACCATGGCCTAGCAGCTAAAGTCCTCACCTTGAACGTGCCGGGATCCCCTATGGGTGCCGGTTCTAATCCCGGCAGCTCCACTTTCCATCCAGCTCCCTGCTTGTGGCCTGGGAAAGCAGTCGAGGACGGCCCAAGGCCTGGGACCCTGCACCCGTGTGGGAGACCTGGAAGAAGTTCCTGGATCCTGGCTTCGGATCAGCACAGCACCAGCAGTTGTGCCCACTTGGGGAGTGAATCATCGGATGGAAGATCTTCCTCTCTGTCTCTCCTCCTCTCTGTATATCTGACTTTCCAATAAAAATAAAATAAATCTTAAAAAAAAAATTAAGACTGTGAGGAGTTAAATGGCTTGTCCTTGGCTGATTTGGTATTCAATGCCAAAACCTTAGATTGTAAATTCTTATGCTTTTTTTGTTATGCTTACAGAACAGGAAAGTCATGATGACTGAGGAGTTTTCCGTCTGCTGGTTTGCTCCCCCGATGTCCACGACACATAGTCCAGAGACGAGACAAAAGCCAAGGCCTCTGTGTTTCCCTGAGCCGTCATCTGCTGCCGCCACGGACGGAGCAGCAGGAAGTTGGATCAGAAACAGAAAAGCCTGCACTTGCCCTGGTGCTGCGACGCAGGCGCTGGTGTGCCCGTTGGCAGCCTGGCCAGCACGCCAAACTCCACCCCAGAACTGCATTTTTGTGCAATACTTCATTTCAGCTGAGCTTTTCTTATACTCTGAGATCAGTCTTTTAGTTTATTAAAAGATTAACAGCTCATATGAACCACTGCCATGAGGAAAGAGCAAAGGTGGCAGAAAATCAGTTAGGCTTAAAGAAAGAAAACAACCCTTGTCAGAACTCCCTGGTTCACAGTCATCAGCGCTGCCTGAGCTGTTACAAGGAAGAGCATTTTTTGTGTGTGTCTGGAAACAAAGGTAATGACGAAACTCCTCCAGGAGAACTTTCCCCGTCACCCCAACTTAATAGCTATGTTTATAAAGAATGACTAGAAAAATTCTCTTGGGGGAAACAGAAGCCCAGGAATTTTGACATAGTTTTACATGTTAAACCTTTCGAGACTTAAAAAAAAAAAAAAAAAAACCTCTAAGATTTCTGTTTTTAGATAACTGTAAATTCCCATGTAATCTACAAATCTAGACATCAGACTGAGAGATGCTCAGTACTTGGCTTTTGCCAAAGGCAACGTCTTATTAAAGTATTAGGATGGTATCACCGCCAGGATGTTGACACTGACATAGGCAGGATACAGAAGTCTTTGCAAAGCTCTGAAATGATTCCATCACCATCAATATCATGACCACATTCCTACAAGTCAGAAACATTTCTTTAAATCCTCAGATTGCTGAGACAGCCCAAAAGAGACTCAGCATTGGTACCTTGATTGCTGCCTGCAGTATTTACTCACTTTTCTTTTTCTCCAAGAGTTTCAGGCGGTGGATAACCAGTTGCAAGTTAACCCGAAGGCGATCAGCTTTGAAGGCAGAACCCAACATTATCTCACCCGAAGACTCACAAATCGCCTTGAGCAACCAGCTGCCCAAAGAAAGAGAAAAGAGGCTTCAGTTCCTCCACTTACTTTATCAATTCAACAAGTGCAAGGTCAGGGTGGACAACTGGCCAGCAGTTAAGGAACCACCTGGGACCAGGGTTGGTGTGGTGGCATAAAGTGCTGATCTACTTGCAAATGCTGGCATCCCGCATAGGTGCTAGTTTGTGTCTTGGCTGGTTCACTTCCTGATCCAGCTCCCTGCTTGTGGCCTTGAAAAGCAGCAGAGGATGGCACAAGTCCTTGGGACTCTACATCCTTTAGAGAAACCCAGAAGTTTTTGGCTCCTGACATTGGATCAGCTCAGCTCTGGCCGTTGCGACCACTTAGGAAATGAACCAGTGGATGGAAGATCTTTTTCTCTGCCTCTACTTCTCTCTTAAATATGCCTTTTAAACAAGAATAATAAATATATCTTTAAAAAATTAAGAATTATACGCCCGGTGCAGTAGTCCAGCAACTGAAATCCTCACCTTGCACATGTTGGGAACCCATATGGTCGCCGGTTCGAATCCCAGTAGCCCCACTTCCCATCCTGCCCCCTGCCTGTGGCCTGGGAAAGCAATCAAGGATGGCCCATGAACCTTGAGACCCTGCATCTGCGTGGGAGATCCAGAAGACACTCCTGGCTTGGATTGTCTCAGTTCCAGCTGTTACTGGCACGTGGGGAGTGAATCAACAAACAGAAGATTTTCCTCTCTGTCTGTCCTCTATATATTTGACTTTCCAATTAAAACATTTTTTAATTAAAAATTAAAAACACACGCACACGCCAGCCTGATTCCTCTGCTTCTGATGCAGCCGTTTGTTTATGTGGACCCTGGACAGCAGCAGGTTCAAGCCCCTGCTGCTCCCAGGGGAGACACTGACTGACCCCCGCTTCTGTTTCTAATGCAGCCCAGACCTGGTTTTGTGGGTATCTAGAAGAGAACTAGTAAATTGAAGATCTTTTATTTTTCTGCCTTTAAATAAAGATAAAAATAAAATTTATAGAACAACACAAAACCCAACCATGCCTGTTGTAAGGAGTTCCCGGGAACTCAGTAATGGCCTGACTGCACTGACCACCCTGGGCATCAGTTCTCCGGATGTGACTCTTGCATGCTGATCAGGACTGGGCTTATTCTAATTGTCTGTGTTTCACTGCAGCCTCTGAGACTTCTGCAGGAAGTTTCTGACAAAAAATGAAAGTTTCTGGCAAGTATCTGAGGAAGTAGCCGTGGGAGGGAGATTCCCTTCCCTGCGGGACAGGGTCCTATTGGCCACTTACAGAGAAGCTGTAAGACTGCCTTTAAACTTAAAAAAAAAACAAACAGTTTGAAAGGGAAATTCCCCTTGGAATCTGGCGATGTCACATATCAGGAAAAGTATGTGGAAATGAGGAAATGGAACCATTCAGAGAAGTTGAACTTGAATCACTTCAAGTTCAGACCAGTTTGAAAATTTCATACTTCTACATTTGGACATTTAGAATCTGCTGTATAATAATCTAACACCAGCCACGCTCACATTTCTAGAGAGAGCTAATCTCACCAAATATTTCTGTACCTGCAATGTGTGCCTGAGATTGGTTGCTTCTGTCATTGTCATCACCAAAGATAACATTTCCCTCCCCAAAGGGCTCCCTCACATGCTGAAGCACACAGGCAGGAAGATGTGGCAGGAGGGAAGCTGGCTGCTCCTCCCGTTAGGACGTACTAGCTCTTGTTTCTGGTTTATTGTCTCATATCAAAGAGTCTTGGTGGTTGTCTGTATTTGTCCGTGAACGTCCTGCAGGCCTAGAAAAATCTCCAAGGAAGGATTAGGCAAGACAGTGCTAGTTTGAAACTCTTGTCTGTTGAAGGAGAAGAACCAGTGTGGCAGGGTTCCGTCACTGTTTATTTCCTTCCAACACAGTAGCTCATAACAAGAATTGTATCTCCACGCTATCGTGGTATCCAGTGGAAAATCTAGAGAAAGAGGAGAAGGTGGGCGAGGCAGAATAAGTTTAACTTCTCAGCCCTTGAGTGTCCCAAATAGCTTGAAAAATCCTGCTTTACCACACATTCTTAAAACTCAGTGGAAATTGAAAAACCCAGTGAAAGCAAACCCACAACTTTCAGACAAGAGAAATTGAAACACCTGCTATATGCTAAAGACAGTCATAAGAGAGCTGGATTCCAGAGACTAACGAACATGTTTAGAGAAATTTGGTAACCAGCAATATTGGTTGACTTCTTACCAATATTTCTGTCAGTCTGGGACTAGGGGGGCTTCCTACCGTCACGGAGTACAATCAACGAAATGAAGATTGCTTGAAGCAAACAGTTCCGGAACGGGATGCTGAGGACCTGCAACACCAAACCAGGAAATCATCTGTGTTCCACCAATCAGAACATCCTGAATTTTTAGACAGTCACGCCTTGCCATTGGCCTCACGTCATTATGGGAAAGGCTGGCAGCCAAAAGAACATTCTCTGCTTGCATCTACCTGCGTCTGCTCTTTCAACTTTGTACAAAACAAAACAGCTTCCTGTGTAATTTGACTCAGGAAAAACCGGCTATTCCAACATATGTGGAATAGCTGATGGCTTCTATATTGGTCGTTCCAATGCCTGTTTAATTAGCTAAGCAACAAATGGAAATGCCAGTTTATGCCATCACAGATCCACTGATGTACCAGCAGACTTCCTTATTGGCTACACTGAGAGAGGAAAGTGACTGTCATGACTAATGCTTGTGAAGTCAGGGCCTTTGCTCATTTCGACAACTGCAATGGCCTCACTGTTTTACTCACTTGTGCCATGCGCCTGGGGTAGTGTTGGATCATCTTGTTAATGCTTTTTGTGTATCCATGTGCAAAATACAAACACTGAGGTCTAAGGATTTCTTAGAGGTTGAAATCTGTATTGTTTGTGTCTTGCTCATCTTTAAATGTTTAAAATAATATTCTCATAAAAATTCAAAAATAACCTAATTGCTTTTGAAAGTCTTCTAGTTTGGAATTATTTTTAAGAAGAAAGGATAGGGCCCGGCATGGTGGCCTAGCAGCTAAAGTCCTTGTTTTGAATGCGCTGGGATCCCATATGGACGGTGGTTCTAATCCTGGCAGCCCCACTTCCCATCCAGCTCCCTGCTTGTGGCCTGGGAAAACAGTCAAGAATGGCCCAAAGCCTTGGGATACAGCATCCATGTGGGAGACCCGGAAGAAGTTCCTGGATCCTGGCTTCGGATCAGCACAGCACCAGCAGTTGCGCTAACTTGGGGAGTGAATCATCGGATGGAAGATCTTCCTCTCTATCTCTCCTCCTCTCTGCATATCTGACTTTGCAATAAAAAAATAAAACAAATCTGTGAAAATAAAGATTTGTTTTTATTGGAAAGGTAGATTTACAGAGAGAAGAAGAGACAGAACTGAATGGCAAGTGGAGTAGCTGGGACACTAACCAGCACCCATATGGGGTCCCAGTGCTTGCAATCAACAATTTAGCCACTGAGCCATCACACCAGGTCTTGGTGGGTTTTATTATTATTACTATTATTCAATAAAATATTGGTCAGTTTTTCTATCCATATTTTACTGCTAGTGTTTTGCAGCAGTGGAAACCACAGCTTAATGTTGGAAAATGTTTACCTAAGTTTGATAGCCACACATTAGGTATGGACCAGACCGGAACCTGTACTTACTGCTCTAGCAGTATTTGTTGTATTTGATTACATATTTATTTGTTTACTTTCATGTACTTGAAAGGTAAAGCAACACACACACACACACACACACACACACACACGGAGTTTCCATCTGCTAGTTCATTCCCCAAAAGCCCACAACAGCGAGGATTGGACCAGAGCAAAGCCAAGAGCCAGGAATTCCAGCCAGATCTGCCACGTGGTTGGCTGGGGTCCATGCACTTGAGCCATCACCTGCTGCTTCCAAGGATGCATTGGCAGAAAGTCGGGTCAGAAGCAAAGCAGCCACAGCCCAACTGGCATTCCAACATGGGATGTAGGCGTCTGGGTCATGGCCACCTGCCCCAGCTGATAAAAATTAAACAAAAATCGATTGTTATCTACTGAAAAGGGTTTGCAGAAAGTGGAAGTGGAAGAAAGAATGCATTCACGGTCTCCGAGTCAAGCTTTTTCCCCCGCCCCGGTTCATTAGTTGTGCAACAAATACATATATACAGAGCTATTGTAGAAAAACCATAGTAGTAACGCAAACACAAATACAACCATGTTTGTTTCCATTTAAATTACTCATGTTCACGTTGCTCTGAAACTTTGGGTTGAATGTGAACGTAAGATTTCGTCAAACCTCTCCACTAAATCAAGATACTTCCCGCTGTACTAACCCCCTTCTTCCCACAAGCTTTCGGGTCTGGTATCACCTCACTCTTCGGGACTGGATCACCCCGGGATCCCCCGAGGCTCCCCAAGGAGAGGGAAGCTTCACTGGCCAGGACCGGAAGTCCAGGAAATGGGGGTCGCTGATGGCCACGCCCCAGACGCTGCTTGGGACCCCCCCCAGAATTTAATGGGGTGTAAAGATCGCGGGGTCCCTGTGGGGTCAGGGTGTGGGGACCCGAACACGGGCCCATGCATAGGACCAGGTCCTAGGTGCTGCAGTTGGTCGTTTTTCCCCACCGGAGGTCCGAGGGAACAGCCACCAACCCTCCCGGGGAGATGTCGCTCTCCCGGCCCACGCAGTGACGTAACTTTTCTGCGCCGGGGGCGGGCCGCGCTTGACGCCATCTCCGAGCGCCTGGCTCGGGGTGGGGGGGCGCTGGGTGTGGGGCGGCTCCGGGGCCGGGGATGGCGGCGGCCGCGGGTGCGGCGGCTCCGGGACGAACAGGAGAAGCCCTGGGAGCACTGTGAGATGGGCCGGTGAGTGTCGTCAGGTGGGGGTGGCCGGCAGGCTGGCTGTGCTGGGGTCAGGCAGGCCTAAGCTCGGAGCTCCAGAGGAAGTGGCCCCCCGAGCAGCCCCTTGCTTCGCCGGGCCGGGGCCGAGAACCGCGGGAGGACGGTGTTCGCGAAAAGAGGCCGCGCCTAGACCCTCGCCCGCTCCCCTACGCCACAGCCTGGAGGGCGGCGCGCTCCCCCAACTCCCCCGACTGGGTGTCCGTGGGCCCGAGTGTCCCGAGTCTGCGGGCGGGAAGGGGCCGCCCTGCAAGGAAGCGTCGCTTGCCGGGGGCCTCTGCCCTGCAACCCTGGCTTGAGGGGGCGACCCCCTTCCCCCAGTCCCTGGAAACGCACAGTTCCCGTTTGGTGTCCTGCCCCTGTCGGAGCACTACGGAGTGCGGGATCACGGGAAGACGTCACCCTCCCTCCCCCAGGTCCTTCCAAGCTTCCCCCAGTCTGTCAGGTTCCTGGCTCCTCCTGACTGCGTCGGCAGCTCGCAGCACGGTTGGGGTGACAGACTGAGTCTCTGTACCCCCCGTTCTCCCCATTTGAGAAAGTTCTCCCAGTCATCCGGAGGCCGAAACGTGTGCTGCGTCGTGCAAATCCGGCGGGCGCCCGGGCTTGTTACTCTCCCACACACTGTTTTTGGGGGGTTTCTCCTTGTTACTGTGTTTGCTAACCTCTGGGTGATCTAAATGCGGGTTAGCCTTCATGTGTTAGTTGCAGAGAGCAAGCAAGCATCGTTCTGGGATTGTGAGGTGTGTGCACGGTTTTTGTGGGGGCAATGAACAGCTTTTTTGATTGAAGGGGATGCGTGACTGGTGCCCGCTGTGTATTTGCGGGATTAGGAATTCGTTTCCCTTGGAGCCCCATCTTCTCACTCCTTTTTGGTATGTGAGGCTATGCCATTCTTTGGAGATGAATGTTGCCTTCCGTTTGCACGGAGGCTTGCCGCGGTCAGTAGCATCTGGACAGGGGGCCGGAGTGCTCAGCACCGCTGTCCGTGTTTCCAGTGGCAATGGCCGCCTTCTCGCACACCGTCCCTTTCTGGCAAGTATGGTTTCTCGGAGGAATAGTCTATGAGCGCTTTGTTTCCTCACTGTCAGTTGCCTGAGGATCAAGGTGACGTTTTTGGTTTCCATCACATCCGATTCAGTTCTTTGGACGTTGTCACGCAGAAAATTTTTACACACAGACGCTAGCCTGTTTTTTTAGATTCTGGAAAAGTGTTAATAAGGCTTTCCCCCCTGGGGTGACTCCCCTTGACCTCTTTTTCTGCCCCAGAAACATAAATAATTCTTTCTGCACTAGTGCAGATCTTCTCATCTAAATAACTTTCAACCCCAAGGGTCCATAAAAGAGTAAATCCTGTGAGGTGGGTTTTCATTGCTAACATGGGAACAATCCTAAGGTTTTGTGCATTTGACTCAACTTTGACTTGGAGGGAAGTGTAACCTGTGGGGAATAAGCACCAACGGGATGAACAGTATGCTGTTGAAGAAGAGCAATGACGCTGGACAGCTGGACATCCCCCCCCGGGATATCAGAGATTAGGATTTACATGCGACCTTTTCTCCCTTCACCTGCCCTTGCACTCTGCACCAGAGGGCTCTGACCTCTGCTGCAGAGGGCGAGAGCAAGACTCACGCTGGACCTTTTTTTTTTTTTTAAGATTTATTTATTTTTATTGGAAAGGTGGATATACAGAGAGGAGGAAAAACAGAGAGGAAGATCTGTCCGATGGTTCACTCCCCAAGTGACCTCAACGGCTGGAGCTGAGCCAAGCTGCAGCCAGGAGCCAGGAGCTCTTCCGGGTCTCCCACATGGGTGCAAGGGTCCCAAGGCTTTGGGCCATCCTCGACTGCTTTCCCAGGCCACAAGCAGGGAGCTGGATGGGAAGCGGGGCCACCGGGATTAGAACCGGCGACCATATGGGTTCCCAGCGCATGCAAGGCAAGAACTTTAACCACTAGGCTATGGCACCAGGCCCACACTAGACCTCTCTGCAATGACTCTGGAGAGGTCCGAGGTCAGACTCCTGCTCACTCTTGCTTTGTTGCTGTCTTCCAGGCTCCCAGGCCACCCGGGAGGACACGAACTACAGCTGCTCGGAAGCCCCCAGGGGAGCTCAGGTAATGTAGGCACTTTGGATTCCTTGTGCCAAAAGGCAGCTGGGAAAACAGGATGTACTCTCACAGACAGCTCTTTTCAGATCCAAAGAACAGGAGTTCAGTTGAAAGAATTAGGTACCAAGTTCATGTACACTGAAGTGTGCAGACCAAGAAGATGCTTTTTGTTTTGACAGTGGACAGAAGCATTTGTGAAAGGTGGCGAGAGAAAGGAGAGAGCTTTCTTATGAAGTGTGCAGAGCTACGAAATCAACAGGCAGATTTGGAGGAATGGAATTGGAGTTTTATAAAGTGGTGCTTAGAGCAAATCTACGGTGGAAAAGGAGCCATTGGCAAGAGAAAACAGAAGCAAAGGGAATGGAAAAAGAAGGCAAATTGAAGTTGGTCTGTGGGGATAATTTTTGTTAGACCAGGAGACAGGAAGTCTGTGTGAAGTCAAAACAGTTTCGATGCTATTTGGGGAGGAGGAGAAGCAAGTCCAAGGGTGAGCTGGTGTAATCTTACTTCTAGGGCTGCCGGAAGTTTGAAAGTCTATTTGAGGAGACAAAGAAGATACTATGTTTCATAACATGTTTAGGGAGATAGAGGTTTTTTTAAGACAAGAAAACCTGGAAACTCCCTGACACTTGGGTCCTTGAGGAGCTGGTGATAGGAGGCCAGCACAGGCCTGGGTGGACAGGACAGAGACAGGTGAGGTCATCCCCTGATTTAGACTGAGAAAAGGAAGCAGGGATGAGGTCATACGTTCAGGGAAAGAAGGTGGCACGGTTAGTCTTCGGTAGAAAAAGGAGAATCTTTGGGAAAAGAGCCAGCAGTGAAAGACTGGGTGTTGCAAGCCTCCCACAAAGGGGACCTCAGAGCGGGGTCCTCAGGAGAGGCCCGACTAAGCCTGACACTGTCGGTCTCGGGCCGTGCAGCCCCTGGGCTGGAGGTGCATTGTTGACTGGTCGTCCTTGTAGTTTTGTGCTTTGTGGTTTCTCTATTTCTGGTACTTCCTAGGCTGGGTAATCTGGGAGGCAGCCTGGTTTGCTCCTTGCACATACCTCTTTCCAACAGTACCTTTTGTTATTTCGCCTTCCATGGGTTCAGTTCTGTTTCTTTTGACTTGGTTCCTTCCTAGGTTACTTTTCTTTGCCTCTGATTTATTCCCTAGCAGATGTGGGCACCCCAGCCAGCAGCAGAGAGGGGTGCAGGGAAGCCACAGAGAAGTCCCTTCTGATGCCCCAAGGAACAAGCCGACCCCTTCCAACCTCCAGGAACACCACAAAGCAATATGAAACCTGTTCATGAGAGGAGTCAGGAATGCCTTCCACCAAAGAAACGAGACCTCCCCGTGACCAGCGAGGATATGGGGAGAACTACCAGCTGCTCCACTAATCACACACCCTCCAGCGATGCCTCTGAGTGGTCCCGAGGGGTTGTGGTGGCGGCCGGGCAGAGCCAGGCAGGAACCAGAGTCAGCCTGGGAAGTGATGGAGCTGAGGCCATTACTGGTCTGACGGTGGACCAGTATGGCATGCTGTATAAGGTGGCTGTGCCACCTGCCACATTCTCACCGACTGGCCTCCCATCCGTGGTAAACATGAGCCCTTTGCCCCCCACGTTTAATGTAGCGTCTTCACTGATCCAGCATCCCGGAATCCACTACCCCCCGATTCACTATGCTCAGCTCCCATCCACCTCACTGCAGTTTATCGGGTCTCCTTACAGCCTTCCCTATGCTGTGCCACCAAGTTTCCTACCGAGTCCTCTCCTTTCTCCTTCTGCCAACCTCACCACCTCTCATCTCCCACACTTTGTGCCATATGCCCCCCTCCTGGCAGAGGAGGCCGCTCCCTCGCCCCAGGCGTCATCCCCCGCCCACTCATTTAACAAAACCCCTTCTGCCACCTCCCCATCTGGGCAGTTGCCACATCATGCGAGTACGCAACCACTGGACCTCGCTCCAGGCCGGATGCCCATTTATTATCAGATGTCCAGGTTGCCTGCTGGGTATACCTTGCATGAAACCCCTACAGCAGGTGCCAGCCCAGTTCCAGTTCTTACCCCTCAGGAGGGCCAGCCCGCTCTGGAAACAGCTTCTGCCAATGGAGGACAGAGGCGAGAACGAAATTTGTTAAGACGAGAAAGTGAAGCCCTCGAGTCCCCCAGCAGCAAGGGTGAAGGCCAAGGACTGGTGCCAGTGGTGGAGTGTGTGGTGGACGGACAGTTGTTTTCAGGTTCTCAGACTCCACGGGTGGAGGTGGTGGCGCCGGCACATCGAGGAACCCCAGACACGGATCTTGAGGTGCAGCGGGTAGTTGGCGCTTTAGCTTCTCAGGATTATCGCATGGTGGCAGCTCAGAGGAAGGATGAACCTAGCCCCCTTAACCTGTCCCATCATACCCCTGACCAGCAGGGTGAGGGGCGAGGGTTAGCCAAGAACCCTGCAGAGCTGACAGAGAAAAATCAGGCCCGTGGGCTCTATCCTCAATCCCATCAAGAAGCGGTGAAACATAGACCTTTACCCAAAGCAATGGTTGTAGCTAATGGCAACCTGGTGCCCACTGGAACTGACCCAGGCCTGCTGCCTGTGGGCTCGGAGATCCTGGTGGCATCAAGTCTGGACATGCAGGGCAGAGCCACCTTCCCAGACAAGGAGCCAACGCCACCCCCCGTTACCTCCTCCCACTTGCCCTCCCATTTCATGAAAGGCGCCATCATCCAGCTGGCTACAGGGGAGCTGAAGCGGGTGGAGGACCTCCAGACCCAGGATTTTGTGCGCAGTGCCGAAGTGAGTGGGGGGCTGAAGATTGACTCCAGCACGGTTGTGGACATTCAGGAGAGCCAGTGGCCTGGATTTGTCATGCTGCATTTCGTGGTCGGTGAGCAGCAGAGCAAAGTGAGCATCGAGGTGCCTCCTGAGCACCCCTTCTTTGTATATGGCCAGGGTTGGTCCTCCTGCAGCCCTGGGCGGACTGCACAGCTCTTCTCTCTGCCCTGTCACCGGCTACAGGTGGGGGATGTCTGCATCTCTACCAGTTTACAGAGCTTGAACAGTAACTCCGTTTCTCAGGCCAGCTGCGCTTCGTCAGGCCAGCTGGGGCCCCGAGAAAGGCCTGAGAGGACAGTCTTGGGACCCAGAGAGCTATGTGACAGTGAGGGGAAGAGCCAACCAGCAGGAGAGGGCTCCCGTGTGGTAGAGTCCTCCCAGGCTGAGCCTGGTGCTCAGGCCTGCTGGCCAGCTCCAAGCTTCCAAAGATACAGCATGCAAGGGGAGGAGGCACGGGCTGCGCTGCTCCGTCCCTCTTTCATTCCACAGGAGGTAAAGCTGTCCATCGAAGGGCGTTCCAATGCGGGAAAATGAACATCTTCTCCAGACCAGGCATGGGGATGTAACCCCAGCGCTGGGCCTCACCATAGGCAGGCAGAGGAGTTGCACACGCTGAGCAGGGAAAGGCTCTCTGGGGGAAAGAGGAGGCATGGAGATAGCCTCTCCAGGTGGGACCCGTTGCTCATTGCCCCCATGGCATCCTTTCAAGACAGCCCCAGAGGGTGCTGTGTCGGAGCACAGCAGGCCTGAGCCAAGAAAGGAACGGGGTGCACACAGAATAAGAAACATTCCAAAACCAGGGCCTCCCTGTTCTTTCCTCTCCATCCCTAGCTCTGGTGAGGGAAAGTACAGGCTTTGGGAGCAGGTGGCAGAGGGAGGCAGAAGAGAAAGAGCCAAAAATGATGATCCACAGCTTATAGTAGCAGTTAAACTGTCTGAAGTTTTTGTTTTTTGGTTTTTTTTTTTTTCTTCATTTCTTTGGTGGAGGGCAGGAGGCCCAATGGTTGGAAATAAGAGGGTTCCCACCCAGGACCCGTCTTGTGAGCAATGTGCACTTTAAAGGGTGATTTTGTTACAGACGTCTGTGGCTGGGTTTGTTGGGGTGGAGCGCTGTCACCTAAAGGACTCTGCTTGAGCCTCTGCTCCAGCCCTTTCCTATCTCTTCCTCACCATTCCTACAAGGCTTCTAGGGAGCCGAAAGAGAGAGAGAGAGGCCTCTCCAGGGTTCACTGAAAGGGTTGGAGAACTCTGAGACAAGGACTTGATAGCTGGGTGATGTTGGGGCTCCAGGCAAGGCCTCTGGAAAGGTGTCTGGCCTCACAAAGCTCCTCCCACACAGCATGCCAAGCAAGTGATGGAGCGCCTCGTTGGTAAATGGTGACTTTGGAAAGAACCAGTGGAGCCTCTCCCCCAGGCACCCATCCCCCTCCGACCTCTGTGTGTCGTGCCTAAGTGCCTGCGCTGCCCCCACCCTTTTGCTGCCCTGACCCTCTGCATGTGTTGTGCCCTGGGCGTCATTTGTGGCTGCACTGCCTCTCCTTTGCAAAGTTGACTGTCCTCCAACCAAGACCTCTGATTTGCTTCTCAGCTATGCTCTCTGGTTTTGAAAACTCAAAATCATGTCCCCTCCTCTGCTGCTGCTGCCAAACAGCTTGGTGGAGAACCAAGAAGGGAACTATGCCCTGAGCCAGGGCAGATGCCCCCACTGGGCAGTGCCCATCCTGGCACTTTTCCACAGCCATTCCCAACTTAATCCACTGACTCTCATACCATTCAGAACTCTGCAAGCTGTGCCCTCTCACCGCCAGCTCCAAGGTTCCAGGATGTCCTTGATAATATTTCATTGCCTGAAGTAGATTTCGTCTCGTGATGGTACTTGCCTCTGCAAAGAGTATTTTCCATCTTATTTGCATTTACCCCTGTACATCTTTTAGTATCAGCTTTGAGTGTGGAATTCCACTGGGTATTGGGAATTAAGCTCTTCCATCAACTTAGGTGGGTGACTTTTTGTTTGTGTTTGGGGGATTGGGTCTTTAGACTCTTGAAGGCAACTCAGGGTATTGTCTTACACCCAGCCCTCTGGTTAGGCTTCTAGGGTATGACCCTGGCATTTCCTTCATAAATTTACCGGGACTGGCTGAGATCTGATGTCTGCTCTGTCAAAGACTTTAGGCAAGTCTTGTGACCTTGCTCTTTCACTTCCTCCCCAGCTGCCAAATGGGGATAAATAATCTTACCTACCTCCTGGGAGGAGGGGAAGTTCTGAGAATGGAGTCATTCTTAGTGTTCAGGTGCTAAAGGTTGTTCTCCTGGGGGAACAGTGACTGTATCTGCTTGTTTGCTACAAGCCCTACACTCCACTCTTGATTTCTTGAGAGCCAGTTACCTGGTCAGTCAGCTTTTGGGGTCCATCCAAGGAAGCCATTGGGTCTGACCATGAGTACTCACTCTCCACTTCCTGTCAGAACCAACACCAACCTTGTGCTGCATTGTGATCATGCCCTTTCCTTCTTCTGTTCCCCATTCTCTCTGAATGCTGCTTTCTTGGGCTTGTTCCCTCCAGTGGGGCCCTGTGGGGTTGGGTCTGGAGGAAAACCCCTCAGATAAGAGCTTTGGGGAAGCCCTCTTTCCCTGGCTGTCTCATGAGTAGCTCTTCCCTAAGGATAATTGTACGGGTTTCTGACAAGCATCCTTCCTTCTGGGAAGGCTCATTGAATCTAGCGACATGCACACAGAAGATGCTCAAGAAATGTCCTCCAAGGACAACTAACAGCTTCCTCCTATGGGAGCCAACCTATCTCTTAACCAGGTTCAGGCCAGATAGGTTAGATCATGTCACCCCCCCTGAGGCCAGTTGTGACTTCCCAGCCTGGGAACTTCTGCGTAACCCTGGGAAGTTGGTCCCCGCCTTCTGCTGCTGCTTCCCATGTTCCTTGCTGGAGAAGCAACGCCAGCAGCTCCCCTGATGCTGTGCCATGTGTACAGAGTATAATACTTGATTTTGCTGAGTTGGAAATCTGTCTTTCCTGAAGTAGGATTGCTTTAGGCAAAGGAGCTCTGTGCTGTACATCTTGGTCAGAGCTGGTATCATTTTTGCCTTTACTCTGTTCAGTCTTTTCTTCCAGGCATGAGAAGTAAGAATCAGTGGTATGCCCATGCTTCTTCATGCTAATTTCCTAAGTTTGCAAGAGACAGAGTGGTTTTAATGGGAAGGAAGAGGTCAGCTTTTGACGATGGCTAAAGCCAGTCCCTTGTCAGGGTGGGACATTCTCAGAGTTGCGTGTGGAAAGGAGTTACCAGTAATGCTGGCACTGTGCAGAAATGCTGATACTGATTTGGGAGAAGAGGAACCTGGTAATGGAATCACAATAATCCCAATCTTGTATCATCATTTCTATTAAGACTAGTGTCTGAGGGAGGGGTGGCATGAAAGAAGGGGCTCTGGGAATGAAGAACCAAGCGCATGAGGCCAAGGGGATGGGGGTGTTCGTTAGAGATGGCCTAACCCTTCTGCTCTCTTGGTCCCAGTGGGTTGCAACACCAAGAGCTTTGTGCTATGCTGCTTTGCTACTGCTGCTCGGTGTCTTGCCTGCTGCCTTCTCTAACTCCCAGTCCCTCCATGTCTTCAGTCATGTAGATTAAATCCAGGCCTCCTGTTCGTTCTTCCCTCTGTTCTGCCAGTGTTATTTTATAGCAGTCATGTCAGATGGGGATGGTAGGAAATGCTGCTGGTGAGCTGGTGAATCCAAAGGGATATGGCGTCAGTGCTGTCAGGAGCCTTGTGGCTCTAAAGATTTGACTGTATTGAAGGAATAAGTGGGTCTTGCAAGTAGGTTTTCTGTTGTATTTACTTATTTCCTTTGTGGTTTCTTGTGTGCTGTTTTAATAACTAAGGGAGGGGTACCACCGCACCTGTGCCAGTATTCTAGTGAGTATGTCTAGCTCAAGTTGTGGGTTTGGGGTAGAAGAGGGTTTGAAGTTTGACTAGCCCCTTTGGAGGAGTTTATTTATATTATTGCCAGTGGGCATCATAGGTGATTATGGGGGTGCATAGGATGGTGGCATGAGTGAAATTGGCTGTATACAGGCATCCTGAAAAGTTGAGTGATCACACTGGAGCTAAAGGCTGGATATGGGGATTACTGGGAAAGGGCCGGGGTCCTTGGAGTAAAGATAGTCTAGTGAACTGAATTGGCCATCGGAGATTAGGTCACAGTCTTAGAAGCAAATAGAACAGAGGCTAAGTTCCAGGGAGATAGCTTAGCCTCCTAGGGCTAAGTTTATTTAACACACTGAAGCTACAGTAGTTTCCAGATGGGAAAAAGGAAACACTACAGTTAGAGACCTGACCGTACTAGGTTGGATGTTTTGATCGGGAACCTATTAGTCCTTTGCTGGGAGGTCACCCTCCAGCTTCCCTGGGGTAGGGAAGGTCTCCCACATTATGCAATAATAAAACAAGCATCTGGGTCTTTGCAGCTGTCAGTTGTTCTTTCAACTCCAGGATCCAGCTTTGGGCCAGAAGGCTGGTCTGGGCCTAGGAGGACACTGGCCTCGAGATGCTCGAGCAGCTGCACACTTTCCTGCCGACTATGCACAGCGCCGGGGCGGAAGGAGGAGAGGTGGCAGTTGGCTCTGTTGAGCCTCCCCAGCAGGAACAGTAGTAATAAATGCACTTTTCTCACACTAAGGTTTCTTTATTTGTTCACCTGTTAAGCCTAGCTCCTTCCCCACTAGATTGCAAACTCGAAGTCTGTGTGATCCCAAAGCCATTCCACTGCACATGCCCAGCAGTGAGAATGGCCTCAGATTGGGTCCCTGTCTGCAGTGTGTGTGGCAGCAGCCCATGTGCCTTTACCTATTGTCAAACTTGCAAGCATTTATTCTGTCTTTCTGACTATCATGAGGACTGAGGCTCTTCAGAGAGAAAGAGCAAACCGATGACAGTGGTTTTACACCTACCCTTGGACAGGGAGTTTGCACATACTTGTGAGCTGTGAGTGGTTTGTGCACTGCTGGTGTCACTGAAGGCAGGTTGATCTCGCTTGGTAGTCACAGTCAAGAGAATCTCGATTGTGTTGGGGAAGAGACCAGCTCTACTCATGGCTAACTTGAAGTATTAAAATAAGGCTGTCCCTACAAGTTTCCTAGTCATACAGGATCCCTGTAGCCAAAACAGTGGAAGTTCCAGCTGCAGAGAGTAGACTGCTCTCAGCTTGCACAGCACCTTAGGGGAGGGAAGAATAGACAGATCAGGGATGGGGTGGAGAAAGAAGGATGGGAATGTTGTCATCTAGGTGGCTTTAGGGTCCTGAGGAATAGAGAAGGACGGCACTTGGGGAGGTGTGGATGGATCTGTGTAGGAGTTCCCTGTAGATAAATTTCTGATCCCCCAACTACTATCCCCAGTATGTAATGGCTGACTTAATATGTAATCAACTGCATTGTATCTAAAGCCTTAGAACTAGTCAGGTGCTCCCCCCCACCCAATACCACTTCTTACCCTCTAATCCTACCTGATCTTTAACAAAGCATTAATAATTCTAAGGATAATCTCTATTTTGTTGTGCTTTTTTGTAACTGTTTTAAATAAATCAATTTGTACTGTATATTTGTACTTTTGTGAGATCCTTTTTGCTGTTTTACCATTTTAAGTCTCTGTACTTGGCTACACACAGATTGTATTTTTATTGTTAATGCTCTTCTTATGGATACCTGCATTTAACTTGTGGACTATGTAAACACAATATATATCAATATCTATATATCTATATATCTATCTATATAAACTACTAGCTTTTCCTTTCGGTGTTTGCGCCTTCTTCCTACCCCAGCTTTAGATGGTGTCACTGGATGGGAAACAGAAATGATTTGGGGAGAGCACTTATAAAAGAACACAGATAGTGTGTTGTGCGTGGTGAGTATGGGGTGGATGGTGCAAGCTGGCCTGAAGCATGGTCTGCATGGTCTTTGGTGTGTGTTTCAGAAACTGGAAATCCACCTGTTGACATGGCGGAATCAATCACAACTACCTGTGGTTGCCGTCACTGCTGACCCTATCCCCAATTCTTCATTCAGGAGCACTGCCAAAAATTGCTGGAAAAAAAAGTCCCAGTAATAGCTCTTGCTTCTTAGAAAGCAAGCCACCAGTGAGTGGTCAAACACTCAGATAAGTGATTTGGACATAATGACACTTAAGAGTATCCAAAGTGCTATGTATATGTAATAAAGCACATTTGTTACTAGTGTTATTTCTGTTTCATGGGTTGGGGAAGCCACAACAGAGGTTAAATATCTTGCCCCAAAGTCACACAGCTAGTAAATGGCAGGGCACTTGTGAACCCTTCTGATTTCGGAATTTGTGTTAACTGAGAGTTGGTTGAGAAAATGAGATCATTGATGTTAAGTGCTGAGAATAATCTATAGCACAGAGTGTGTGCTCACCCATTTTTAACCATCCTAAGAGTAGGCTTTAGAATGGAGCTCTGGAGGAGGCATTTAGATAAACTTAATTAATTTTCTTTCAAGTAGATTTTTCAGAGCAAATGCCTCCGCCTGCTGGGCCGAAGTTAATCTTGATTTGGGGAGGGTCAGGTGAAATGAGTGTAAATACCCTTGGATCTGTGGCTGTAGAGTTGTGATGATATCAGAAAAGATCGACATTCCTGGCATAGTTATTTTTCTAAAATTTAACTAGGGCCCTTCCTTGTAAATCTTAAGATCTATAATTACCTAAACTGCACACAGCCTTTGGTGTAGGCAAAGGAAAGCTGTGTGCTCATTCTGCACTGTCTCAGAAGTTTCTTAGAAATGATCTCAGTTCTTGATTCCTCCATGATCTAGTAGCTATAGGAACTGCCAGGGCAGTCACTTTGCTGTGGCTTTCTGCTGCTTTTGACTTGAGCTTCCTATCTCCTTAATGTGGCATTTTCCTCAGTGGGTTTTATTATTCTGTGGTGACTCTGGGGAATACACAAGAAGATGAAGTAACCCTTTTCCAAATATGAGCTCCTTGGTACTGTGGACCTTAATACTTCAACCATTTCTACACACAAAGCCCTTGACTTAGGGCTGTGCACTGCTGTGCACTGTGGTATTTTAAATGTCTGACAGTGTTGCTGTGGAAAGCAGCCTGAGCCTAGCTTAAAGGGCTACATAGTCTAGTGATGAGGAAAGCCCCTTACTGCCTGTGACTCCGCAAAAGGTAAGCTAGGTTTTAGTAACCCTTAGGGCCACTGAGATCTTCATTTTTTGATTGTGGGAATGATCCTCACAAAGTCGACATTGCTCCTTCAGCGTCACCGTTACTCCTTAGCTAGGAAGGGTCCTCTGCTGAAACAGCCGCAGTGACTTCAGCACACTCCCTCAGGAGACGGTCAGCACAGGCCACTGCCTGAGAGCTGCCACTCGCCTCCCTCCTAGCTCACTGCATTTGCTAGAATGAAATAGAAAGAAAAGCAGGAAAAGCCAGTAAAGATAAAAATTTAATTTATTTGTCCTCACAACTTCGTGGGCCATATCTGGGGCCCCACAGTCCCAAAGCCCAGCCTACAGCAGTGGGCTATCAAGTCCTGTCCTCTGGGAGCGCCTGCTCCCTTGTCCAGAGCTGCCTTGGGCTGGGTGCCTCCTGACCCACATGCAAGGGGTACACAGGTCCACCTGCAGCCAGCTTGGGCCTGCCCCTGGCAGCAAGGATGACCTTGGGATGGCTGCAGCACTAACTCCTGTGACTGGGGTAGGTGCAATGCATGGGGGGAGGGTGGGCAGGAGGGTTCAGTGCAGAGAGCTGCTGTTCTGCTCTTCAAAGGCCATCTTACCCAGAAGCTGGCTGTCCAGTTCCACCCCACTGACAGGTAACTGGAAGAAGTTCATTTCAGCTGCTAAGGCTGCCATGGCTGAAGGGTCCTGGCCAAACTGAGCTCGCAACATCATGTCCATTTTCTCCAGCCTCCTCTTGAGTCGCTTGGCCTCTCGCTCTCGGATGAGCCGGGCCTGTCGCTTCTCTGGGGTTTCGTTTGCCCGCTTGAGCCGCATGGCCTCCCGATCGCGCTGTAGCCGGCGTGCCCGCTGCTCATCTGTCTCTTGCATACGCTGTAGGCGCTTGGCTTCCCGGTCCCTCATGCGCCTCACCTCCCGCTCCTCTGGGGTTTCATTGTCCCGACGGCTCTTCTTGGCCGTGCGTTCCCGTTCTAACCGCTGTAGCCGCACTTCCAAAGGCTCATTCTGTCGACGTAAGGCCCACTTGCGTACACTGGGGGTCTGAGCTTCCAGTAGCTTACGGTAGGCAGCACAATTGTTGCACACAAGCAGAATTCCAGCAGGGTACACTGCAGGACTAAAGGCAATGTCTTTTCCCTCAGTGCTGGAGGGTCCCTCATTATGGGCTGGGGGTAGGGATTCCATGTTAAGTACTTCAGGAAGTTTCTCACTGGAAAGCAAACATGCATGCTTAGTGTTTCCTTCTTGCAAGGTTCTGGTATATCCAGCCCAGACCTATTTACCCACCAGATTGGCTGCTTCACCACTAGGGGTCAGTGTGAATGCCTGGGAGGCGTCTTCTTTTTGGGCTAGGGTGGTCTACCAAGTCTTAAAGCCCCAGCCTGGAATTAGAGACTCAGCAGATTGCCACAACAACCTTCAAAAAATCAGTGTGAGGTTGTCATGCAAGGTGGAATGAGGGTGTTTGGTAAGAGCTGTGCAGGGCAGCCCTGCTGTGGAATGAAGAGTCCTGGAAGGGAAAGCTTCCTTCATTAGCCATTCGGCCTGCCCCCCTCATCTGCCACTGCCTGCAATGAGAGGGAGACCTCTGCATTGTATGCCAGGCAAGTGGCATGAGGACACAGTAGAAATGTAGGCCCTTGCATCAGGTCCTCAGCACCCTGTAACTGCTCTTCAACATGTTGTTTCATTCATGATATTTGACTTCCCTACATCTCTTTCTAGTTGCAACTACTATTCAGAAGAGGGGAAAATGGGAATTCATTTCCTTTTGAGGATAGGGAATGGAATGGGCACACATATTTCCTAGCCTTAACTTGTGCTTCCAGATGATCATGACTCAGTTGCCTTTGCATTAATCTCTAGCCTTCCCCTAGACTTGGAAAAGAACTCACCCAGTAACTTATTCCCAGCAAAACAGGGGGTTAAGTGCCCAGCTAACCTGTTAAAGGTGGCATGGCTGGTGAAACGGGCTCCACACACAGCACAGTTAGACCGCTGGTCCTCTGAGTGGATTAGGAGGTGGCGACCCAGTGACCCTGGGGAGCTGAGGGCCCGGCCACAGACAGGACACATGTAGCTCTTGGCACTCACCACTGCTGCAGTGTGCTGTAAAACAGAATCTTCACTCATCAATCTTACACTACCTCCAGGACAGTCTGTACTCACTTGCTAGGTATGAAACTGTTTCCTCTGTTAAGCTCCTCGACAAGTCAGTCTCTTATTAATGGGTTTGGCTTTGCTCAGGTTTCATTTGCTTGAGGTCCGACTGCATTCTAGAATACATGGCTGGCTTGAGGGACACAAGGCTCTAGAGGCAGAGCCCTCTTCAAGCCTGACAGGAATAACTTCTCTATCTCCGGGCACATACTGTGCAGTTACCAAGTGCATGTTAAAGGAGTGATGAAGGCAAAATCTAGAAGCTGGTAGGGAATACTGATACATATATATATATATGTAAGAATTATTTATGCCCTGCCTTCCTCAGTCTTTGAGACAATCTTTGAAGGAAATATTGATCCACAAGAACCAACTTTATGGTACAACCCAGGAGCTCCATGTACCGGTGCTTTTTCAGTATGGATCATAAGGCACAGGTGTCTTGCAATTGGGCTGGAGGGTTCAGAGATGAAATTCTGTTATTTTGATCCCCTTGTACACACTGACATGAATACTTCAAAAACATTTGTGTTAAGTAATTTTTAACTGTTATTTTCATCCCTTTGAAAGGCAGAGTGGCACAGTAAGAGGTTCCCTCTGCTAGTTCACGTCCCCAAATGACTGTAACAGCCAGGACTGGACCAAGGTGAAACCAGGTACCTGGAACTCCATCCAGGTCTTCCATGTGGATGGCACGGGCCCAAGGACTCAGGCCCTCTGCTGCTTCCCAGGATGCAGCAGCAGGCAGCTAGACTGAAAGTGGAGGTGAGGGCTCAAACTAGCACTCTGATATGGAATAGTGGGTGTCTCAAGCAGCAATTTAAGCCGTAGGCCACTACATCTGCCCCTAATTGTTTTTTCTCTTTAAAACAAAGCCCTATGCAGGCATTTGGCCTAATGTCTGACACACCTGTATCCCAGGTTGGAGTTCCATGGATTCAATACCCTGCTCTGCTCCTGATCCAACTTCCTTCTAATGCAGACCCTCAGATACAGCGTTGGCTCGTGCCACCCATGTGGAAACGTGGATTCATTCTTGACTCCGAGCTGTGACCCAGTCAGTGGTGTTGTAAGCATCTGGGGAGTTAACCAGCACACAAGGGCTGTTTCTGTTTGTCTATATCTCTGCTTCTCAAATAAATACAGATGTTAAAAATTAGAGATGTTTAAGAAATAAAAATAACAAAGTCCTCAGGATCTGGTGTGGTGGCAGAGTGGCTAAGTCTTCACCTTGCACACGCTGGGATTACATATGGACACCGGTTTGTATCCTGGCTGGCTGCCTCACTTCCCATCCAGCTCCCTGCTTGTGGCCTGGGAAAGCAGTAGAGAGCCTTGGGACTTTGCACCCACATAGGAGACCTGAAAGAAGCTACTGACTCCTGGCTTCAGATCAGCTCAGCTCTGGCCATTGCAGCCACATGGGGAGTAAAGCAGCAGATAGAAGATCTTTCTGTCTTTCCTTCTCTCTGTGTAAGTTGCCTTTCCAATAAAGATAAATCTTTCAAAAAAAAAAAAAAAGCCCTCAGTCTTAGTAATGTAGTTTCTCCATCATCATATGAAACATTCATTGATTCCTGGGAAAGCAAAGGATAATGGCCCAAGTATTTGATCCTCTGTCATACACATGGGCAATCTGGATAGAAACTCTAGCTCATGACTTTGGCCTGTCCGGGGCCTGGCAGTTACAGCAGTCTTGGGGTGAACCAGTAGATGGGAAATCTATTTTTCTGCCTTTTCCTTTCTATCAGCCTTTTAGAAGAAAATCTGTTTAGAAATGTAGCAAATAGTTTAGAAAAGCAATGATTTTCATAGTTTATCTGGGAACATATTTACCCAACATATCTCACTTATTCTCTGCAATGTTTTGAGGTTTAGAGTTGAGTCTTAATGGAAGCGACAACCCATACTTCCTTTAGGAGGCAGAGGCCCGGCCAAAACAGCATCTGGGGATTTGAGCTACCATCAGGCTGCCAGAGCCGGTACTGCAAAGCACCCAGCTTCCCGTACCATACCTGGTACACGTGAGCGATCAGCTGCTCCCGACTCCCACAGTCCAGCTGGCAGAGGGGACACCGGCAGAGCTCAAGCAAGGGGTCAGAATTCAAACTCTCAGTGACCTGCAATTTAACAAATTGTAAATTCAGTAAGATTCTTGACTAGTCTCTTCCTAGCCCAGCCCTTTTTAAGAGGGAATCCTGCTATTAAGTAATAGTTAAAAGGGAAGTAAACTGCACCCATGTTCATCTATTTTCTGTTTTTACTTATTTGGAAAATAGAGACGGATTTCCCATCTCCCCACATCTCCGTGCATAGCCAGGGGTGAGCTAAACTGAAGTCAGAGGTTGGAAACTCAGTTGGGATCTCCCACGAGAATGGTAGAGACCCCACCACCTGAGCCTTCACCTGCTGCCTCTCAAGTTGCACATCAACAGGAAGCTGGAACTGGATGTGAAGCCAGGACTCAAACCCAGACGCTCTAACATGGGATGTGGCTGTCCAAAGTGATATCTCACCTGCAATTCCAAATGCCTACCCTCAACTTGCATTCAGTTTGACCAAAACTTCCTGTCATGAGGACATAGGTTGTCCCACAAAGAGCTGCTCTAGTTTATCTCCCAAAATTAAAGAAACAAGTAGCAGGCTCGGTATAGTAGCCTAGTGGCTAAAGTCCTTGCCTTGAATGCACCGGGACCCCATACAGCTATCGGTTTGTATCTCAACTGCTCCACTTTCGATCCAGTTCCATGCTTATGGCCTGGGAAAGCAATCAAGGACAGTCCAAAGCCTTGAGACCCCACGTGGGAGACCAGGAGGAAGCTCCTGGATCTTGGCTTCAGAATGGCTCAGCTCTGGCTGTTCACTTGGGGAGTGAATCAGCAGACGGAAGATCTTTCTCTTTGTCTCTCCTTCTCTCTGTAAATCTGACTTTCCAAAAAGAATAAATAAATCTTAAAAAAAAAAATAGCTTCCCTTTTACTGTGCTCAGTGAAGGAATTCTCAGGAAACAAGTGAGTGAGAAGATAGCACTTCAAATAACACTTTGATTTAAATTTGCAAGCACATTCTAGAATAAACCTTGGGAAGGCAGCTCTTCATTTTGAAAAGGTGGACATCATGTCTGGAAAGAAGTGGGGAGCTTAGGGAAGGAGAGTGTTACTTGAGCTGCAGTGAGGGAAGGTGGAAAAAAAGCTGGGTGCAAAAAGAACTGTGGCTAAGGGGTGGGCTCTGGGGCTACACAGGAAGGTGCTGCATCTGAGGGTCCTGGAGACCATTCCAGGAAGGATGGTGACACGTGCGAGAGAAGCATTCAGACAGAATAGAGGGGTAGGATGTTCCAAGACTCAGGGGCTGTCACTTGCCTCATGGTCTACCAGTTTGTTCCCACCAACAGGTTGCTCTGCATTCTCTAACTCTTTTTCGACTTTGACCACCCCTCCATCTTCCTCTGATGTGTGGGAAGAGACTTCATCTTGTGTGGTCTCCTCTTCATCACCCTCACTGTCACCTGGAACACACAAACTGGTCATTTGCTCTGATTTTTCCGCATGAACACTTACTGAGCTGTCCTCCCTAAAGTTTGCAGCTATAATGAAAAACACTCAGATATTCACTAATATCAATTCTTAATTAGGTACAAAGCATATGAAGTGGAAGCCAGCAAAGCTATTATGCTAAGTATGTACTAAAGAGAAAATGATTATTGGGCCCTCTATATTGTCACAAAAAGAATCCTTCTATACAGTTGTCAAATATCTCACACTTCCTAGGGACCTCACAGCATACCACACTTTGACTGTGCAACAGGTCTTGCTGATCTTACTTTTCTCTGTGGTGCCACACTGACTATTCTACTAATCTACTCTTTTCCAGAAAAACCAAGGCAGACTCACAGTAGTAGCACCATCAAGTTCTTCTTTCTACCAGTAAAGGAGGCACTAATGAATTCGGTAAACAATGATGTCACTTTAGAGGTAAAGCGCTGTTTTTTGCAGTGGAAAAATCCCCACAGCAACCAGCCTCAGACAACTTGCAGCAGAATGCCCTCTACACTGTTGCCACTCCACTAGGACACAGCATTCCAAGCTATAGAAACCCATTGTTTCTGTCAGTCTTTCAGAGTAACTGATGGATAATGGAATGTACTAAGTGGAAAGGATGGGTCATTCTGCACTTGAGAATCAAATGTAATTTCTTATGACTATAGGGGACAGGATGTGGCTGTGGGAAGATGTGCCAGTGGGGATCTGCAAAATTTGTGTGAGCTAATTATTTGTTTCTCTATTACTTATAAGAAAAAAAAACTTAAAAACCAAAAAACCCACAGTAACAGAGTTCTTTCTCAAAGGAAAACAAAACACAACAAAAGCTAGTACTTTGAGGATAGGAAGAGGAAGGTAAACCTGGGGATGCTGTCAGACTCCACCCTGTCCCAGCCACACCTAGGCACTCTGCTCTGCAGATGGGGTTTCCTGGTCTCTCCACTACTTCCTGCACCTTTTCACAGGCTGCTGCTATCTGGGCAACAGCTGGCCTACATTCCCTTTCGTTAGGACAAAGTCTAGCTAAATCAGCTGCATTATATGCTGTAGTCAGTCAGTGGCCTGGAGGTGGGCCCTCAAAGAGCTATGGCATCTGTGCCTCAGTCCAAGCCCAAAGCATCACTTCATTTGAATCCATCTCGAAATTGAAGGATGGGTGATTTAATTATACTGTGTTTTCTCACCAGCTTCCTACTGGAATACTTGTCTAAGACAATTTTATAGCAAACACATTTTTATAATTTATCATTAGTCCAAGTAACTCTGCTGGAATGATATTTTAAAAATAAATGTGCTGTCTAGAAAGCACATTCCAGAAATGATAGAACCCTTCTGGACTTTTGTAAATGTTCCTGTTCTTACCTGGTATTCAAGAAACGGATGGTTCCCATAGGTTTTCTAGAAATTTAGGGGTTCATGTTCTGTACCTGGGTGATTAGTCATGGAATTATTATTTTATGGTGTTGCTTAAACATTTATATAAGCAGAAACTGTAGTTTGGAGATGGTTATAGAACTTTTTCTTTGATATCCCCCAGACTCATATATGGAGAAAATCAGATGTCATTCTGAATTGACTATACTAACCAGCATCAAACTTCTGAGATCAGCAAAGTATGGAAATCTTTGCAGGAAATAAAACATCTCACAAGGTATCTGGAGGTCATAGGAACAACAATCGTGAGGCTCTACTTGTAAGAGCCTGTTTCCATTTTTGTTGACCACAGGGATCTAACTAGGAACTTGGTGTGGTGGGAAGAGCTCTACGTTAGTATTTCATGTGTTGCATAATATCATCACCAAGTGACATAACTGGGTCCTCAAGTAAAAACTGATCAGTGCTATCCTTATGTTTTACTAATTATGTATGAGTACACCCTAGGAGACAGGGAGTTTTTCCTCAGTTACTGTGGCGTTTCTGTCACAACCATCACAGACCTAGCTGAACTGCACAGTGCTAAGTGCTGTACTCTGCATTCACAGAACATGATGCCAGACCTGCCCTGTCTTTCTGGAAAGCCCATGCTCACACACCTGTGAATCCATGGGGGCCTTAAGGACTCATCCATCTCCTCCTTTGTATTTCCTCCCAGCCCCCATGCAGCATCCCCAGAGCACACACACTCTGACCATTCTTCTCCCATTGCCCTGAGTCATTACCAGAAGGTGCGGAACTCACTGCTACTGGAGTCCTGATCTCTTAGTTGTTGGATAGCTTGTCGCTGACTGCCAAGGTCTCCAGGAAAATCAGTTTTCATCATCGCCTGGCGGGCTTGCTCTTCTAACCCAGCAAATACTTGATCCCCTGGTGGTCACAAGGAAAAATAGTCAGGCCACCAGCTGGAAAGCACATCCCCAGGCAAGCTGGCTGGACGGTCAGACCCTTCAGAGGAGGAGACGGGCAGGTACCCGTGGTGGGCCATTCAGCTCTGAATCAGCCGGCTGTCTCCAGCGGCTTCTGGGCACAGCTTCTCCTCCTGGGCAGTAAGCCAGATGCTCTAGGAAGTACAGCTTGCTACTTTTAAATCCTCATAGACTTGACTTTTTCCAAAGACAATCAACAACCTCTTTACAAAACTACAGCATCTCAACTCCATTTACAGCCTTAGCTCAGGTTTGGGGAAACAGAGACAAGAAGTGGCAAAAGGATGAGATGAAATGGGGTGCCCCATCTGAGAAGGACTTTAATGTGCTCCCATTACAGCCCTGCCTCAGTTTTCATCTCTAACCATAAACAAATGTTTCCAGTGATCCTTTGGGTGGTAATCTCTCTAACTCCATTTCTCATCTGGTTCCCTCTCAAAACATGCTTTTGCAGTTTTCCCCTTTCTAGTGCAATCAGATTCACACAGGATCAGAGGAATAGATGACATATGAACTAATTTCTGCTGAGAATAACCTTTCAGAAACACATTCATATACAACAGGTAATATCTGTTTAGTCTCCTGGGTTCAGTGTGGTCTCTTTATTTTGTATTTAGTATCCAATGGCCCTGGACTTGTCCTTAAGTTTCTATTTCATGGGATCCATGCAGTTGATGAAGAGTTAACACTGAAGTGCTTTTTTATTTCCAGGAGACCACATCGTAAGAACAAAAATGAGTTCAGTTTTTCCATGGTTTCCATGATCTCAGTTACAGTGGAAACTACAGTTCCCATTCCCTGGCCAGCAAAAAGGAAGAACAAAAAGCCCTGATGAGATGTCTGACATCAGAGCAGGAGTGAGGAAGGAGAGTAAACAGGCTCAGGTTCCCAGACAGGGCACAGTGCTGTGGGAGGGATGGCCGGAGGAGTTCAGCTGCACTCCAGGTGCTCCAGCAGGCTAAGCTTCGTGGTTCACTCAGCCAAACCCTGAAACAGTTACAAGTGACACTAGCTGTTTCCAGGCTGCTTGTTAAGGGCTTTAGTCATTAGCTCACCTGTATTTTGTACAAAACTCTAATTACTATCAATATATAACTGAAGAGGAAGCTAAGGTCTGTGTTGGAACCAAATACTCAAATATGTCTATCCAACTGTAACGTGTGGTATATTTTTAAAATAACTTTCTAAGAAAGTATTAAAAAAAAGGTTAAAACGTTCATCAAGGTGTTTTGCTAAAAACAAATACTTATGTTTATTTGAAGAAAATGGCTATGTTCCAAGTGTGGTGTTAATTTCATATCACGAGAAACTGATATATACAATTGAAATGGCAAAACAGTGTTCTCAGGCAAGTATGTGACAAAAGCAAAAATGACGGATCTGACACCATGTCATGAGTTATCAAGCCAGGATTAGAGAAACTAACATTATAGTTGTTATGACTCACACTGTGGGTGGAAACGGAGGTGGTTGGTACTGAAGCTACTCCCAGTTCACAGCCCTCCAGTAAAGGAAAAATAAGCTGCTTTAATTAAGTTTTCATAATATCTAAAACACCACATTGGATGACTTACTGTTAGAGGAAGAAAAAGAAATGAATTCTGTATAGATTGTTTTCTTCTCCATCTCTGCAGAAGTAAAATACTCGATTTGCCATGTTAGCTACCTGGCAAGTGCTAGATTGTGGCCGCCTGGTGTTTTCAGACATAGGGGCCAGGGCGGACATGGCACAAGGACACAAGTTACATGCTAGCATGTCATCCTCAAGGGTCAGACCTTTCTCATCAGTGACACTTTTGGTCTCTAAAAATTCCTAGCTAAACACCAGCTAAGTATCTAACATACCAAGAACAAACAATAGCTTTTTGTTTGTTTTTTCTTTTCTTAACAGAGAATCATCATTGGATTGGTAGGAAGACATCTAAAAGGACAAAGACCTTTGAGGGTGAGCCAGTGACTCAGTTTAATACCCATCAATTTGAGGTCAAATTTATGTATTTAAACACAGAATATGCAATTTATTTATTTTTAGAATTTAATTTTTATTTTATTTGAAAAGCAGAGAGACACAAAGACCTTCTATCCACTGGTTGATTCCCCCAGATGCTTGCAACAACTAGCAGTGGGCCAGTTTCAAAGTAAGAGCCTCAGACACAATCAGCATCTTCACCTGGCTGGCAGGGACCCCAGTATCTGAGCCATCACCTGCTGCCTCCCCCGAGCATGTATTAGTGGGATGCAGGATGGGACGCAGAGAATCAGAAGTCAGACCAGGCTCTCTGATACGGGAGGCTGGCATTCCCAGCAGCAACTCAGCTGCAGCACCATACCCCTCTCCTTGCTTATTTCTATTTTATTTGAAAGGCATAGAGACAAAGATAGAAAAAAGACAGAGAGAGATCCCTGATCTGCTGTCTCACTAAATGCTCCCTAATATCCAGGGCCGGGTGAGGCTGAAGCACAGAACCTGGAGCTCAGTCTGTGTCTGTCACGTGGATGACAGGGTCCCAGTGCTGAAACCATCACCTGTTGCCTTCAGGGTGTGTGTTAACAGGAAGCTAGAATGGAAGTCAAGTAGAACTTGAATCCAGACACTACAATATGACATGTGGGAGCCCCAAATGGTTCCCCATTGCTGTGCCAAGCCCACTCCCCAAATTTATTTTTAATCTATTGATTTCTTTAAAGATTTATTTTATTTTTATTGCAAAGGAAGATTTATAAAGAAAACGAGACACAAAGAGAAAGATCTCCCATCTGCTGGTTCATTCTGTAACTGGCCACAATGGTCAGAGCTGAGCCAATCTGAAGCCAGGAGCCAAGAGCTTCCTCCAGGTCTTCCATGAGAGTGCAGGGTCCCAATGCTTTGGTGCATCCTCTACTGCTTTTCCAGGCCATAAGCAGGGAACTGATGGGACATGAAACAGCCAGGATACGAACCAGCACTCATGGGAGTCTGGCTCTTGCAAAGGAAGGATTAGCCAATTGAGCCATTGCATCAAGCCCTTCTATTGACACTTTCTAAAATACTTAAGCCCTCAAAAACAGAGAAGAGTTTATCCAGTACTACTCAGCTGTCTAAGATTCTTGCTAGCAATCTTGCCTAGGATAATTGGGAAAAGTTAATTCTGTCATTCCTTTTTATGGTAGTTAGAATAAAGAGCCGTGCTGTTCTATTTTACTTTATTACTGTCTGGGGGAAAAAAGGCTAAAGTAAACTTTATTCCTCAGGAATTTTGTTACTTAAATAGCACCATAAAACAAAACATCTAAAAATCATTTAAAAATTTTTTAGCAGAACAAATGAGAACATTTAGGTGAATGATCTTCCAGTAAGTCACTATTTACCTAATCTCTAAATCTAATCACTCAGAATCATCCTTTTCTAAGCAGCTAGTGAGACTTGCTGAAAATATGTTAACTCAAGTAAAATATGATCCAGAGGAGCCAGCATCATTCATGGTGGAGTAGGCTGTTTCAGCCTTTGGCTCCAGCACCCCATATGGGTACAGGTTCAAGTCCGGGCTGCTTTACTTCCAGTCCAGCTCCCTTCTTATGGCCTAGGGATGCAGCGGAGGATGGCTCAAATCCTTGGGCCCCTTCACCCACGTGGGAGACCCAGAAAAAGCTCCAGGCTCCTGTCTTTGAATCAGCTCAGCTCAGCTCTAGTCACTGGTGGCCACTGATGAGTGAACCAGTAGATGGAAGATCTCTGTCTCTCTCAATGTCTCTTCTTCTTTCTGTAAATATGCCTTTTAAAAAAAAGAGTGATCCAGGGCCTGGCAGTGTGGCCTAGTGGCTAAGGTCCTCACCTTGAACGCACCAGGATCCCATATGGTCGCCGATTCTAATCCCAGCAGCTCCACTTCCTATCTATCTATCCTCCTCTCTGTATATCTGACTTTGTAATAAAAATAAAACAAATCTTTTTTAAAAAAAAAGTGATCCAGAGAGACAGTAATGATTAAAAAGTGTTATCAAATTGTCTGTTTTTACCATGCAGAGTTATTTGAAAGAGCTTCAGAGAAGGAAAGCCAGAGGGGAAGGTCTTCCCTCCACTGGTTCACTCTCCAGATGGCTGCAATGGCTGTGGCTGGGCCAACCAGGAGCCAGAAACTTCTTCCTCGCTTCCCACAAGAGCATAGCAGCCTGCAGATTTGGGCCCTCCTCTGCTGCTTTCTCAGGTGCATTAGCAGGGAGCTGGATGGGAAGTGAAGCAGCCGGGACCTGAATTGGCACCCATACAGATGCTGATGCTGCAGGTGGCAGCTTGACTTGCTAGGCCACAACACCAGCCCCTTATAAAACTATTTCTATCTTGAGACTGTTAGAATAGGTTTTTAAAAAATCCTATGATTCCAGATAATAATGTAGGGCCACCATCTTATCTGAATATCTATCAATGATTGAGAAGAGTCAGGTAGGCATCACAATTGAAACACCAAGTTACCATATCTCCTTTTTTTGTAGAAAATTAAGATACTGTTTGTCTCTGATTTGGCTAAGGTGTTTCAGATAAGAACAAGGCCATGTAAGTAATCTGGAGAAGAGCTGAGAAGACTGAGATGAAAGTTATGGGGATGACTAACATTCTAGAATTCTCTTTGGGTTCTTGGGACAGCTAAATAAATGCAATTTCAGGTTGACTGAAATGGATTAAAGCAGATGAAATACATTCCCTGAGACAGCAGATGTCAAGTTTAGAAATAATGGGCTAGGAATGGAAGGAGGAGCCGAGGTTTCCTCTTGGAGCTGAGAGTTTTTGTAACCCTGGGCACCATCACCTGTTGGGAACAGAGCAGTTTACCTCATAAGGATGAGAACAGAATCAAGGCAAAAAAGTTAGCTTTTTATTCCTGCTTCTCCATGAAAAGCTTTTAGTTGAAATTGAAGGTTACTGGTCTCCTATGTCATTGCAATTTGAGGTTAAAATTCTTAATTTTCCCTTTTTTGGTGGTTTGCACTAAATGCAAGTTTGCAAATGACTGTCTTTTCAAGTTCTCTTCACAGAGACCCGTCCTGGGGCGGGTGAGATGGGCCCGGGGTGGAGGAGGGAGGGGCCGTCAGTAACTTCAGCCCCTCAGCAGCTTCTCCATGATCAACAGCAGTTCTGGGCTTTATTCCAGAAGCTCCACCTCAGGTTGATTAATGAAGTGAGGTGGGCAAAACACAGGATCTGTCCAGGGTTTCTGGGGAACGGATCATGCCAGTAACTGAGACATAAAAAACGGTCCTGAGGAAAACCGAGTAAAGGCCACAGCGGCCTGTCCAGACTGCCTTGGTGGACGTCACACATGCTCCTGGCTAAGCCGTGTATGCCCGATGTGGCCTTTTGGAGCGCTTTCAGCTTCTCGCCACAGCCTCTTCCCAGAAGGCAGCCCTCATGAAACTCAGCCATTATTCGGCATCAGTGCCGATTGCCTCGGACTTCTGAGGGAATTTTTTGTAGACTTTGCTGCCTCCCCAATCTGAGCCCATTCCATTTACTTTATTTATTTATTTGTTTATTTATTTTTATTGGAAAAGAAGTAAAACTGTTTATTTGAAGATGTCATGATTGTGTACATGGGAAATATTTTATTTTTTTTATTGATTACCTTGCATTATGTGACACAGTTTTATAGGCACTGGGATTCCCCCCTCCCCTATTCCATTTACTTTAAATAGACAAGCAGCATTAGATTCAATACATTTTACTGCAAGGTGAATGGAGAATCAAGAGGCCAAAAACTAAAACTGACCTGTTTCTACTGTGAATCACTTGCCAGGGACTAGGAAGAGATCATCTTTGAAAAAAGGGGTAGGATCAGTTTCATTCCCAAATAAATAAATACAGGGTCCTCAGCAAACAGACAATCTCAGGGTCCCTGCTTCCTCGGTCCTGCTTAGTCTATCACCTGAGAAGCCTTCAAAGCTGCCTTCCCAGGCCATTGTCAACAGCCCCTCCCTAGGGGTCTACTTTGTCGAAGTAGCTGGACATCTGAGTGCAGAGCCCCACCACAGGACCTCCTAGTGGTCACTGAAAACTCAGCAAAGTCCCACCCAGTGCATCACAGCAGAGTTTACTTGCTTGGCTCTCCCCTCCCCTGGAACCTGTTGTCCACCTTTGTTTCCAGCTCATCTTGGCTTTGCCCTACTATTGTGGGAGGGGATGCAGCTGAAGCGTACATGTAATGTGATGCAGGCACAGACCACACAGACATTTACTGACTCCCCTTGCTTTACTACAGCCCTGCTGCCCCCTCTAGCTTCTCTCCTCAAAGCTAGCCAGGCTCTTGGGACATGAGGTTTTATAAGCACTCTGTAAGGCCTATAATTGCCTTATTTGTGAAGCCTCATTTCTACTAAGAGTATCTTTCCTGTTCTAGCTGCTTGGGTTGACATTTGTGTCTTCTCAGTCAATATAGCTTTAAGCAGAGTTGAGAAGATAACCTCACTGACCCGAGCTGGACGCCTGTGCCAGAGAAACAACAACCCACCACTCTGACATTCCTTACATTCAGGCCCACTGAATTTTCTTATTTAGCAGCGATTTCTGACTGCTTTCTAAACCCTAGACTTCTTCATGCATAGCTTTCTATTAAATAGCTCAGACATCTGTCTGTTCTAGAACATACTCTTGGAAATATCCAACATTTCTATCTTCGGGGACTCTCCAAGGACTTAGAATGAATTGTATATGGCAGTTTGCTACCTTAATTTCATTCATCTGTAAGATGTCAAAGCTTTCTAAATTCTTCTGTTACAAGTATTTTCTCTTATACTCTTGAAGCTATCCAAAATTTAAGACGAGGCACATATTTGGAATATTGTATGTTTTTAGTAACTTTTAGTTCTCTAGTCTTGACATTTATCAAATTTCAGGCTTTTTTTTCTTTAAAAAATCTTTTTCAGATGTTACAGCTGTGAATTGGGTCAGACATTGCTGTGATTTGCACAGCCCACCTTTTCAAAGGGAGATATTTTTCGTTTTAACGACTATTTGCATGAGCATGCATGTCTCCTCAAATTTCAAGAAAATTGCAAAGCATCTTAAGTCTGCGTAACAGTACCACTGATTCCATAAAGTACTTTTTATTGCCCTCTATAAGCAGTGGTGGAAGTAGAGAGGAATACGATGCAAAATCTCTACACTGTAGAAATTTGCAATCTAGTTAATGGAATAAAAGATATGAAATAGTTGTGAAACAGTACAAGGCAACAGTGTGGAGGCACACCTGGTCTTCCTGTTTCTAGTCTTTCCTGCACTCCCACACACTTCCTCCTTGGAGCAAAACACTACATTCTAAGTGTCAGTTCTACCTGCTTAAAAACCTGCAGTCTACAGTCCACAGAGTATGCAGTGTACAGGCTGCACTACACAGAGCGATGTTTGAACTTGGCCTGGCCTAACCTGCAGGCCCCCACGATTTAGTTAAGCATTTCTAGCCTCAGGATCTATGGCTTTTAGACAAAAGTCTCTCCATCCTCTCTGAACAGAGGAGGCCTCCTGGATCTTTGCTCACATGATTTTCCCTACTCTCACTTTCCTACTTTCCTTCTTTCTGTCTCTCTTCTTTTTAAATTTGCTTTCTCCCCTTTAAGGCCCAGTTCAAGTTCATGGTTAGGGCTTCTCCTGTCAAACATTCCCTCACTATCTCAGTCTGCAGAACTATTTTCTCTTCACTTCTGCAGCACACATACTTTGCAGCATTCCTATCTGGCATGTATTATCTTGTACTTTCATGTGTGTCTGTGTGTATGGTCACATTACAGTCTTGGATATCTTATATTGTTTTATAGCCCCAAGATAATCTAGCACAAGGGTTTTGCATAGCAGGCTTCCTCTAATTATTTGTTCAAGTGGATATTAAGCATGAATCACTTGCACATACACTTGAGAGGTTTCTGACACCTTCCAGCAACAAGGCACACTTTAAACATCCAAGACCCTTTCTTCCTTATAAATTAGTGAGAACAGGTTACTGGTTCATCCCAACCCTCAGCCCACCCAGGCCCCAGAAGAGACAGCCCAGTACTCACAGTGAACTTTATTTGGATTCGTCTGTTTCCGACGGGACATGTTTCTCTGATCTGAGAATTCTGGCCTTTCCCAGCTTCACGACTGGATTTGTTACTATAACTTTGCAAAGTATTAACCTACAGTAAAAGGAAAAAAAAGATACTATCACGTAATTTTCTCTGGAAATGAGGCAAAATTAAAGATTTTGAAAAACAGCTTCATAGCATACATATAAACTCGTCAGTTAATAAAAAATGAGCTCACAAAAGAAATGAATAAATCTCAAGTGCAATGTCATCAAAAGTTAAAGAGAATTCTTTCAGAGGATTAGGGAATTCACTCAAATCCACCTGCCCAATACACTCTGAAGGGACCATGATCAAGGTCGCAGGAAATCAGATGAAGTAAAATCCAGGCAAGCAAGTCTAACCAAAGTTAGAAGGACCATAGACTCGAAGGAATAGAAGCAGCACAAAGAAGCCAAAGGCTGGAGGTTCACATCCCACATGCTCCCTGACCTGTGCCAGTGTGGCCTCGGAAGGGGTATTAGGAAGGTGTGTGGTCTAGAGGCAGCGAGGGCACCACATGCCCACATGACAGCAAATGTCTCCAAACTCTCAGGCATTTCTAGTGAAAACAAACTGAGAACAAGAGCCTCAAGCTGGTGACAAGACACAGTGGTAGGCCCTGTGGGGACGACAGGGTACGCACACCAAAGGGCCTGTGGTGAAGACGGGCTCTGACAAGGGCCAGGGACCATCCGTGTTACTGAGTACTAACCACCTTGATGGACAGCCCCATGCTGGCCCTGCCCATGCATTCTGAGGAGGGGTCAAAGTCAACAACTGCAGAGCCCCGTCTCAGAGACCAGCAGGAGGAGCAGGCAAAAATCTCCCCAAACCCAGACACGCGAGCCTGAAACTTCCTGGTCAACTGGAGGGAAAAGCATCCCAGCCACAAACACTGTTAGAGGATCTGAAATGAATTAACAGCAGAAACTGTCATTTTCTTTAAACAAGAATGGGGTGAAACAACAGATATGGATTAAGAAAAAAGAGAGAGAGAGATGGATTCTCTTTCCTGCCTAAGACAGGAATATGGCTGTGGACTACCTCCGAGGTTTTCTCCCCATTTCTGTACTCACACTGAATAAGCAAAATCAAATTGGAGTGTATTGCCTTCAGAGGGGTGAGGACAACTGGCTGTATGCATTTTGCTCTTGGGTTAGTGGATCACCTCCTGCTGTGCTAATTAACTCCTCTCTGTACCTCAAACCTGCAATCAGATCCTGCCTTCCCTTACCAAAAGAAGAAAGAAACCCCAAATGGCAGTCAGGCCTCCACAGGAAGTGGCAAAGGAAGCAGCTTTCAGGCAGTCTTCTATCATATCTGTATATCAAGTCCAGTGCTTTTTCAGACCTTGAATTAACAATAAAAAAGGAAAACTCGAGATGTATACAGTGAAGATCCATTTCAGTGACTCCAAGAGCAGGATGCTGAGGGCTAGCACGGGGAGTGCATGTCCTAGGAGTTGTCCGTGATTCTAAGCAAGCAGTGATTGCACCAACAGAAGCAGAGAATGAGCACCACACTCGCAGAGTCTGTGGAACCACAAGTGGAAAGCTTGTCCTCAGCTGTTCTAAAAGTATACCTCCCTACTGTAGAAAGAAAGAGCAATCCTGACCAGTCTTTACGTTTTCTCTCCGTCAAGTTCAGAAGCTGGAACTGTGAGATAAACCTAACCAAGTGCCTCCTGGAAGGGAGGCCAACGCTAAAGCTGTAAGGCGGAAGGGAGAGGAAGGGAGAGGAAGGGAGAGGAAGGGAGAGGGACCAGTATCTGCATATTTAAATAGACAGTATTCACTGCCTCTCACTGTCCTCCTAGTGGCCGAAGCGGGAACTGACCAGGTGGTACCCAATGGGATTTCACACCTGAAGGATGGGTGGGGGGCGGAGAGGGAAGGAAACCAGCACCCTCTCCTCTCTCAAAGCAAAACAAACCAATAACAAAACCACGCACCTCCTCCCTCGCTGCCAACCACAGACTGCGGGCTATGAACGCTTGAGAAAATAAGTAAGTTACAGAGAGCAGAAAAGCCACTCCTGACCTAACAGCAAGGTCTGAGGTTACCCCACAGTTTACCGGCTAAAATAAAACCGATAGCCACGCTGCCCCACAGCCGTTGGTTTCGTTTCACTTTCTGCACTTGTCTCAGTCTCCAAAGCCCATTCTCAAACAAACCCTCCCCACCCCTCAATTAAACACGGATAGCGGCCTGAACATCGCCATCCGGCAGACAGATGGTTCAAGGGTAAACTGAGCCTCAAGGCTCGGGGCGGGGGCGGAGTGGGGGTTCTACTTGGCAAAGGCACGCGGCTTTGTCCGCCTAGAGCGCAAGGCCGAGCGCCCTGGGGAAGGGGGCGCGGCCTCCCCCAGCACAGCGGCTCTCCCACAGGTGCTGGGCTGCAGCCCCCGGGCAAGCCACCCCGGCAGGGGGAGAGGAAACCCGGGCGCACTCCCACCTCCAGCTCGCCGGGATCGCAGCGGTCGGTACCTGCCGGAAGGAGAGGACAAGGCGCCGGTCAGGCCGCGCTCCGTCGCTCCACCTCGCGCCCTGCCGGGGATGCGGAGGTGCAGAGGTCGGCACAGGTACCTCCCGCGGAGACCAGACCAGCCCTCAGACAACCCAGTCTTCCCTGAATTCTAAATTTAGAAGCCGTCCTGCGGGACGCAGCCACGGGCGCCGCTGCCCCCCGGCTGCACTCCCACGCCCAGCCTCCCTCCCGCAGCCCCACCCCGGCCTGTCACTGGCCGCGCGGCCGTCCGAGCCGGCCCGGCCCGCCGAGGCCCCGCGGGAGCGCGGCGCGGACCCCGGAGGGAAGCCCGGGCAGGCGGGCGGCCCGGAGGGAGCGCTGCACCCCGGCCGCCCCCGCACCCGCCTCGCACCGCGCAGACAAAAGGACCGACGGCCGGCGACCCCACGGCCTCCGGGCCGCCCGCCCTCCGCCCCATATCCCCACCCCGTCCCGCATCCTCAGGCCGGCCGCGGGGGCAGCAGGACTCGGCGGTCTCTTTACCCGGCGCCTCGGCGCGTCGCTGCGCTCGCCTGGGCCCCGCCTCCGGACAGACGGACCGCCGGACAATGAGCCCCCCGGGCTGCAGCTCCGATCGGCCGGGCCGGGGACTCTCCGGGACTGGGCCCCGGAGGACGGGAGGACGGGCTCCGGGAACTGAGCCGACGGCGGGGAGCCGAGGAGCTGCTCCGCAGACGGACAAAGCCAACGGCAGACAGACGGACGGAGGGGGAAAAAAGATGGCGACGCGGGCGGCGGGAGCGCGCGGCTCGCGCACCGGCCGCGAGCGGGGCGCGTGCACGAGCGCCTCCCCTCCCCCTCACCCCTTTTGCAGCCACATCCCCCCCCTTCCCCGCTTCCCGGGCTCTGGGGGCGGGGCCTGGGGGCGAGGGTCCGAGGAGGCGGGGCTTGAGGGAGCATCCACCGCCGGGTGCTGCATGGAGCATGGAGCGGGACCCTTTCCTGTGTCTGCCAGCCCCCAGACCACCGAGCCCCGCGCTCCTGCCTGGGGCCCTGTCAGCCCCCGGGCCGCCCCAAACCCTCTAGTAGGCGCCGGCGCTGGTTTCCGACCCCACCATCGAGTGGAGCCACAAACCGCAGCTCCACCGCAGGCTCCCACTGGCCTCAGCCCAGCCTCCTCGTGGGTCCCCGCCTGCATCGCAGCTCCCGAGCTATGGGGCACCCGACGTCCCAGATCAAGACTGGGGGTGGGGCACAGTCTGGATGGCGGGGGTGGGGTGGGAGATGTTTAGATTTCCAGCTCAAAAAACCTGCGTCCTTGGGGGCAGGGGATTGAAGGTAGCTGCTGTTGCTTTCTGAGTGTTTGGAGAAAGTTGGGGGTGTCTGGGCGCAGCTTCCCAACCCTGCCACATGCTGTTGTCTTCCCCTTTCCTTTCCTGCACGTCCGTCTTAGGGCGGAACTCTCAGCACACCCTGTGGAAAGGTGAGGGATGCGCTGGGAAGGTGAGCCACGCATAGAGAAGAAGCAGCCTCAGGGGCCAGCCCGCTGACTTGGGGCCAGCCCTCAGGGCTCATGAGAGTGCTGATCCTGCTGGTGAAGAATTCAGGTCCTGGTATTTGCATAAAGCACTTGAAAAATGTTTTATGCATTTATTGGAAAGGCAAAGTTACAGTCAAAGGGAGAGAGAAATCTGTCCTCCTGGTTTCCTCCATAAATGGTCACAACCCTCAAGGCAAGGAGGAAGGAAAGCCAGGAGCTGAGAACTCCACCAGGGATTCCCACGCGGGAGAAGGGCTGAGAGCTCCACCAGGGACTGCAGGGACCGGCCGCCCCCCCCCCCTTTGCATTCTTGTTTTGTCCTTCCTCACTTTAAAGTTTCTTAGTTGACACTTTTCTTTTTTTAAAGATTTATTTATTTGAAAGGCAGATTTATAGAAAGAAGAAGAGAGAGTATATCTTCCATGTACTGGTTCACTCCCCAAATGGCCACAATGGCCAGAGCTGAGCTCATCTGAAGCCAGGAGCCAGGAACTTCTTCCAAGTCTTCTGCAGTGGTTCAGGGACCCAAGTACTTGGCTGTTGTTCTCTGCTTTTTCATAAGAAAAGACCTGGATTAGAAGTGGACCAGCAGGGACATGAATCTCTGCCCACATAGGATACTGGCTCTGTGGGAGGAGGCTTAGCCTACTTTGCCATGACACTAGCCCAATTAATTGACATTTTCAGCAGGTGAAGTTAGCCTGCAGTGAAGTTTCTTGGCTCCTTTACTAAGGTACTATATAGATCTAGGAAGCTTGTTCTGTTTCCTAGAGTTGCAAATAGAGACTAATGCATGCTGTTCTTATAACCCAGGGTTATAAGTAACCCAGGGTTACTCAGAGTTATAATCAAAACATATTACAATAAGAAATTTACTTAATATTTCCGATGCTCCAGCCTAAATTTGTTCTTAATGTAAAACATTTTTGAGGGACCAGCACAGTGGCACAGCAAGCTATTCCTCTGTTTGCTGTGCTGGCATCTCATGGATACTAGTTCTAGTCCTGGGTACCCTACTTCCAATTGAGCTCCCTGCTAACGACCTGAGAGAGCAGCAGAGGTTGGCTTAAGTCCTTGGGATCCTATACCCACAGGGAAAACCCAGAAGAAGCTCCTGGCTCATGGCTAGGGACCAGTAGATGGAGATGGAAGATCTTTGTCTATCTCTTTCAAGTAAAATAATCTAAAAAATAGAAAAGAGGCTTTAAAAAAAAAGATTTATTTTTATTGGCAAGTCAGATGTATATAAAGAGGAAGAGAGACAGGAAGATCTTCTTTTCCAATTATCCACTCCCCAAGTGGCTGCAATGGACGCAGCTGAGCCAATCCAAAGCCAGGAGCTCTTCCTGGTCTCCCACACGGGTACAGGGTCCCAAGGCTTTGGGCCATCCTCGACTGCTTTCCCAGGCCACAAGCAGGGAGCTGGATGGAAAGTGGAGCAGCTGGGATTAGAACCACTGTTACAGTGCCGGATCCAGAAAAGAGGCTTTTTCAACTATTTATTTTTGGACCTGGCACAGTAGCCTCATGGCTAAAGTCCTCGCCTTGAGCACATCAGAATCCCATATGGGCACAGGTTCTAATCCCAGCGGCTCTGCTTCCCATCCAGCTCCCTGCCTGTGGCCCGAGAAAGCAGTCGAGGATGGCCCAAAGCTTTGGGACCCTGCACCCGTGTGGGAGACCCAGAAGAGGCTCCTGGCTTCGGATCGGCATAACATCGGCCATTGTGCTCACTTGGGGAGTGAATCATCAGACGGAAAATCTTCCTCTCTGTCTCTCTTCTCTGTATATCCGCCTTTCCAATAAAAATAAAATAAATCTTTTTTTTAAAAAAAGCTTATTTTGGTTTAAAACACTGTGAAATTTCTGTTTTTCCATAATACAAATTTTCTATCAACTTAAAAAAAATCTATTTTTATTTGAATAGCAGAGTTATATAGGGAGGAGAGAGTACGCCCATCTGCTGTCAATGGCCAGCGCTGGACAGGTGCGCAGCCAGGAGCTCCTCCTTGTGCGTGCAAGGTCCCAAGGACTCGGACCATCCTCTGATGCTTTTCCAGGCCATAAGCAGAAAGCTGGAACAGAAATGGAGCTTATGGCTGCCAGTTCATATCCCAGCTACACGAATTTGTGACTGTTCAGCAGCTAGCACTCCTGACCGAGGCTCCGTCTGGTCATGAAGTTTTGTCACAATGGTGCATGGTGCATGGTGAGAACAATGGGCTGTCTTTCTGGCTCCTTCTCTCTTACATGGTTTTTTTTTTGTTTGTTTTGGTGTTAGCCTCCATTTCTCATTCCTGACAGTTGTTCGGTCCCTGCGCCTGTCTCTAAGTCTCTGTGGTGGGAATAACATAAGTTCTGCCAGGCCTGACGCCATCTGCCCTGTGCTAAGCCTCCACCTACCCAGTTTTGCTGGGCTGGCCCTCTTCCCAGGCCTGAAATCGCTGTGCTCTGGGGACTTGGGCCAGGGTGGGGGAGAGAAGCTTGTGATTTATTGGTGCGGTTCTCAAAAAGCATCGCCCAAAAACTGATGGCCATGCATGTTAAAAAAAATGATATATGGGGGCTGGTGCTGTAGCTTAGCAAGTAAAGCTAGCACCTCTGATGCCAGCCTCCTGTACGAGCACCAAGTCACATCCTGTTTGTTTCACTTCCAATCTTGCTCCCTGCTAATGTGCTTGGGAAAGTAGCAGAAGATGGCCCAAGCTCCTTGGCGCCTGCATCCACATAGGAGACCCTGATGGCATTCTTGGCTACTGGCTTTACCCTGGTCCCGCCTCACCCTGACTGTCACAGCGACTTGGGGATGAAGCAGGAGATGAAAGATCCTTCTCTGTCTCTCCTTTTCTCTGTAGCTCTGCCCTTCAAATAAAAACAAATCCATTTTAAACATTTATTTGTTTTAATTGGAAAGGCAGCTTTATAGAGAGAGCTTTATAGTCTCTCCAAGTGACTGCAAGGGCCAGAGCTGACCCAATCTAAAGCCAAGAGCCAAACTTCTGCTGGGCCTCCCACGCAGGTGCAGGTCCTAAGGCTTTGTGTCATCCTCTACTGCTTTCCCCGGCCACACACAAGGAGCTGGACCGGAAGTGGAGTAACTGAACCGCAACTGGTGCCCATAAGCAATACTACTGCCCCAGGTGTGGGATGAGCAGATATGCCACCATGCTGGCCCCAAGGTGGTGAATATTTTAAGCTTAGTGTGCAATATAAGATCACTGTCACATATTTATTTTTCCTCTGATCTCTTTAACAATAGGAAAACCATTTTTAGCTGAAGGACTGTACACAATAGGCCTGACTCATTTTGGCATACAGACCTGCAAATGATAAACTTTTATTCTGTTGGGTTTCAAATACAATATTAGTTATACACACACATATAATTTTTTGTAAGATTTTTTTTTTTATTTTTATTGGAAAGGCAGATACAAAGAAGAGAGACAGAGAGGAAGATCTTCCGTCCAATGATTCACTCCCCAAGTGAGCGCAACGGCCGGTGCTATGCTGATCCGAAGCCAGGAGCCTCTTCCAGGTCTCCCACGTAGGTGCAGGGTCCCAAAGCTTTGGGCCGTCCTCGACTGCTTTCCCAGGCCACAGGCAGGGAGCTGGATGGGAAGCGGGGCTGCCGGGATTAGAACCGGCGCCCATATGGGATCCTGGGCGTGCAAGGCGAGGACCTTAACCACTGCGCCATCACGCCGGGCCCACACACGTATAATTTGTATAAAGTACCTGGGAGCCCAGAACAGCAGCCTAGTGACAAAAGTCCTCACCTTGCAAGTGCCAGGATCCCATATGCATGCCAGTTCGTGTCCCAGCAGCCCCACGTCCCAACCAGATCCCTGCTTGTGGTCTGGGAAAGCACTGGAGGACAGCCCAAAGCCTTGGGACCCTGTACCAGTGTGGGAGACCCGGAAGAAGCTCCTGGCTTCAGATTGGCTGAGTTCCGACCATTATGACCACTTGGGCAGTGAATCATCGGACAGAAGATGTTTCTCTCTGTCCTCCTCCCTGTATATCTGACTTTCCATTGAAAAATAAATAAATCTTTTTTAAAAGGACCTGGCACAGTAGCCTAGTGGTTAAAGTCCTTGCTGTGCATGCACCAGAATCTGATACGGGTGCCAGTTCGTATCCAGGCTGTTCCACTTCCCATCTGACTCCCTGCTTGTGGCCTGGGAAAGCAGTTGAGGATGGCCCAAACCTTGGGACCCTGTACCCATGTGGGTGAACCATCAGAAGGAAGATCTCTATTTTTTCCTTAACTCTGTAAATCTTACTTTCCAATAAAAATATATCTTAAAAAAAAAAGTACCTGTCTAGTTAATCAAAGATGTTTGCTGTTCATTTCTGTCCCATCAGCAAAGCAGGGTTTTCAGGTAAACCAGTGTGAGTGAGTCATTTCTCCTTTTTCCATGTTTGTTTCCAGTTCAGCTTCTGCGTGGAAGTGGCCTGTTGAGGCAGAGGCACTGGCTTATGTTCTGAGTAACTGGCTGGCTGTGCTTCCATTCTCAGTTGATCTTTTACAGCACATGGTTCCATTTTGGCAGAAAATCCGGAGCACGTGCAGTGATGGCTGCCGGTGCAGGAGCAGTGGTTCGCAGTCACTCATGCCAGCTTGAACTGGGTTAGGCTTGTCTGACATTTGGAGCTGATCTTTCATGGTTTGAACAGAGTTTGAAAAATGTCACAGGACCCCCTGTGTCACCTGAACTTGCTGTGCTCCTGATGGAATGAGGAAAGAGAAATTCGTAATAGTCAGTTGTGTAAATGGATACTTCCTCTTTGAAGGGAGATGTAGCAATATCTGTAAGAATCAAAAAATGTACTTAGTCTTTGACCCAGATCTACTTCTGGGAATTTGTGCAATGGGTAAAATTCATGTAGGCTAATACTAGTCATCATTACGTGGTTCACAGAATCAAGAAATAAATAAAACTACATATCCATCAGTAGAACAGAATCTTAAAAATTAGGGTACATGGGCCTGGCGCTGTGGCCTGGTGGCCAAAGTCCTCACCTTGAACACACCCAGGGATACCAAATGGGCACCGGTTCTAATCCTGGCAATCCCACTTCCCATCCAGCTCCCTGCTTGTGGCCTGGGAAAGCAGTCGAGGACGGCCCAAAGCCTTGGGACCCTGTACCCATATGAGACACCCAGAAGAAGTTTCTGGTTCCTGGCTTTGGATCAGCACAGCTCCGGCTGTTGTGGTCACTTGGGGAGTGAATCATCAGACGAAAGATCTTCCTCTCTGTCTTTGTATATATCTGACTTTGTAATGAAAATAATTCTTTAAAAAGAAATTGGGGTACCATAGACCTGAACAATGGAATATTAAGCCCTCTTAAAGAATGAGAATGTCTGATAACCATTCATATGAGACGTGGAGGCAATTTTAGCCTCAGAACCTAGTATGCAACTTTGCGGTTTTGTTTTGTTTTTTAAAAGGCAGGTACTTGTTTTACATGTGGACATTACTGGAAAGATCTTAATGTCATTGAACTGGGCCCAGTGCCATTGCCTAGTGGCTAAATCCTTGCTTTGCAACTGTTGGGATTCCATATGGGTGCCAGTTCATGTCTTAGCTGCTCCACTTCCCATCCAGCTCCCTGGGAAGGCAGTGGAGGAGAGCCCAAAGCCTTGGGACCCTGTATCCGTTTTGAGGCACCCAGAAGAAGCTCCTGGCTCCTGGTTTCGGGCTGGCTCAGCCCAGCCGTTGAGGCCGTTGAGGACTGAACCAGCAGATGGAGAATTGTTTTCTCTGTCTGTCCTTTCTATGAATCTGCCTCTCCAATAAAAATAAACCTTTTAAAAAATAGCATTGAACATGATGACAATTTTCTAAGAGTTTTTCATAAGTTATCACATTTAATCCTCACACCAAATGTAGTAGGTAGGTGGTATTCTCATTGTCCAGTTGAAGAAATGAAGGCAAGAGAGGTGCAGCGTCCACAGAGGCCCAGGACCAATGACAATGACTGTTGTAGTCATGCAGGGGCACCGAAAGACAAAGGGGCAGAGGTGAGACTTGGTGTCACTGTTCATCATCTCAGCTGCATGTGCGGTTGTTGTGTTTATGCAGTACTTAAAATTTTTATTTTCCTAAGTGTTTTGTATCTTTAAAAAGATGGCCTAAGACTGTTGGGAACACAGCGTTCATGAGAGTCATGTTCAAGAACCGCAGCTTGGGAAGGGCTGGACCGATCGCTAGTGCGCATGTATGGGAGTATGAGGAACCGGGCAGTCTCCTACAGCAGGACTGGGGGAGAAACGGTAGAGCTTTCTGGGCAGGACCTCTGGTCACAGGTAACAGTGTAGCACCAACTAGGAGGGGGAGGCCAAGGGCCATGCAGAATGTGTGGTTTCACAGGCCTGAGGGGGAGTGTGCTAGATACTGGTTCACTCTGCAGGTGCCCTCCTGGTCAGAAGTGGGCCAGGCTGAAGGCAGGAGTCAGGAACTCAAGCCACCCAAGGGCATGGGCCATCATTACCAGTTGCCTACCAGGGCACGCAATAGAGGGAAGCAGAAGTGGGAGCAGTACCCAGACTTGAACCACATACTTTGAGAGGTGGCTATGCCAACCTGCAGCTTAACTACTAGGTCAGCTGCCTGACTTCAGATTTCCCCTTTTACAGGCCAATCTGGATCAGGTGTGATACATAATGCACATCACGCCAGCCACCATTTCACATGGTCATGCACAGTCATCACCACCATCTGGATCTAGAACTTTCTTCAGTTTCTCAACCCACTCAGCTGCTGCCTTTAAACTTGCTGTCTACAAACTTGACAACCACAGGGACTTTGTAAGTGGAATCAAACGGTTCTTGCCCTTTTGTGGCAAATGCATTTCACTTAGCACAATGTCCTTGAGGTTTATCTAAGTTGCACCACATATGAGATCATACTTTGAAAAGCTGTGTGATATCCCATTGTCCATAAATGCCAAATTCTGTTTATACATTCATCCCTTGATAGGCATGATGTTGTTTTCACGTTTTGACTATGAACATTTTAAAATACACAAGTAGAGAAAAAGGGATAGCTACTATTCCACCCTTAGGTGTTTCTGGAGTTATGATACCTCATCCATTATCTGATTTCCCCATTATTAAAAAAAAAAAAGTTTGAAAACTTGTGAGTATGTGAGAACATCTCAACAAGATCTGCACATATTACAGTGTTGCTGAGTTCATCTGAAGCCAGGAGCCTATTCCGGGTCTCCCACAGGAGTGCAGGGTTGCAAGGCTTTGGGCCATCCTCAACTGCTTTCTCACGGCCATAAGTGAGGTCGCTGAAATAGGAACTGGGACCCATGTGGGATCCCGGCGCTGGCAAGGGGAGGATTTAGTCGGTTCAGCCAATTGAGCCATCGTGCCAGGCCAAAAACTTACTGGGGAAAACAAAAAGTCTGCACATTTTACAAAAGCTTAGAATTGCGAGGTTCTAGGACCTGGTGCAATCGGTTATAAAGAATATTTGTAATTTCACGTTAACCTATAGGAATGTGTAGCTCGCTATGTTCTTATCCTAAGGCTCCACAGCATAATTTAGCAAACCAATTTCACCTGCTCTAGGAAGCCCCTTCCAAGCTAAGCCCAGAGAGCGGTTTTCAAGTTTCGCCACAGGCTGGAGGGATTCCGGCTAAAAGCATTCATCAAGGTTTAGAGGAAGACCAGGTGAATCAAGTCTGCAGGCCGGAAAACGAGAGACTGACGTGGAAGGAACGCCGGGTAAAGCGGGGCGAACGGTCGACACCCCCGGGGCTGCTCCGCTCCGGGGCCAGCCAATCGCGTCCGAGCCCCGGCGCAGGTGAAGCAGTGAGAGCCAAAGGGAACACATCTCAGGAGGAACTCCCGGCGTTAGAGAGGTCATCATTAGAGCTGGCATTTCCGGGGCACGGGACAGAGTGGGATCAAAAGCCATCCCCGCCCACCTTTGCCCGCGCCCAGGGTGAAGTTCAGGGTGTGCCCGCAAGCAGATGACTCAGTGGGCGCGACCAGCGGCGCGTGACGGCATTTGCCTCCGCCGCAGGAAGTAGTCCCGGGCCGCGTCGGATCCCCCGAGAGCCCAGGGAGGAAGCCCGAAATTCTTGGCGCGTGGCTTCCGGCAGCAGCCGGGCGCAGCCAATCCCTGGGCTGGAAGGCGCGGCTAGTTCGGCCTCTTGGATCCTTCCGCCAGGACTTTGCGGTACTGAGGCCCACGAGCCGCCATTTTGGATGCTGAGCGGTGTTCCAGAAGTCCGCGCCTGCCGCAGTTCCTGATCGAGTCGTCCCGGTGAGTGTGGCATCCTCAGTGGCTTGGGTCTCTTATCCGCTTCTTCGAACTGCCTCCTGGATGTAGCGGTCTCAGCTAGCGCGAGATATCGGAGTTCAGAGCGTCCTGGATGTGTCAAATGAGAGAAGGGACGGTTCTTGGAAGTACGGGGGTGGCGTTAGCCCCGGGGGGACCCCAGGCTGGGCCTGAGGGGGTGTGGCAGGGCCGGCGGCGGCCTGGCTACGGCTGGTCCTGCTCCCTCGGGGCCACGCAACCTTTCCTGTGTCCTCCTTGCCCAGAGCGTCTCTTCCCTGGGGCGGGAACGCCGCACCGCGGCGGGGCTCTCCCCGGGGTCCGACCAGAGGAGGCTTTTCGGCAAATTCGGTGTTTGCCGTCCCACCAGAGAGTCCGGGGCCTCCTGGGCTGTTTTTTGGGGGGAGACCCGACCCGGACGTGGGCCTCCTTTGGCTGGAGGCATTTACTGACCCCTTGTATTGTTTGCCAAAGAGGTGACAGCTCCTGCCGCTTCGGCGGACCCCCCAAGTAGGCGGTGAGGCCCCTTCGTTTGGTTTTCCCAGCGCTCACCTTACTTCGGGGGTGTTGGAGGTACAGGAAGAGGGCTTGGAACTCACCTGCGGGACTTTCACCCGGCACGGGACCAGCCTTTCATTATTAGGGAACAGGGTAATTAGGAGAATAAAAGCCAACTTCGCTCTGCGAAGTGAGGAGCTTCATGTCTGGTCTCAAATAGCTCTTCGGGACAATTGCAATTTTGTTTTTACAAAGTAAGCGCGTATATATTCATATGTGTGTGTGAGTATACATATATATGTATATTTGTGTATTGAAATCCTTCCTAACCACTTCTCATTATGTGTGCTTGAGGTTTACTGAAATAGTCGTTGGCTTATGTTTATGTATTTGTCATCCTCCCCAACCCCAAGTAAAAGCCTTTTTGACCCTTGTGTCTGCTAGTGCATCGTGCCTGGGGAACTTTCTCGGAACTATGTATGCTGGGATAGGAAGGTGTGAGAGGAGTGTTAACAAACATGAGGGTGCTTTGAAAGCCTAGTGTTGGTGTTACAGTGTACAGTTGTCCATTTTCTTGAATATTTTCACTTTTAAAGATTTGTTTTCATTACTTGGAAAGGCAGATTTTCCATCCCTTCATTCTCTCCCCAAATGCTGGTCACAACCAGGACTGGGTCGCCTTGACATCACCATCTGAGGGAAGCTGGAACCTGAGTCTTTTTTTTTTTTTTTTTTTTTAACAAAGTCAGATATACAGAGAGGAGGAGAGACAGAGAGGAAGATCTTCCGTCCGATGATTCACTCCCCAAAGTGACCACAATGGCCGGTGCTGTGCCGATCCGAAGCTGGGTACTACGAACTTCTTTCCAGGTCCCCCACGTGGGTGCAGGGTCCCAAGGCTTTGGGTCATCCTCAACTGCTTTTCCAGATTGATGGATTTTCTTTGGGAGATTTTTGTTTAAAGATTTAATTTTAAAAATTTGTTTTGGGGGTCCAGCATGGTGGCTTAGCAGATAAAGTCCTCACCTTGCACGCACTGGGATTCCATATGGGCACTGGTTCTAATCCCGGGAACTCCACTTCCCATCCAGCTCTCTGCTTGTGGCCTGGGAAAGCAATTGAGGACGGCCCAAAGCCTTGGGACCCTGCACCCAAAGGGGAGACCTGGAGGAAGTTCCTGGCTCCTGGCTTCAGGTCGGCTCAGCTCTAGCAGTTTTGGCCACTTGGGGAGTGAATCATTAGAAGATCTTCCTCTCTGTCATTTCCTCCTCTCTGTATATCTGACTTTGCAATAAAAATAAAAAAAATCTTTAAAAATGTTGAAAAATCAGATACACAGAGAGGAACATTTTCTGTCCAATGGTTCACTCCCCATAGTAGCAGTTATAGTTTGTGTCAGTTTTGGTAAATTAAGTTTCAATGGTTTGTCCATTTATAAAGTTGATTATGTTGCTTTTTAATATCTGTTGATTTGTAGTGATATTCTGTTTCGTTCATGATAGTTAAGTGTTTTTCTTGGTTACTTTGTTATATATGCTAATTAACTTGATCTTTTGAGAAGCTTGCGTTTGCTTTTAGTATTTTTTTTGTTGTCTTCATTTGCATTTGTGCCTTGTTTACTTTGTTGTTGATTTTTGTCCTTTTTGGTTGCTTGATGTGGAAATTTAGCTGACTGACTTGAAGCTTGCCTTTTCTGGGCAGGTGGCTCCCAGGCGCTGCTTGAGCTGCCCCCCAGGTGTCTGTGATTCCAGTGCGCGTCCCCTGAGACTTTGCCTTTCATTCTCGGAATGTTTCAGAGTCTGTTGTTCAGTTTCCAAGAGCTAGGAGATTTTCTGTTTTCTTTCATATTTCTTTTTAAATTCCACGTGGGTATAGACATTTTTTGGTCTGAATTCAGTTCTTAATTTGCTGAGATTTGTTTTATGGTGTGTTTTATACATGTTCATTCTATTGTTGGGTGCAGTGTTCGGTCAGTGTCTGTTGCTGGTGGTGTCACTTCCGTATCCTTTCTGGCATGTCTCTGCTGGAGTGACCAGTTACCGAGGGGGTATGTTGAAGTCTCCAGCTGTAAGGAGATTTGGCTTTTTGCTGCTTGCATTTAGAAGATCTGTGATTGGGTGTATTCACAATAGGATTGTTAATATTTTCTTGGTGAATTTGCTCCACCCCTTCTTAAAAATGTATTTATTAGAAAGGCAGAGTTACAAAGAGGAATGATGATTCTTTCTCTACAGCCCACAGCTGAGGCCGGGCTGGGGCTAGGAGGCAGGAACTCCGTCCAGGCCTCCCCCATGGGTGGCCCAGCCCATGTGCTTAAGCCATCATCTGTTTCCTGAAGTGCACCCCAACTGGATCAGAACCAGAGGCGGCACTCCATCATAGTCACTGTAATAGGAATGTGGGAATTATAAACTGCCCTAGCTGCTACACTAGAACACCACCCTCTCAACTTTTGTTGTTGTACTTTTGTACTTCTTTTTTTTTTTTTTTTTTTTTAAATAGGCTTTTGTGTTTTCATTTCTTTTTTTTTTTTAAAGATTTATTTTTATTATTTTTTCATTGGAAAGGCGGATATACAGAGAGGAGAGACAGAGAGGAAGATCTTCCGTCCGATGATTCACTCCCCAAGTGAGCGCAACGGGCCGATACTATGCCGATCCGAAGCCAGGAGCCTCTTCCGGGTCTCCCGCGCGGGTGCAGGGTCCCAAAGCTTTGGGCCGTCCTCGACTGCTTTCCCAGGCCACAGGCAGGGAGCTGGAAGGGAAGCGGGGCTGCCGGGATTAGAACCGGCGCCCATATGGGATCCCGGGCGTGCTAGGCGAGGACTTAGCCACTTGCGCCACCGCGCCGGGCCCCTTTTGTACTTCTTGGAACACTGCTAGCCTTCCTGTTCTATAGCTGCTTTTTGCATCTCTTCATTGTGTTGTGGTTGTCTTACATTTACTTTTCCACACACTTAAAACCAGTGGCTGTTAGAAGGGACTTGAGCCACCTGTTGTGTTTGCCCAGATATTTGCAGTTTGTGTAATTTTTTTTTAAGATTTATTTATTCTTATTGAACAGTCAGATATACAGAGAGGAGGAGAGACAGAGAAAGATCTTCCGTCCGATGATTCATTCCTCAAGTGAGCGCAATGGCTGGTGCTGAGCTGATCCAAAGCCAGGAGTCAGGAACCTCCTTCCGGGTCTCCCACATGGGTGCAGGGTCCCATTCAGCTCTCATATATGTCAGTGGGCATTGAAGCCTAGCTCAACCCAACTGACCACACTGTCCAGACCACACACGTTTGTGCCAAGGCCTGTCTAGCCAAGCCCTCCTCCAGCCCTGATTCTCACGCCCGCCAGTGGGAGTTGCAGCCCATCAGAGGTGCCCACTGTTTCCCTGCTGGTCCCACTCCATAAATAAATGAAGATATAGATAGGTAGGTAGGTGGATAGATTATCTTAAATTGGAACAAGTAGGGGGTTGCATGGTAGCTCAACTGACTCATCCTTTGCCTTCAGTGCTGGCATCCCATATGGGTGCCGATCTGTGTCCTTCCAACTCTGTTTATGGCCTGGGAAAGCAATAGGGGATGGCTCAAATCCTTGGGACCCTCCAGCCGTGTGGGAGACCTGGGGAGAGGCTCTTGGCTTTGGATCAGCTCAGCTGTGCTCAATGCAGCCTAGGGAGTGAACCAGTGCATGGGTTCTGTCTCTCCTCCTCTCTATAGCTCTACCTTTCCAATAAAACAAGTTAAGAAAAAAAAGATCTACTTATTGGAAAGGTAGATCTAAAGGTAGAAGTCAAAACAGAGGAAAAGGTCCTCCATCCACTGTTTCACTCCAAGTAGCTGCAGTGGCTGGAACTGAGCTGATCTGAACTCAGGAGCCAGGAGTCTCTTCCAGGTCTCCCATGTGAGTGCAGGGTCCCAAGGCTTTGGGCCGTCCTGGACTGCTTTCCCAGACCACAAAGCAGGGAGCTGAATGGGAAGTAGAGCAGCTGGAACTCCAAAACAACGCCCGTATGGGATTTCAGCCTGTGCAATGAGCCATCATGCTTTTTTCCCGCCTCCCCCACCCTTTTTTTTTTTTTTTAATTGAGGGAGTCAGGGACTATTTCAAGGTTAGTACTCTATACTTCTTTTTTTTTTTTAAAGATTTATTTTTATTATTTTTTTTTTATTGAAAAGGCGGATATACAGAGAGGAGAGACAGAGAGGAAGATCTTCCGTCCGATGATTCACTCCCCAAGTGAGCGCAACGGCCGATGCTATGCCGATCTGAAGCCAGGAGCCTCTTCCGGGTCTCCCACGCGGGTGCAGGGTCCCAAAGCTTTGGGCCGTCCTCGACTGCTTTCCCGGGCTACAAGCAGGGAGCTGGAAGGGAAGCGGGGCTGCCGGGATTAGAACCGGCGCCCATATGGGATCCTGGGCGTGCAAGGCAAGGACCTTTAACCACTTGCGCCACCGCGCCGGGCCCCCCCACCCTTTTTTTAAAAGTCTAGTCTATTTATTTGTGTTTTTTGGAATTTGAGGTCATACTTGAAAACTGTTTTCTAACTACATGTCATTCCATTAATTTAGTAGTTCCAGTCGTTGCTATTTTTCCCCTTTATTTTTGACAGTCTTTACATAGACTGTTCATCTTTACAGAGTTTGTGGCAGATCAGCAGGTAGACATTGTGCTGAGTGCATGTCTTCAACCTGCCCTCTTGCTACGTTAATGATTGGGGGGGTGTGTATGTCCCCAGAACTGGGACCCCGGAGTAGGCTATGATGTGTTAATCCTTAATACAGCATCTTACGAGGTTTTATTTCAGTGAAACTTTCCTTTCATTGCAGACAGACACCTGCATTTGGGGCAAATAGCAGGAGCATGTCCACTAGCTGCTTTCATTGAAATGAAATAATAGGAATTTTGGGGTGCATTTGTTTACTTGTGATTTGAGATGTTATATTATTGAATGCATTACAAATACATTTTATGTGTTTTTTCCTAACATTGCTAAGAAAGTAAAATGTTGAGGAAAAATTCAGTTCTGTTCAAGCCTGATGAAACAAACAGGGACAAGGTTTTCTCAGTGTGTAATACATGGTTGTCTGTAGTCGTTTATGTTGATGACATGAAAGGTGCTGGAGAATAAATACAGTGATTTATAAAAAAGCAAAAAATAATTGAGGTTTTTAAAAAAATGAAGTTTAGACAGGAGTAAAATTTTGTCTTTAGGTAGATACCACACAGAACTGATACCCCAGCGTTGGCAGGCCACACAAAGTGCTGATGTGTTTCTGTCATCCCTGCATTGTGGCTCTGAGTTAGACCTTTGATTGGCTCTGTTTGAGATAGCTTGGAGCTAACAGCTGAGGAGGCCTTGGTCGCCGGTAGCTGGCACAGGCAGCACTCAGGGCACCTGTAGCTGGCACTGCAGCTCTGTGTCCTGGCCTCCTGCTGAGGCACACACAGGGGGCGGGTGTGCACTGACTGCAGTTATTTCCTGGTGAGAGGAACGGAGTATTATTTCTGTAAGAACAGCATAACTTTGTGGGTTTTATTTATTTATTTTTGGCCCCCCTCCCTTTTTGAAAGGTGAAGTTACAAAGTGGGTTTGGGGGAAGGAAGATAAAAAGATTTTGCATTTGTTGGTTTACTCCCCAGATGGCGACAGTGGCCAGAGCTTGATGGCTTTTTTTTTTTTTTAATTTAGTTATTTTTATTGGAAAGAGGGAGTGACAGAGAGGAAGGTCTTCCGTCCACTGAGTCACTCCCCAAATGGCCACAATGGCTGGAGATGTGCTGATCCGAAGCCAGGAGCCAGGAACTTCCTCCAGGTCTCCCACATGGGTGCAGGGTCCCATGGCTTTGGGCTGTCCTTGACTGCATTCCCAGGCCACAAGCAGGGAGCTGGATGGGAAGTGGAACAGCTGGAATATGAACTGGCACCCATATGGGATCCCAGTGTATGTAGTGTATTAGGCTACCATGCTGCCCCCCCCGCCCCCCCCCCCCCGCACGCTTTTTTTTTAAGATTTATTTTTCTTAGAAAGTTAGATATACAGAGAGGAGAAAAACTTGGTGGCTTTAAATCCAGGAACTTCCTCTGGATCTCCTTTGGTTCAGGAGACCAGGGAATTGGGCTGTCAGCTACTTTCCCAGGCCTGTCACCAGGGAGCTGGGTCTAAGGTGCTACAGGCAGAACTTGAATCGGAGCCTGCATGCGACGCTGGCGCTGTGGGAGGATGCTTAACCTACTACATCACGGTGCTAGTTTCAGCTTTGTCTCTTTCCATACCAGTACTTCTGCCGTGCATGTCTCAGGTGGTAGCCATTCAGTAAATACTCGTGCCGAAAGGAATAAGTGTGATTAAGACTGCTTGGCCTTTGAATTTAATGTGCTTAGGTTTTTGAGAAAAGATTTATTCACCAAATTATTCATTTGACTGAAAAAGCAAGGCAAACTTATTCAGTCTCAAATGGCTGTGGTAGCCAGTGCTGGGCCAGGCTGAAGACAGGTGCCAGGAGCTCCATCTGGGTCTCCCACATGGGTGGCTGGGGCCCAAGTGCATTAGTAGGAAGCTGGATTGGAAGTTGAGCTGGGACTTGAACCAGCATGCCAGAATAGGATGTGGGCATTGCAAGCATCAGAATTTCACCCCCTGCACTTAGATTCTACTATCTGGCTGCAGGCTGGCATCCGAGCAGCTCCCTGTGGCGGAGATGGCAGTAGTGGTGGTTTTTCTGCCCATCGTTGCAGTTGTGGTCCACCTCTGGTGAGGGATGACTTCGGAACAAGCATGTTGTCTCGGTCCAGCTGCCCCAGGCCTGTTGTGCTTGACATCGCTCGTGCCCACCGAGCGGGAGACCTGGCTGAGACCAGGAGGGACTGTCATCGGGGCGGTGCTTGGCCAGTCCTGAGCTTGTGGCTCTGCCAGGCTCCTGCTGGCTTTGGTGCTTCCTGTGTCTGAGGCAGTCACAGCCTCTCTTCAGAGACCTTGCTTGTCCTTCAGGACTGACTTAGGCTCTTCCTTCTTCTTCTGGAAAACCATGCCTTCCATGATTTGTAACACTACTGGGTCACTTCCTTAGGAAGGATCTCACACTTTTGGAGACAGGATCTTCTTTCTGTTGGAGGGTGATGCCCTGCTCACGGTGGCTGCTCACAGCGTCCCAGGCTCTCCCACCAGGTGTCGGGAGCCTCCCTGCCAAAGTCATTGTCAGACGTCCACTTGTGCACGAGAATTGCTTGCTCTCAAGTTACAGTTCTTACACAGCATTGTGGTTGCTGGATTCTTCTGTTTCTTCAGATAAATTATATATTCCTTAGAAAACAGAGGCTTTACCTTAAGTAAGGCATGTTTGTTTACCTTATGTATGCATGTTTGCTTTTGGGAATGTAGATACGCAGTGGCCAGAGCTGATCCAATCCGGGTCTCCCACGCGGGTGCAGGTTCCTCAGCTGCTTTCCCAGGCCACAGGCAGGGAGCTGGATGGGAAGTGGGGGATTAGAGCAGGCGCTGTATGGAATCCCGGTGTTTGCAAGGCTAGGACTTTATCCACTAGGCTACTGTGCTGGGGCCCTGTTGGACAGTTTTATAGAGTATTTTTTTCTTGAACTTCTCACTCTTTTGTGTTCCTCTTTGTACATGCTTAGATATTAATTGTGTGATATTGGGCATTATCATTTCCCCAAACTGAGGCCTAGCAGGACTTGAAGAATTAAAAAGATAAGATTATCTTGACTTCAGGTCTGAATTTGCATTGGCGGGGTGGGAGTTTGGGAGGGAATCCCAGCCTATACGAAATTGTACCACTTAATTTAAAATTCAAAATAAAAATATATTAAAATAAATAGGTAAATTTGCATTGGTCCCCTCCCCTTTTGTTTAATTTTTCTTTTTTCTCTATCTCTCTCTCACACACACACTCCCTCTCTGTCTCTTTCCTTCCACTTTTGTTTTTAAAATTTGTTACTTAAAAGTCAGAATTACTAAGAGATTGGGGAGAGCTTCCATCTGCTCGTTCACTGGCGGAAAGGCCGCTGGAGCTTCGGAAGCCCTATACCGTGTTTGAGATCCAGAAGCTTCTGGTTCCTGTCTTTGGATCAGCTCAGTTCTGACCATTGGTAATTGGTGAGTGAACCAGCAGAGGGAAGAGTTTTTGCTCTCTTTGTCTTTGTAAATATGCCATTCAAATAATAAAAAAAAAAGTTTGGAAACGAAAAAGTGGAGCAGCTGGGACTCAAGCCTGTGTTATATGGAATGCTGACACTGCAGACGGAAGACTAGCAAGCTGGGCCATTAGTGTCAACCATATTGATAATGTTTTGATAACCATCCTGTTGACTTTTTTGGTAGAAGCAGAAGGCTGCCTTTTTTTTCCCCTGAGATTTTTATTTTAATTTATTTTTAATTGGTAAGTCAGATTTACAGAAAGAAGGAAAAATAGAGGAAGATCTTCTATCCACTGATTCATTCCCCAAGTGACCACAATGGTTGGAGCCAGGCATATCTGAGGCCAGGAGCCCAGGCACTTGTTCTGGGTCTCCCACGCGGGTTCAGGTTCTCAAGGCTTTGGGCCGTCCTCCAACTGCTTTCCCAGGCCACAAGCAGGGAGCTGGATGGGAAGTTGGGCCACCGGGATTAGAACCGGTGCCCACATAGGATCCCGGTGTGTGCAAAGCGCGGACTTTAGCTATTAGGCTACTTTGCTGGGCCTAGAAAGTATCTCTTGTGCACTCTGTTCCATGGCCAGTACTTGGGTATCCTTTTTTTTTTTTTGCTGCTAAGGTTTTTCAGGTCTGCCTTCACAGCAGATTGTCAATTCAGTGCCTCTAGCAGCACCGCAGATAAGCATCCTGGTCTGAGCTGCAGCTGTCTCCTTGCTGGAGCACAGTGGTCGCCTCCCAGGATTATCCTCCTGCAGTTAGTTTGCTAGACAGCCAAAGTGATGTGTACCGTTGTGAAATGGATGGGTCATTTTCCTGTGTTAGAACACTGCACTCTGGTGTATTAGGTCAGATAATGTGGCTTTGAATGGTGTTGGTTCAAGAACTTGTTTTGATTTGAAAACATTGTTGTCTCTTTCCAGGAAGAGCAGCACAGCATGCTGGGTTCTGGATTTAAAGCTGAGCGTCTACGAGTCAATTTGAGATTAGTCATAAATCGCCTGAAACTGTTGGAGAAAAAAAAAAGTGAGTAGTGCATGGCTGTTTGCCTTTCCTCCCCCAGTCCATCGCGGGGTGCTAGCCCCCCACAGCTAGACTTTTCAGGCTGTCCCTGTGGTGTCTCGGCCCACCTCCTGGGACTGGTCAGTTGGACTGAATCTCTTTGTTGGAGCAAAAGCAACATGTGCTCAACTGTTGAGCCAGCTGTGGCTCGAGACTATTTGGAACAAAGAAGCTGCATTAGTGCTGAACATACAGGTGTTTCTCATTTTTCCTAATGAATACATCATAGCAACTGTTTATTTAGCATTTGTGTTATAGGTAACCTGGAGATGAGATTTTGAAGTAGATGAAGATATGTATGGATTCACGGGTTTCATGTGATACTGTGCAAGTTTATACATGGGTACTTTAAAAAGTTCATGAAAAAAGATGGATATTTTGAAATTCATGCATAGTTTTTATAATACTTTTTTTTTGCATCCAAATGAGGAATTTGAGCGTGTGCAGTTTGGTTTCCGTGGGTGGGGGCTCTGGAGCCAGTGCTGTGGTTAGCAAGGCAGTGCTGCCCTCCGTAGTTCTGGCTGCTCAGCTGGACCTGTCGGGTGGTGCTGTGGGTCAGTGAGCTTCTAGAGCAGGTGAGGTGGCACGGATCCGCTCTGGGATTACTGCCTCGCATGTGTAGGAGTTTGAGTTCTTCCACCGCCAGGCAGGCTGTGGTCCGCTGCTGCTGAGTCACTGCGTGGGCTTTGTGTCTTAGCGGAACTGGCCCAGAAAGCAAGGAAGGAGATCGCTGACTACCTGGCTGCGGGGAAGGATGAGCGAGCCCGCATCCGCGTGGAGCACATCATCCGGGAGGACTACCTGGTGGAGGCCATGGAGATCCTGGAGCTGTACTGCGACCTGCTGCTGGCCCGGTTTGGTCTCATCCAGTCCATGAAGTAAGATATTCTGGATCAAAAACTAAGTCACCTTTGGAATTTAAAAGGTGTTCATGTCGGTCAGTGTATACAGGTGGGGTTAGCAGTGGGGAGTCTTGGGCGTACTCCAGGGGTGTCTCCTTCCCCTGTGAAGAACTCATCCCAGTGGTGATAACTTGACAGTACGGGGTCTGAGTTTGAATCTGGGCTTGAACGTCTCCTTACTTTGCAGATGTGAGCCTATTACTTAGTTTCCCCACAGATAAAATAAGGATTGGAAATGGTTGGAAGTATAGAATTACCATGAACATCTAGTGAGATTTGTGAAATAGCTTTAGTGACTAATGAGTGTAAGATATAAAGGGTAGAAGAGAGTTTTTGTTGGCTTGTTTTCAAAATCTAAGTCTCCCCCTCCCCCCCTCCCCCCCAATTAGGGAGCTAGACTCTGGGCTGGCAGAATCTGTGTCCACTCTGATCTGGGCTGCTCCTCGACTCCAGTCTGAAGTAGCTGAGTTGAAAATCGTGAGTACAACCAGTTCAGTTAGGTTTGCAGGTTTTAGTTATTGGAAAAATTTCTATCTGTTGTTTCTGCACGTTTGATTAGGTGTTTCTGTAGTTCTTTTGTTTTTGAAGATCTGTTCATTGGAAAGGCAGATTTACAGAGAGAGGGAGAGGCAGAGAGTCAGCACGGGCTCACTCCCCAAATGGCTGAGAGAGCCAGAGCGAAGCCGACCCGAAGCTGAGTGCCAGGAGCTTCTGAATTTGGATGTGGGTGCAAGGTCGCGAGGGCTTACGCCTTCCTCCACTGCTTCCACAGGTCACAAGCAGGGAGCTGGGTGGGAAGTGGAGCAGCTGGGACACGAACCAGCGCCCTGTGGGATATCGGTGCTTGTAGGCAGAGGATCAGCTCACTGCACTCGCTCCTGTTTCCCACCTCTTTTGAAATTTATAAATATACCTTCCTCCTTTTCTGGCTTTATATCATAAAAATGGAGCAGGCTTGTAATTATGGTTTTTTTTGTTTGTTTTGTTGTTTTTAAGGAATGAAGTTTGTATACATCCAGTCCTCTTATGTTATTGTTAAACTTCATACAAATAGAAAGGCTTTTTATCTGTAAACTAGTGCAGTGAACATCAGTGTGACAGATGCTTTGTTTCATTCACTAATTCCTAAGTGTGTGGTAAGTGGCTGTTAGGAGCTACTTGAGGACACGCTGATGGCCATGAGCAGTGTGTGCCACCGGCCGCCTCTGGCAGCTTGGCGCTTGGCCGAAGAGGCAGACATCACCAAGAAATGCTCACCGCCACATAAACGTGGTTGTGACTGCTGGAATGCAGATTCAACAGGAGTTTTGTGTGTCTGCTGTTTGTTTTCATTTTCCTGAAGGTTGTCAGTGTAACCTCCCACCTTCTATGTTGTTTTCTGTGTTTATCCAAGTGTTTGTTTCATGGCTGTAATGTCATCCCATATGGAATGCCATCATTGCAGGTGGGGGCTTAACTCACTACACCGTAGCGTTGACCCCCACGATGCTTGTAATAGTGTGTGTCACTCAGTCGTCATTTGACAGGTGGATAAGTTGATGACTGCATACTGCCAGGTTTTTACACCCCTCAGATTTTGAAATTCTGTAGTAGGAAAATGCTTACTGTTCCAGGCCAAAGCTTGGGACATGCTGTAGGAGTGGTTTCCATTTTCACCTATTGATGCTTTTCCTGTGTAGGTTGCTGATCAGCTCTGTGCCAAGTATAGCAAGGAATATGGCAAGTTGTGTAGGACGAACCAGATTGGCACTGTCAACGACCGGGTAATGAACACGTGTGGTAAAAGGGAAGCTGTGGGGGTGCTTCTCTCATGTTTTTAGGGTGTCATAGCCGGGTTGAGTTCATCTAGGGGTACACATTTCATGGTGAAAATGAAGAGAAAATCTGGGTAGCTGGCCCTGCGGTCAGCTACTGCCCTCTGCCCTCCTGCCCTTGGCACCCTTGGGCTTTTTTTTTTAATGGAAGGTTAAAATCTTTTTTTTTCCTTAAGATTTATTGTAATTGCAAAATCAGATATACAGAGAGGAAGACTTTCCATCTGTTGATTCACTCCCCAAGTGGCTGCAATGGCTGGGGCTGAGCCAGTCCGCACGGGTGCAGGGTCTCAAGGCTTTGGGCTGTCCTCAACTGCTTTCCCAGGCCACAAGCAGAGAGCTGGATGGGAAGTGGGGCCTGCTGGGATTAGAACCGGTGCCCATATGGGATCCTGGTGTTTGCAAGGCAAGGACTCTAGGCGCTAGGCTGTTGCACTGGGCCCATCCTTGCACTTTTTGAGGGCAGAAAGTAAGCTGAGGAGAAAGGTCGGATGAGGAAAGCAGCGTGTGGCTTGTAGCGACAGCCGGGACATGTGTCACTGGGAGTGCTAGGGAGACGCTGGGTCTGTGGTGTCCTCTGACTGGAAAAATCATTGAACTTCTGAATCTCATCTTCAGTTTTATTTTCTTACTAAGATGAGAGTAAGTTTGAATAGTCTGACAGGCTAGGATTAGGTTGGTTAGTACATGTGCCTGTTAACCCTTCTGTCATTGGCTTGTAGCTGATGCACAAACTGAGTGTGGAAGCCCCACCTAAAATCCTGGTGGAGAGATACCTGATTGAAATTGCCAAGAATTACAACGTTCCCTATGAGCCTGACTCCGTGGTCATGGTAAGTTTTATGGAGTACAAAGGAAGTGAGGCTGTGTTGCGACCTTTGAGAACTTGCCGTGTTCTTTATGTTAACTGATGACTGTGGTTTAAGGTTAAGTCTTGTCCATTTGGTGCCTTTCTGATGCTAAATATGCCTGTGTGCGCCGCAGGCTGCTCAAAGATCAGATTAGCTGAATGATTCCCAGCACTTCGAGAAGCTAAAGCCGTGATGCAAATAGAAAGTGGTATTGTGTCTGCAGTTTTTGAATTTGAGAGAATTGTATCCCTCTGAAAATCATTCTCATTTCTCTGAGACCTAAGTGGTTCATAAGCATTCATTGGGTACCCACCATGTTCCCCTTGGCTCCAGTCACAGGGCCTCCGCAACCAGTGCAGAGAAAGGATTGCAGTGTAAAGATACAAATACGGGCAGGACTCACTGAACCGTTAGTGGGTGAGCGGTCCAGCACCAGCCATACCCGGATGGAAGCATTCATTCCCCAGCTCTCCAGAGTCCTGGAGCCTGGGCGCTCCCATGACTGCTGAGTTGAACTCTCTGCCCGGGTCTGGGCACTGGACAGTGCGGGCGTTCCTGGCCTGTGCCCCTTGGCTCCAGTCACAGGGCCTCCGTGACCAGGCGCTGCAGGACCTGCATCTCCTGCCGCAGGTGTTCCCCAGTGCACTCCCCCGGGGCTCTTCCTGTTGCTACATCTCCTGGGAACAGGGCCATGTGCATGGGTTCATGACATTGCCTCTCTTTTCAGGCAGAAGCTCCTCCTGGGATTGAGACAGATCTCATTGATGTTGGATTCACAGATGATGTGAAGAAAGGTGGCCCCGGAAGAGGAGGAGGAGGAGGGGGTTTCACCACAGCAGTTGGTGGACCTGATGGGACACTGCCCCTGCCCATGCCGATGCCAATGCCGATGCCAAATCCAAACCCTCCTTTCTCATACCCACTGCCACAGGGCCCAGTAAGTGATCGCCTCAAGAAAGTAGCTTCACGGAAACCTCAGAAATCTCGCAGGTCACAGATGAGTTCTGGGAACATACTCAGGAGTTGTAGATTGAAAGGAATGTTTTGACAGTAAGAACATGCAGTATTAGCTCAGGGAAAAAATGAGGGGATCCAGAAGTTTTGGTAGGTAATGAAGTGGGAAAATTGAGAGCAGGGGTGGGAAACCTTTTTTGTCTTTCAGGGGCCATTTGGATATTTGTAACAAAATCTGTGGGCTGTACAAAATTATTCATTTATGTATCAGCCTGTTTTCAACTTAATTTTAAGTCCTCCCTGAAGCTCCTTTGGCGGGACAAAGGCTTCAACCAACCTTGGGCAGCTCGTGGGCTGCACCCGCCTAGTCTAGAGAGGTGCTGCTAGAACAGCCCCTTCCGTCGGGGCTCGCTGGCTATTTAGGGGCCTGTTGCTGTCGTAGCTTTTTCTTTTTTTCTTTTCTTTTTTTTTTTTTTTAATAAAGATTTACTTATTTTCATTGTAAAGTCAGATATACAGAGAGGAGGAGAGACAGAGAGGAAGATCTTCCATCTGATGATTCACTCCCCAAGTGAGCGCAACAACTGGTGCTGCGCCAATCCGAAGTCGGGAACCAGGAATTTCCTCCAGGTCTCCCACACGGGTGCAGGGTCCCAAGGCTTTGGGCCGTCCTTGACTGCATTCCCAGGCCACAAGCAGGGAGCTGGATGGGAAGTGGAGCTGCTGGGATTAGAACCGGCGCCCATATGGGATCCCAGCGCGTTCTAGGTGAGGACTTTAGCTGCTAGGCCACACCGCCGGGGCTATAGCTTTTTCTAAAAGTAGTGACCACTCATTATTAGTTGAGAAACCTTTGTCAAGAAGAAGATACAGGTCATATCTGGGTATAAAGTCTGATTAGAATTTTCTCTAGTAGGCAATGAATTATATTAAGTAGTTTTAAGAATAAGGTTTGGCTGTAGGTAGGTCTTTGAAACTTGAGAATCCTGACCATACATCCTTTGGGCATCTCTGCCTTTTTTTTTTCTTTATGAGCTTGAAAAAGCCGAGCTCATGTGCAGCCCTCAGGCTTGTGCATCGGAGGCAGCCTCTCTGATGGTACTCTCTCCTCTTACAGTCGGATTTCAATGGATTGCCTGTGGGGACTTATCAGGCCTTTCCCAATATTCATCCACCTCAGATACCAGCAACTCCCCCAACGTATGAATCTGTAAGTGCCTGGGCCTCCTATAAGCAACAGGCGAGTGAATGCCCTGAAGAGAAAGCAAATAATGACTACAGGGAAGGCCGAGTTTTGATCAAATTCTAGTGCTAGCACTGCTTCTGCTTTGGGATTCTTGAGTTGCTTCAAGCCTGGAATGGACTGGTAACAGCAGCCTTGTGGGGGCGGCGCTTTGTGTGTGTTCGAGCCGGGAATCAGGAAGGATCTGCAGCTCCTTGGCGCGTTGTACTGCCCTACAAGGACGCCTTGTGGTGGTATTAATTTACATTTACAAAGCCGGGCGACAGGGTCTTCCATCCATTGGTTCATTCCCCAGATGCTCCTCATAGCAGGGACCGGGCCAGGTGGAAGCCGGAAGTCCAGAGTGTAGTGTGGTTCTCAGAGGGTGGCAGAAAGCCAGTTGTCTAGGCACTCGCCTGCTGCAGCAGGCAGAGCTGGGCCTCCAACCCCAAGCAGCCCGACGGGACATGCGCTCTGAAGTGGCATTTAACTGGCATGCTAGATTCCTGCTGCCTGACCACTTTGGACTACACAGAATCATGGTAAGCTGCTACAGTCTTAGTGCTAGAATATCAGTTAAAATTTCAGTTCTGTTAATACTGATATAAAGAAACAGTGATTTTTATTTATATGACATGTCCAGTTAGTAAATTTCAGCCTCTAGCATTGATTTCACGCGTCAGTCATGAGATTGGAATTTGCTTTAAGTAACTGACAGGGTAATGCTGCCATGAGTTGTGATTCTAACAACTTCAGTTCAGACTTCCATTACGTGGAATCTGCCATCCCGGTTTCCTCCGCATATGCCTCATTCATACCTGAGATTTACTGAGAAACAAACCGTCACAGCATTGCTGCGTGAGCACCAGAACCACGCATCTCGGGTGATCTCCCTGTTCCTGAGCTTGCCTGCTGTTCTTTCGCTTTTTCTCCCTAACTGATGTGTTTCATGGTGGGCCTGGATGTTTCTTAAGCTTCAGTCTTGCATGCATTAAAGCGTGGCCTACAACTGTCTGTAGGAAGGATGAGGTTGGAGGATCTTCACCTGTGTTCGATAGCTTGGTTCTTGGACAGGATTCAGAGGTTTGAAAGTATAGGGTGTTTTGTTTTAAGGGTAAGAAGTTTTTCTTTGCTTGGTTGTTAAGTTTTCCCTACCTTTTTCCAGGCAGGGGGACAGTTGCCAGGGGCTGGAGGGAAAGTTTCTTTGGAGCAAGTTCTGCTGCTTTTTTGGGGAGCAAGTTATGGGAAACACCAGTATCTGTCCCCTTCCTGTGGTTACACTCTGTGTGTTTCAGGTTGATGACATCAATGCTGCTAACAAGAATGTTCCTTCTGCACAGATTGTAGGTGAGTGAGAAAAGATGTTGTGGCTGAGAACCGAGCCCCTGCTGCTTGTGGGCCCTCATTCCTCCCTTAGTGACTTTGTCTAATAGGAACACGGCTTCTCCAGTCTCAGGTTTGCAGAGCACTTTGAATTCACATGAAGCTTGTTGATATTTTGCAGTTTTCAATGTTGCTTGTATAAATTACTGCTTAAAGTGAGTTTCTTAGGTAGCATTACTTTATTTTTTAATTTTGTTTGAGGCAAAGGGCACCTTCCTGTTTCCTGGGTTACTCCTTGCCAAGCCAGGAGTGTGCACTCGATCCAGTTTCCTCCCCAGCCTCCCATCTCGCCGTCATGTGTCTTGTCCTTCGTCTCCTCACTCTTCCCTACCCTGTCTCTGTTCTCTCTCTCTGTGAGATCATAAACACAGCTCTCTACAATAACATTTTTGGTAGTGTTTTGCAGTTTAATATTGCTTGTATAAATTATTGCTTAATGAGTTTCTAAGGTAACATTTTCATTATTTAAGGAAGGTTTTTTTTAGGATTTACTTATTTTTATTGGAAAGTCAGAGGAAGATCCTCTGATTTACTCCCCAAGCAGCTGCCATGGTCGGAACTGCACCGACCTGAAGCCAGGAGCCCAGAGCCTCTTCCAGGTCTCCCATGTGGCTTTGGGCCGTCCTCGACTGTTTACCCAGGCCACAGGTAGGGAGCTAGATGGGAAGCAGGGCCACTGGGATTAGAACCGGCGCCCATATGGGATCCCAGTGCATTCAAGGTGAGGACTTTAGCTGCTGGGCTACTGTGCCAGGCCCTTCCTTATTATTTTTAAAATTTGAATATGAGCTAGAGAATCTGCAGCTTTCCGTTTAGTGGCTCTGACTTCCTGCAGCAAGGACGGCCCAGCCAGGAGGCAGGTGCTCGCTTTCTCTCCTTTTGCCTTTGTGAAAGAAACACAGGTCCTTCGGCCTCGAGTTTGCAAAGCAGTTTGTTGACATGAAGCTGTGTTTCTACGAACTTTTCTCTATAATACAACCTTCTAGTAGGGTTTTGCAGTTTGTAAAATTTCTTGTATAAATTCCTTAAAATGAGTATGTCAGGATTTATGGGGCAGAGAAAATGTACCCCTCTATTTGCTGGCTCAGAGCCAGCTGCCTGCAGTCACCCGGATGGGGTCAGGAACTCAGTCTGTCTCCTGCCTTTCCCTCTCTTGGCTGACTGCTCTGTGCTTCCTCTTCTGTCACAAGTTTGTGAAGTACACATAACTGACATGAAGCTGCGTTGCTCAGAGCTTTCTTTTTAGTAGTGTTTTGCAGTTCTCAATATTCCTTGAATAGTTTAATGCTTAATTTTCCTTATTTTAACTGTTTGAGACAGAATGTGCACCTTTCTATTTGCCTGGACTCTTGCTGTCCTGCAGTAAACAGGTTGGTCAGGCCCAGGCTAGGAGGGAGGAATCGGACCGGTCTCTCCCGCTCCTGGAACGCACAGCGGCACTAACGCGGCCGTGGGCATCCAAGGGCAAGCACTCACTAAGCGTCGCTGTGACACAGTGTTATTGCAGCTCGTGGACGTAGTGTGTGGTTTGATGTGTATACACATACTCCACTCGGGTACAGTGTTCCTTCCCAGAAGGTTCTCTTCTCTTCCTGTGGAGTCCACTCCACACTTGCCCCAGCCAAGCAGTTGATTTTTTGTTGTGGTTTTCTTCAAGTTAGAGCTGTAAGTCAGGTAAGGGGAGGACTTTGAACGTCACACAGATTGGAGGATTGAATCCAATAATACATTTGCATTACTATATCCCCCCCCCCCACGCCTTAAAGGAGTGTTCCTTGCTAAGGAAGCAGCCTGTGGGCCCCAGGACCACCCCGGCCTCCTGCTCGTGCTCGGCGCTCCCTCTGCTGTTTCTCTTGCTGCAGGAATGTGAAATAGATTGGATTCAGAGAGAAAATATAAATGTTAATTGCCTTTTAATTAATTACTGACCTTTGAGGTAAATGTTATTTTTTGAAAAGTTGGCTTGTGCTCCCTGCTTGGTCACCAGGGCTGGGCACCGTTTCCCTGCATGTGTAACTCACACCTCTTGTCCTGATTAGGTCCTGGACCCAAGCCAGAGCCCTCTGCCAAGCCCCCTTCTCGACCGGTGGAGAGCTACGACAACTTTGTGCTACCAGAATTGCCATCAGTGCCAGATACACTGCCCGCTGCGTCCGCTGGTGCCAACACCTCGGCCTCGGAAGACATTGACTTTGATGATCTTTCCCGGAGATTTGAGGAGCTGAAAAAGAAAACCTAGGCCTCTTTAGGCAGGCCGCTTCCGTGTTCTGGGAGTTGAGACTGAACAGCTCCTCCCAGTAACCAAGACCCTCCATGAAATTCCGTTTCATCTGGTAACCGCACTGAGCACACCTTCTCGGGGCTTTCTTCTACCAAATTCTGTTGCTTTCCAGTTCTCTGATCCCGAGACTAAGAGGAGACGGGCTAGACGCGCGGGGCTCCTGGCCCATCCCCTGGAGGGGAGTTGCCGGAGGTGGTGGTGCGGAGAGCAGCTCAGGAAGTGTCTGCTGAACTGGTGGGGAGAGTGGGAGTGGGAGAGAGGCTGACGCCGGAAGCACTGGGGCGGCTCCTGGAGCTGGGCTCTCGCAGGCAGGGCGGCGCTCCTCGTGCAGGGCACTCTTCCTCCTGGATCCATGGCAGCGTTGGTCTGGGAAAGCTGGAGCCCTCTCTCAGTCCTACTGGATTCTCAGGGAGCCCTCGGTGGCCTTCTGCTCCCCTTTGGCCTGGGACAGCACTGTGCTAGCCCAAGCCGTTCCCTCCCACACCCCGCGGGTTCTGGTGACTGCGACACTGGCAGGAGAGGCAGGCCCCACGGTGGGCTTCTGGCTGCCTTAATGATGTGCTCAGGCGTCTGGGGGTGAGATGGAAAGCCCCCAGGAGAGGGATACCTGTTTTCACTTGAAAACTGGTGAACTGAGATGAATGGCTGGTGCCCGTGGGGCTGTGAGTCACTACTCTCCTGGGTGGGTGGGGCTGCCTGCGGCTTGCCCTCCTCGCTGAGCCCATCTCTGTGCAGGCTGGCTGTGGGATTCACGGGCAGGACTCCATACAGACCTGTTTCGAGTGGCTTTTCCTTAATGGTTTTGATTGGTTTGTAGCTCATAGCTCAGTAGCTGCTAATAAAGTTAAAGATCCATGACCCGCTTTCTTTACCATCTGGTCAGACAGTGGAGTAGAGTTCAGAACGTGGCCAGTGTGGGCTCAGGCCGACAGCACCGTCGGTCTGCTCCCTGTGGGGCCTCTGCAGCCACCGGGCCCGGGCTGCTGCTTCCCTGTCCGCAGCTGTCCTGCAGTGTCCACGGGCAGGAACTTGGAATCAGTAATTTTGACTCCTTGCTAACTTACAGATTTAAAGTATTTTATATACACTGATACTTTTCTGCGTGGTACCATGCAAAGGTAGCATGTTCAACAGTAACAGGCCAAGGTGGCTTACCTTCTGGTGCTCCGTCGTGGGGCGGGGCTGCTGGTGCCGCCGGATTCCGAGCAGACCCGAGAGCCTGTGCAGCAGCTCGTCCATTAGGGTCGTTTCCCTCTGCGAACAGAAGGCTGCATGTTGGCGGGAAATACAGTATCAAAGATAGTGTTCACTGTTACTGCATTTAATTAAATTTTTCCCAGTGATTTACTGTCGAGCGTTGGGAGAGTCTTCACTGCTCAGGAGTCATTGGGGTTCTGTGGACAGTGGCCTTAGAACATAGGCCAGGGTAAACTGGTTTCTTAGGAAGGTCGATTTGGCCGAGCTGTGGAGATTGGAAGCATGGTGGTTGTGTGTATCCCAGGGGCACACGCGGTTGGTCCCCTCCAGTGGTACGATATTACTGTGCCAGCAGTGCCTACCTTAAGGGACTTCCTTTCTCGTCCAAAGGCCATGAGGATAGCAGAAACAAACAGGTTGATGATCACTAGCACCATCAGGACGACGCTGGTGAGGGTGAGGAAGCCGCCCAGCACTGGGTCTAAAGCAATAACCTAGAGGGCAGAGGACAAGGAGCTGACAGCCTGTGCCACCAACAGGCGGATGCCATGGCTAGGGAGGGATCCCCAGGAAAACGTGTGATATCCACTGGACACCAGGGAGGGAGGCAGTGAGAGAATGAGAACAGCAGTGAAGGACTTTGAAAAGAAGAAAAAGGTGAATTGCTGTGGAATCATAAATGAGATCCCTTGAGTTGTAACAGTTCTGGAAAAGACATAGTTCTGGAAACTATGGAAGCTTCAAGGGGGGGACGGTACCAGATGCACTGAGAGGAGATGCATTCAGCTTGTCTACACAGCGGCATCTCCGTAAAATCCAACTGGCTGACTGGACACCGGCGTACACGCTCCACCTGCTGGGTCACTCCCTGCAGCCCTTAGTGGCCAGCGGAGGGCCGAAGCTGAGAACCGTGTCCCATTCTCCCTCAGCGGGGCCGGAGCAGAGAACCACACGCAGGTATGCTAAGTGTTTAAACTGAAGGTATAAACAATGAGCTCTCCGTCTTTGTTGACTTGTGTGTAGATTTCTCAAATTCCAGGCCTACTACAGTGGCTTCCATAACATTAAGGTTTCAGTTTGTTTATTTTCTCTGGGGACTGGCCTACTCGTGGTCTTTGGGGTACTGTTTTAAAGAAACCCAGCAGTTCAGAGGATGCTGCTTGGGATGCCTCCCTCTGTGCAGGATGGGATCTCGAGGCACTAGCTTGTTAGGTGCTTAGCTGCCAGGTCCTGCGCACCAGGTGGTTAGGGCAGTTGGACTCTGGTGGCAAAACTCCACCAGTAAGCTTGCTCCATTTTCCCTTCCAGTGGTCCAGTCAGTGCCAAAGCGTGGCAGGTTTCCTCCGCCCCGAGGCAGCATTAGTACCGCGGCTGTGCCCTCGGAGCACGTCAGGAATGAGCCCTTCGTCCTGGGGCCGGAACTGTCAGTGTCCTACCCAGACTGCGGCTTCATTCCTGAAGGAGCCTGTCCCAGCGGGAGCCACGGGCGGCGGCAGCCTCCGGCAGACCAGCCTTTGCCGCAGCGTGCACTTCACGTGTTTCCTACCCTGGGCAAACGGGTCTGGGCCCAGTGCACCACGTGGGCTTCTCTTGTTAAACAAGATGATAGGGAATTGTTAGATCCTGGGGGAAAATAACAGGCCCACAAACCATGCTGTTCTTCCTGAAACTGCCTTTAAAAATTTTTTTGAAGATCTCCCATCTGCTGGTTAAACTTCCCAAATGGCTATAGTTGCCAGAGCCAGGCCAGTCTGAAGCTGGGAGCTAGGCCCTTCTTCCAGGTCTCCCACATTGGTGCAGGGGCCTGACGCCTTCCCAGGCTGCTGAGCAGGGAGCAGGAACAATCATTTAGTAAGTGCAAACTGCAGGGTACTGGCACATGGCTTAATTGGCTAATCTTTTGCCTGTAAGTGCCTATATCCTTTATAGGCACTGGTTCCCGTCCCTTTGCCCCCACTTCCCATCCAGCTCCCTGCCTGTGGCCTGGGAAAGCAGTCAAGAATGGCCCAAAGCCTTGGGACCCTGCATCTGCGTGGCAGACCCTGAAGAAGCTCCTGGCTCCTGGTTTTGTGTCGGCTCAGCTCTGGCTGTTACGGCTGCTTGGGTTGGAAGATGTGTCTACCCTCTACAAGTCTGCAGGCAGTGAGGAAGACAGGACTAAGTGCTTCGGAAAGGTCAGTGTCCTGCAAGCGAAGCTGCTTCTAGGCTGTGTGTGCTCAGAGCACTGCAGACACGGCTGCTTTAAGCAGGCCCCTCTGTGGTAGACTTTTACGGCAAAGGCGATACATGAGGGAAGCCTTGATGAGCCCTTTGCCCCCGGCCGGGGCTGAGGACCTGTCCTTACCTCTTTGTGCTGAGAACCTCCCATGAGGAGCCCCACAACGGTCACCACTGAGCTGACAAACGTCCGGTAGTTGGATATGCTCCATCCGAACAGCAGGTTGAACTGGGAGGGAGAGACGCTGTTAGTGGGGGCTGCGCACGATGCTTCCCCCCAGCCTGTGAAGGTTGCATTCGTAACTAAGGTGTTTGACTTCACATCTATGGAATTAAATTCTGTCCCGATTTTTGAGGTAAGGAGACACAGGACGGGTGCAAACCCTGCTAGTTAAGTCAGATTCGAAGCAGCCACTGTTCCCTCTGGCACCCTTTCTAGTGGGGGCAACCCGACAGACAAGGCACAGCACGGGGCTTACAGCCATGGCGTAGCCGGTCAGCAGGACCAGGATGATGAGCAGAAAGCCTGTCACCTCATCCCAGGCTTTGCTCAGTGTCCTGCTGATGACCTGCAGCCTGGCTTCGTGGTGCAGCAGGTGCCAGAGCTGCAGTGTTGCCAGGAGCACAAGGATGCCCACCAGGTAGGTGGCGGCGGAGTTCACACTCAGCGCCTCGGAGAAGCTGACGAACCTGTGCCGGGGAAGGCTGCCAGTTATCCAGTGTGCCGTGGGGCCCTCGCATGGCCGGGGATGGCGGGGGCTCCCTCCACCCACCCCGGCCCCTGTTGAGGCCTGCTAGGTTGGATGCTTGCCGTCAGAACTGCTTTCCAGGCAGAAGCGCTGCACCGTGAGGACCCTCACAACCAGCTGTGTGCTGGGAGGCCCCGGAAGCTTACACAAGGGATGTGTATTTTATTTGAAAAAGCTTGTGAGCTTCTGGGCCCAGCACCAGATGGAGATGTCTGGGGCACACAGTGCCAGTGCCGCTGCCTCCACTTGTCTGGCCGGAAGGTGGGTTACAAGTCCTCAGAGGTGGCAGATATGAGGGGGCACTGCCAGCCACATGAGCTGCCAGCTTCTGTTGGCCTAGCCTTCAGTGTTGTGGGCACTGCGGGAGTGGATCAATGTACAGGAGATATTTCTGTCTTTCAAGTGAAACAAAATTTTTTAAATCTTAAAATTTTAAAACATTTTTAAGCTTTATCGAGAGGCCAAGTGACAGGTTTCCCATTTACTGACTTGTTTCCCAAATGGCTAGGACAGACGGGACTGGGCCACCCTGAAGCCAGAGGGCAGGAATTCCATGCAGGTATCCACCGAGCCCTCACATCTGCTACTTTCCCAGGTGTGCCAGGCGGGAGCCCCAGCAGGAGGAGAGCACCTGGCACGTGCCCACGGTGCTGGGATCCTAAGCAGTGACTTAGGCTGTGGCATCACAATGTTGACCCACCTGTTTTTACACCACTGTGTACTTACGCCGAGCACATGGAAAAGCCATGTGTGCCCTCCAGCTGACGGTGCCCAGTTCACCCCCTTCCCCTGACCTGCTCTCTGTCCAGGAGGAGACAGACTGTGGTGGAGTGGCCGGTGAGGTGCGCCAGCCTGTGAGGTGCGCCAGCCCGGGTGCTGCTCTCGGGCAGTAACTGACTAGCAGGCACTGCTGAGGAGAGGGGAACCACCATTTGGTGCTGCAGTAACTAGGTTTGGAAGACAGCACAAAGCTCCAAGCAAGTTGGCACCCTCCTGCATCAGGTAAGAGCCAGGCAGTCGGCACAGGCCTGAGCTGGCGGGCTCCGCTTCAGGCAAGCCACCACGCAAACCCCTTGCACCTGCGTCAGCCTTCACCTCAACACACTGACACCCCGGGATGACTTCTCAACAGGAGCTCTGCTAAAAACAGCCTGGGGTAGGTGACCTGGAAGGGGATGGGAGGCTGCCACACCAGGCCCTTGTTCCCATCAAAAGCCCCTGCTCCCACCCAGGCCCCTGCCTACCCATCCGGGTCCTGCCGGTGCTGGGCCATGTGCTTCTGGTGCAGAGAAATCCGCGTCATGTCAAGCGCCAAGATGACAAAGCTGATGAGGACCACACTGGTGTCCAGTACGTTTCTCTTCTGTGTGAGGAACCTCCAGCCCTGGCGTTTGAGCCTCCAGCCCTGGGCGCAGAGGGTGTGGTCACGCGGGCCAGCAGCAGGTGCAAGGTCCTGAGAGCCCATGCCTCACACAAGCTCTGTGCTCGCTGGGCACCGTGACGGCCCCCGACGGCACTGCTGTGGGCTGCATGCGTTCTCACGTACAGCACGGGCCTAATAGTTTTCTAAATCAGCTGTGGCGATCTTGGGGTGCCTGGGCTGGCTGCCTCCCGCATCCCAGGATCAGGGTCTCCACTCGGTTGTTTTTGCTTTTGGTTCATGTGCACCCAGAGAGGCAGCAGGGCAAGACCTAGGCATTTGGGTTCCCGCCACCTCCATGGAGGGACCCAGGGAGTGAACCAGCGCTGCCTTTCAAATAAGCTAATGAGACTGGAGGGGCTGCCCTTCGGCCTCAGATGCGGTCTTCCAGCGCCATCGGTTGTGCTTAAGCACCAGTTCTCTGTTCAGCACGCTTTCTTGATAGGACTTGGAATCGGCACTGAAGGTATCAAATACCATTTCCACAGAACTTTAAGATTATTTGAAAGGCGGAGTTACAGGAAGACTGATCTTCCATACTCTGGCTCAGTCCTCAAATGATGCAAATACTCAGCGCTGGGCCAGGTCCAGGCAAGGAGCCTGGGGCTTGTTCTGGGTCTCCCCGACACGTGGGCCATCTCCTGCTCCTTCCCCAGATGCATTAGCAGGGAGCTAGATCAGAAGTGCCCACATTGGGATGCTGGCGAGACAGTGGTGGCTGTACTAGTTACGCCAGAATTCCTACACGAGCAGGCCGAGAGCAGGCTGCCTCCGGCTCAGGCTGTGTGAGAAGGCAGTCGGGTAGGAAGAGGTCTCAGTGTGACTCACTGCACTCTGCCAACCATTGGCACTAATTAAGACAGTAATGACCTATTTGAAAGGCAGGGCTACTGGAATGGAGTGTTGGGACATCATCCGCTGACTAGGTCACTTCCTAGGTGGCTGCAACAGCCACGGCTGGCCAGGTGGTGATCAGGAACCTGGAGCTTCATCCAGGTCTCCCACGCAGGTGGCAGGGACACAAGATGGGGCCATCTTTGCTGTTTTCCCAGGCATGCTAGCAGGGAGCTTGATGGGACTGTAACAGCCTGGGCTAGCCTTGGGGCATTGCAGGTTAAGGTTCTGCCTGCAACATCAGCATGAGGGTGCCAGCTGATGTCTCAGCAGCTAGATGTCTCATCTAGCTCCCTGTTAATGCAAATGGGAAAGCAAGAGGAGACGGCGTGAGTGCTTGGGCCCCTGCACCCATGTGGTGGACCCAGACAAAGCTGCTGGCTCCTGCCTGGCCCTGTGGCCATTTGGAGACCGAGCGAGCAGATGGAAACTCTGCCCTAAGCTCTCTATAGTCTTGCCTTTCAAATCAGTCAGTGAAGCATCCAGAACTCAGTCACTGCATTTTCAGCTCACCTGGACAAAGGCGTAGTAACAGACCAGCAGGTGATACAGGACCTGGGAGACGACGTCCCAGCCAAGGCCCATCTGGGAGGCCTGCAGGGCAGGCAGACTGTCCACTCTTACAGAGCTGAATAAAGCACCTGGGAAAAAAGCAACACCTGGAGACAAGGCCTCTTGCCTGCTTCAGACTTCCGCCTCCACCTGCCCCGACACCAAGTCACTCCCTAGTCCTTCTGTGCCCCTCAGTGCAGCAGTGGGTGCTGTGGCCAGCACTGACCAGCCAACACCAAGGTCACACGCACAAAGCTCTTGGATCAGGGCTGTTGGCCGCACCAGGGCTAGGCGCTCCCAGGACGGCTGTCTCCGTGCTGATATTCCCTAACAGAGCCCTCTGCAGACCCTGGTCCTCGCCCCCTCACTGAGAAGGCCGCTTGGAGTTAAGGTTCAAGTCGTGGCTTCACTCCTGATTCTGGCTTCTCCCTGGCAGCAGGGGTGATGGCTCAACCAGCTGCATCTTTGCCACCCACGTGGGAGACCTTGAATGAGCTCCAGGCTCCTGGTGTGGCTGAGCTGCCTTTGTCCCACAGCAGTGGGGGGGGGGGGTGCAACTCCCAGCTGCAACTCCTCACTTCAGCCCCTTGCCAGTACAGAGCCTGGTGGGCAGTGATGACGGCTCGTTTAACGGGGTCCTGCCACTTCTCCCACCCCCAGGGGAGACCTGGGCTCTGTTCTCATCTCTAACTTTGACCTGGCCCAGTCCTGGCTATTGTGGACTCCGGCTGGGGAGTGGACAGAAAGGAGCTCCCAGGTCGGCCTCTTCAGTGCAGGGCTGAGGAGGTGCGGTGGCCCGGCGAGCCTCGGGGAGACCTTGGTAGGCTGCCGCCTGCTGGCCAGGTTAGCTGCCTGCCAGAGGAGGGGAGAGGACACGGGATTAGGATGACCTTCCCTCTAAGGGGGGGGGGGTGCCTCACAAACACCACCATGGGGACAGGGACAGGGACACATCACCCTGAAGATGAAGCGGAGGGAGAAAAGCGGCTCCGTGCAGTGTGTGTGCGGCAACACCCGCTCCGACAGGACTGTCGGGCTGCTACCTGAGCAATGGGGTTGTTAGGAAACTCTTGACGTTTTATTTGGAAGGCAGAGAGAGTGCCTCTCTTCTGGTTTGCTCCCCAGATCCCCAGCAGTCAAGGCTGGGGCCAGGAGCTCCATCATGGATCCCCCAGCGTGGGCGGCAGGGACCCAAGTACTCGGGCCCTCACTCACTGCCTCTCCTCAGGCTCCAAGTGGAGAAGCTGGCACTCCAGCTGGGCACAGCCCAGGCGGCAGCTTACGCACTGTGTCAGGCGCCTGCTCGCGTGGTTGGACTTTTGAGGTGTTTGTATGTAATGACCTGAAGGCATCTCAGTGAATGGGGTCAGGTCCAGGAGGAAGAGGAGGGGAAAGGCCTTCCTACCCACGTCACTGGACTCCAGGATCAGGGTCACCGCGCAGAACAGGTTCACGTTGGCATTGAAGACCACAAACTCCATGCAGAGGACCCTGGTGCGCCGGTCCAGCCAGTGCCACTGCTGGAGGTGCTGCAGGACCCTGGGGAGGGAGAACACAGCGTTTCTCACCAGGGACAGACGCGCGGGAAGCACCCCTGTGTTCAAGCTCCGAGGCCGCCTCAGCTCCCTACGCCGCGTCAGCTGCTTCCTCCGCGGTGCTAACTGCCCTCACGACGCGTGCAGGGTACTCTGCGGGGCTCCGGCTGTCACTGGACGGAGAGGTCATGTGAGCTCAGACACTCATTCCCATGACACGGGCCACCTCGGGTCTCTGGCAGTGCAACCAGGGCACCCTGACCTTGGGCTGCTTCTCAGCTGTTTATTTCTATGTTGGAAGGTTACAGAATGTTCAAGCCAGCAGTAGCCAAGTTCTAACCACTGTAAGGATTTACGCTGGCATGCATTTTCCCAGATAAAATATGGAATGAGGACCAGGGCAGTGGCCAGGTGGGCTAATCCTCCATGTGAGAGTATTAGCATCCCATGTGGATGTGTTTGTGTCCTGGGTGCTCCTCTTCCCATCCAGCTCCCTGCTCATGTCCTGGGAAAGCAGCCGAGAAGGACCCAAGTCACTGGGCGCCTGCATGTGCATGGGAGACCTGGAAGAAGTTCCTGGTTCTGGCTCGGCTCCAGCTGCGGCAGCTGTTGGGGAGTGAATCAACGGATGGAAGAGCTCTTTCCTTCTCTTTGTAAATCTTCCTTTACAATATGTTTTTTAAAAATGAAGTTTGGTAAATTCCCAGACCTACATATGACTGCAGTTTGAAGCTGAGCAAGGAATTGCTTTTCAAAGAAATGGTAGATTTCTTTAGGAGTTTTAGGTCAGAGATCTCCAAGACTACAAGGCCCTCCCAGCAGCTGCCACACTTATCAGCCGTGTCCTGAAGCCACCATCCGGGGCCTCGGGCTCAGGCTGGCTCACCTGGCTGCAGCCGTGGAGTTTCTCCCCAGCCTCACGGCGTAGCTGCCTCCCGAGTAAGTGGCAAACTCCCCCTGGATGGGATGGTCCTGCTGGCTCTCCTTATCCTGAGGGTGCCATGGGCTCCCGGGCGCCGTGTTGTTGGCCTCGGGAGGCCCCCAGCTGACACTGCAGCCCTCTGTACCCGCTGGTTGCTGCTGGGAGGCTGCCCCAGGGTCACAGGGAGGAGCGCCGGGGGTGCGGATCTGACGGAGCAGGATGCTGCCCAGGAGGAAGCAGTTCCCGTCGGTGACGCAGCCTAGGGAGAGGGGCATTACCTTCAGTGAGCCACAGCGGGAGAGGGGGCACACGGCCACTGTGGGTTGAGTTTGTTTTACTTGAAAGACAGAGTGACTGTGTGTGTGCGTGTGTGTGAGAGAGAGATTGGGCTCCTGCCATCTGCTGGTTCACTCTCCAGTCACAGTGAACAGGGGGGAGCCAGGCTGAAGCTAGAAGCTCCATCTGGGTCTCCCACCTGCATGGCAGACACCTAAGCACTTGAGGCATGTTCGCTGGCCTTCCCAGGTGCGTTAGCAGGGCTGGAAGTAGAGCAGCCAGGACTCCAGCTGGTGCTCTGACAAGGGAAGACAGTGGCAGCTTAACTCACCGCATCGCAACACTGGCCCCGCATGTCACCACTAAAAAACACACACATTTTAAGGGTCTGGTGTGATTGAGGGCTCAGTGGCTAAATCCTCTCCTTACACGTACTGGGATTCCATACGGCAGCAATTCATGTCCAGGCTCAACCTCCCATCTAGTTCCCTGCACGTGGACCAGGACAGCAGTTGAGGATGGCCCAAAGCCTTGGGACCCTGCGCCCGTGTGGGAGACCTGGAGGAAGCTCCTGGATCCTGATCAGTTCAGCTCTGGCTGTTGTGCCGCTTGGGGAGTGAACCAGAGGACGAGAGATTGTTCAGTCTCTCCTCCCTATAAATCTATGCTTCCTGTAAAAAAAATTTTTTTTAAGTGCTAGCTAATAGAATTAGACAGGAAGAGGGGACCTGGTGCAGTGGTGCATCAGGCTAACCCTCTGTGGAGCGCTCGTCTGGTCCACTTCTGATCCAGTTCCTACTTACGGCCTGGGAAAGTAGTGGAGAATGGCTCGAGTGCATGGGCCCTTGCACCCACGAAGGAGACTCAGAAGCAGCTCCTGGCTCCCGGCTTGGCTGGGCCTAGCTCTGCTCATGGTGGCCATTTGGTAAGCGACCCAGCAGATGGATGATCTCTGCCTCTTCCTGTAACCCTGCCTTTCAAGATAAGTAAATAGGGTCCGGCGCGGTGGCCTAGCGGCTAAAGTCCTCGCCTTGAACGCACCAGGATCCCATATGGGCACAGGTTCTAATCCCAGCTGTTCCACTTCCCATCCAGCTCCCTGCTTGTAGCCTGGGAAAGCAGTCAAGGATGGCCCAAAGCCTTGGGACCCTGCACCCACATGGGAGATCTGGAGGAAGTTCCTGGCTTCGGATCGGCATAGCACCAGCTGTTGCAGCCATTTGGGGAGTGAATCATCGGACGGAAGATCTTCCTCTCTGTCTTCTCCTCCTCTCTGTATATCTGACTTTCCAATAAAAATAAAATGAATCTTTTAAAAAAGTAAATAAACCTTGGGGGAAAGGAATAAGGACTGAGGTATACATACTTAAAACTGGCAGTGAAGCTATCACACTTTGTAAAGGATTCTGTAACTAAATTGAGAGAATCAGCTGAGGAATTACTACAAAAATCTAATTCAGCCAAGCGGCAGGGTGCTGAATAAAGCAGGAAGACTGACTTCATGTTTCCACACAATGCTAACATAACAAGCATCGCTTGAACCACCAGCCCCAAGGGTAAGGCAAAGCCAGAGGTGAGCAGGGCCCGGGAGGCCTGTGTGCCGCCCACGGCTCTTACTAAGGGACACAAAGGGGATGGGAACAACTAAGCACGCTGTGATCCCAGATAACAGGAGCACTGAGTGTCGCACCCTGTAAATTCGTCTAACTGCTTAGTCTGTCTATACACGCCTATCCTGCCACTGCACAGGCTCCTGATAGAGCAGCTGAAGGTGGCTGGGCGAGGGTGGAGGGGAACAGGGGAGGCACAGACGTAGCTGGGGCGGCTGCGCAGGCCTCACTGGGCAGCCAGAGAAATGGGCAGACTCCCTTTGACTTGCTAACAGGAGTGTTTCTGGTTTAAAAGAATAATAACTAGGAAGAGTAATTTGGAGATATTTTTCTAAATTCCAACTCCATACGTACTCGGTCTGGTCCAAGGCATTTATCTTACAGGGATGCTAATCAGATATCAGGACACAGATGCTCGCGTTGTGGAATTACATGGCTATCACTAGGGGACTGGTGACGTGGTCCAGGGTGCAAACATGCGATGTACTACCACGGGGCAGGGGGCGAACACAGGGGAGCGGCTGACGGGACAACGCCCAGAAAGATGGAGAGAGGCAAGCTGCAGGAGCAGGGACGCAGCCCCTGGCTGTCAGGTGCACGAGGGTCAGCAAAGCAGCCGCTCCGGGCAGGAGGGAAGCGGGAGCCGGGGCATGTGGGGACGCGGCTGCATGGCCCACGCCGTCACGCATGCGCACTGCCTCCACATTCACCTTCTCATTGCAGGTGAGTCCTGCCGTGAGAAAGCAAAGAGGGTACAGCAGCTGCCAGGAGAGCCTAGCTGGTAAAGGAGGACTGGGTTCTATAGAAGGGAGGCGTGCCTGAATGCTCAAAGATACAGGGTGAGACATTACTCTTCCATGAGGAAAATACGTACGATTGTGAACACCTGCTTTCTCATAGGAAAGCCAAAAGCGGCAAAGTGAACTGAAAGTGCTGTAAAAAATGGTGTGGGCCCAGCACAGTGGCTCAGTTAGTTAATCCTCCCCCTTCAAGCGCCAGGATCCCTTACTAGTGCCGGTTTGTGTCCTGGCTGCTCCACTTCCCATCCTGCGCCCTGCTTATGGTCTGACAAAGCAGTGGAGGATGGTCCAACGCCTTGGGACCCTGCACCCACATGGGAGACCTGGAAGAGGCTCCTGGCTCCTGATCGGCTCAGCTCCAGACAGTGCAGCCATTGGGGAGTGGACCGGTAGATGCTTCTCCTCTTTGTAAATCTGCCTTTCCAGTAAAAGTAAAGTTAAAAAGGAACATTGAAAACAAACCCTATCAAGAACAGTGCTTCCCTTACTGCTAGGCTGTTCTAGAAGGCTCTATAGTCACACGCTAACAGTTACCTCCACAAACGGCAAGGCGTACCCGGGTCAATGGCACCGAGGCACATCAACACGCAGGGAAACACGCAGAAGCTACCGAGATACTCCAGCTCAGTGTCTTTTTTTTTTTCTTTAATGGCTTTCTACTCCACTTGTCACTGGATTCTGTTTTTATTATTATTATTATTATTATTATTTATTGGAAAGGCAGATATACAGAGAGGAGAGAGAGGAAGATCTTCCGTCCGATGATTCACTCCCCAAGTGAGCGCCACGGGTCGATACTATGCCGATCCGAAGCCAGGAGCCTCTTCCAGGTCTCCCACGCGGGTGCAGGGTCCCAAAGCTTTGGGCCGTCCTCGACTGCTTTCCCGGGCCACAGGCAGGGAGCTGGAAGGGAAGCGGGGCTGCCGGGACTAGAACCGGCGCCCACATGGGATCCTGGGCGTGCAAGGCGAGGACCCCAACCATTTGCACCACCGCGCCGGGCCCAGGATTCTGTTGTTTTTGTCCATCTGTATCTGCAGATCTGTTCTTGCTGATCTTGGTACGTCCAGGTAGGGAGGACAGAGCTAGTGGTTCTGCTAGGTGGGCTGGCACGGCAACTGCCCCAGTAGGAACCGCTTCCCACTTCTCCAGGGAATGCTGGGTGCCAGGTGCTGCTCTAAGCCCCTCCATTTACTCATCTTTCAATCTCGACATCACATCCTAACATGACACCCACTGTGCACATGGGGAAACCAAGGTCCCAGGCACACAGCCCAAGCCCAGGGCCAGGCTACCTCCTGGGGTACAGGCTGAGCCCGTAGGGCAGGGCGATCAGGAGGAGGGCACCCAGGGGGACGCCAAAGACCTCAGCAAGCCTGTGAGCCACTCCGAGTTAGTCAGTGCACTGCTCAGCAGACAGAATTAGTCTTCTAAACAGTGTCCTGAGCCTGCAGCGGTCACCATCTCAAACAGAACAGAGAAGGAACAAACCAGCAGTACGCAGGAGCTGCCCCCGTGAGTCCGCAGCCCTAAACACAACCTTACAAAGGGCGTGCGGGTGTTCAGGGAGAGGACAGCACCTTCAGCTCTCCTCTGCAACCTGGGAAATGTGCACAGCTCATTAGAAAGTCGCCAGTGCCAGATTAAAGGAAAGCAACAATGTCCAGAATACAGCTTAACTACCAAAACACGAAGTTACACATTGACAAAGCACTGATAATTCGTGAAAAATCCTGCATAGGAAGTCTTTCAAGAAAACACATTGTTTGCTTGCTTAGTATGGTCTACTTGAAAGGCAGGGAGAGGGCAAGAGGGAGAAAGAACCTTCCATCAGCTGGTTTGCTCTCCTAGCACCTGCAACAGCCAGGACGAGGAGGAAGCAAGAAGGCACGAGGCCGAGGTCCGTGGGGCTCCCACGTGGCCACGCCTCTGAGCGACCCTCTCCTGCCTCCTGGGGCTACAGCAGGAGGCCAGACTGGAAACTGAGCAGCCGGCACTCAATCCCAGGCCCTTGGACGTGGGCATCCGAGAGGAGGCTGAGGTCCTGTGCCTCGATGCCTGCCCAGGGCAGGCCACCTGGGAGCTCTCCCCCAACACTGTACAAGGCGGGACACCCTCGCTTTTCTCTGTGGAGGATTGCGGAGGGAATACGCTGGGCTGTGACATCTGTCAATCACGGGCCCTGGGGCAGTTCCCAGCACACTCCCGGTGTCCCACGCTATCATGCTGGCAGGCTGATCACATCTAGGGGAGCAACAAGCTAATGCGATTTGGAGGCGGCCCAAGGAATGCACCCCTGATGCCCACAGAAGTGTGGCGTGATGAAAAGGCCACTAGAGGGCAGCCGCTCTGGCCAGGCGGGTAAAAGCGCCATCTGAGTGCCTGCTGCTTTGCGTGCCAGTTCCTCCGCTCTAACCCAGCTTCCTGCTGATACAACCACAGCAGGTGGCAGCGGGGACTGGAGACCTGGCTGGAGCTGCTGGATGCTGGAGACATCTGGGGAGTGAACCAGCCCATGGAAAATCCGTCTTGCTCTCTCCGCCAAATCAATGCATAAATAAATCAATGAACAGATCTTAAACGACGGCTCATGGTCCTGGGGGAGTGTCTGGGTCACGGGCTGTGGCCCATGTTCTCGCGGCAACCGCTCACCTCTGCCATCACCATACAGGTGCGGAAGGAGAGTGTGCCTGGCCCAAGGGTAGAACTCCTCCAGCAGTCGGATCTTGGCAAAGGCAGGGGCTAAGCTCTTCCGGATGGCCTGGTGGAGGTAAAATCGGCTGGAGTTCTGCGCAGAGTAGGTTCTTGTCATCAGCAGGACGAGGAAGAGGGTTTGTACTGGTTCAAGACACGGGAAGAAGCATTCAGTCAGCTCGAGGGGTGAGGGGTCGGCTCGCCCCGAGCCTTCCTCCCTGCCCCTAAGCTGTCACTCTGCAGGTCAAAGCCAGCCAAGAACTAGCCGTTTCTTGCGGTTCTGTTGTAAGGTATGGGTTCAAAAATCTCAGGAACAAATGTATCCTCTCTTCTAACTGCATTTCCCACAAGCCCCTCGTCTGTATTATTCCTCACTGGCCTTCTTTTCTACCACTCACCTGACATTCTATTTAAAACAAGTTACTTTCTGTCTGTCCCTCTTGGCCACTTTGCCTTTCAAATATATCTTCAAAAAAAATTACACAAATCCTCAAAATAAAACAAACAAACAACAACAACTAAACAAAACTTCAACTCATTTTACTTTGGTTTTTGGAACCCAGGGTTCCTCTCTCTGGCTCTTGTGCCCAGTGACCACAAGGACACCATGTCTTCTTGGTTCCAAGGAGCCCCCTGTACACTGGGGTCCTGAGAGCCCAGCATGGCCAGCGCTACCATTTTCTCAAAGTCTTACAGTCCTCCCTCCAGCCCGCGAGGCCTGCAGACTGCATCCTCTCAGCACAGGCTGCCCAAGTGCCTCAACTACAGGAAGAAACCTAGACGCCAAGTTCAGCCGGGCCACTTTGGTCCGCCGCCATGCTGGCTTTGACGGGGCCAAGATCTTCCCGGGCATTTTCAGCTCCTTCTCCATTGACTGCATTCCTTTCCTTGCCTGCTGCCCTCCCGCGTGGCCCTGCATACCCACAATGCCTGCGGATATCCTGCAGAGCCTCCTCCTTCCCACGGCTCCCGCTGGGCACCTGGCTGGGCCATGCATGGCGGGGGCCACGTAGACGGGGTTGTTTCGGTCTCTTGAAGCCAGCGAGGAGGACGAGCACTTTACTGCCAGGAAGCCAAAAATGGATTTGGGAAGCGTTAGGCTCCAGGCAGCAGTCAACACGGGTAGCTCTCTCCCACGGGTGCCTTCTCAGAAGCGCTAGAGCAACACAGCACCAGGCTCCCACAAGCCCCGCTTTCCCCGCTGTCCACAGTGAAGGACCCACTTCTAGAAACCTTCCACCCCTGCAGGGCTGAGCTCATCCACGGAAGACAACGCAAATCAGTCATCAGAGGGGCCAGCACTGTGGTTAGTGGGTGCTGGTTCCTGCTCCAGTGTTCCACTTCCCATCCAGCTTCCTGCTAACGGCCTGGGAAAACAGTAGAGAATGGTCCACGTCCTTGGGCCCCTGTTTCCATATGGGAGACCCAGAAGCAGCTCCTGGCTGCCAGATCTGGCAGCTGTGGCCCTCTGGGGAGTGAACCAGTGAATGGAACATCTGTTTCTCCTCTCTGTGTAACTCTGCCTTTCAAATAAATGAAAAATAAATGTTAAAGAGTTACTAAGAGAATTAAAGATATGTAAGACAAGCCCGTTTTGGAAACTAGATTCTACAGGCATAAAATCAGGTTATATTACAATTTTCTAGATGCTTCCCCTCCAGCTCCATGCTTCTCTTGGACTGGGCATGCCTGGTGCTGCTCACTGGCCTGCACTGTGGACACAGGGGGCCGACCGCACAGTTCTGCATGCTGCAGCGTGGGTAGGGACCCCCAGGAATCCCAATGAGCATGGATTCTCTGGGTGAGACCTGAGATTGTTTCCATCATTCTACGAGCTTTTTTCTGTGCGCTTTCTGGAAAAAATAAATCCATGCAAGGATTTCAAATTTGTACCAACATACATTTATCTTCAGTTCCACTTTTACTACAACTTTGTGAGGCCTCCTTGTAAGTAACTGTCCAGTTGAACTCCACCTGGACCTCCTGTGTGGGCGGCAGGGGCCCGAGGATGGGGGTCAGCACAGCTGCCTCCCAGGGCATCGCAGGGAGCTGGAAGCAGACGCCGGAGCTGGGACCCCAAAGTCAGGCTCTCCGCTCGGGATACAGGACTTAACCCCTGAGCCAAATACCCATCCTGGTTCTGACTAAAGGCAGCAAGACAAACAAACCAGACTGATCCTCCATCCCCTGGTTCGCGCCCCAGAAGCCCACAGAGACTAGGCCAGGCTGAGCCAGGAGCCGGAACTCAAACTACGGCCCGGCTTCTTGAGCCAATGCCTGATGTACCTTGAGACACATGGCAGTGGGAAGCTGGGATTGCGACCAGAGCTGAGATAAACTCAGCCACTCTCACACGGGATTGGACCTTCAAGCGGCACCTTAGCTGCTGTGGCCAACATTCCTTCCAGGCGTGGTTTCCTATTTCACAATGTAAACGACATTGCCATACATCCTCACAGGATTTCAGCATGTCCTTGGGGCTGCTGCTGGGCCTGGCAGTGAAGACACCTGCCTCAAGTACCCAGGCCCGACTCCAGCGTCCTGTGCAGGACATCCCCAGAGGCATGATGGGGTGCCTGCCATCTGCGCAGCAGTGAGCTCTTGGACCCCAGTTTTACTTCCTAGCCAGTGTGGGCACTTAAGAAGTGAACCAATGGCTGGGCAGGGTGTGTGCATTCTGTGCCTCTGAACAAAACAACTGTGCTAATTTGTTTTTTGTCACTTTTTTGCCTAACACTGTGCTTCAAGCAGTTCTGGTCAGTTATGTAGAGGACAAGACACCCTTAGGTGTGAACTCAATACTGGGGTAGGAGGGATTTAGGATGCCTCCAGCATTTTTTAGAGAACAGTAATCTACCCCTGGAAAGGATTCAGTGGGTAGGTGGACTGTGGAGCCAATGTATTCTACCCTGAGGCACCTGCAGGCACAGAGGTCCTGGGGCCTCAGGAGAGAGAGGGAGGGTGGCACACAGACGGAGCTCCAAACACAGGGCAGGACTGGAGGGTGGGGAGCAGGTGCACAGATCAGCCCTGGGCAGAGGCGGTGGTGCCGGCAGCTGCGTGCCCACGGATCTCCCAGTGGACTCACGCACCCAGGTCTTGGAACTCACCGGCGAGGGCCAGGATCCTTCTTGTCTGCTGTCCGCTCTCTCTGTTGAGCCACGGCACCCTCTTCATCAGCAGTGACAGCCCGAAGGCGAGAATGACCACCTGTGCAGGGAAGTCAGGGAGAAGCAACTGAAGCCCAGAAGACCTCCAACCTCCCAGGTGGGGCAGGCACATATTAAGGGGTAGTTGCGTGACTGGGCCCTTTGTTCCCATGGGAACTGAGAATGAACGGAACTGTGAAACGGTCTGATCGCAGGGATGGGAAAGGGTTTATGTTAATACGAATAGTCGGCCCACAGGTTTTATTCTGGGTGTCCAGAAAAAAAAAAAAAAAAGAACCTTCAATGTTTCTAATGACTGAGGTTCAGAAACGTCCCTTGGAACGTGGAAATGGTGATCTCACGCACCTTCCTGTAGCCCCTGGCCCTAATCACCCTAATCAACCATCAAAAATAATTTATATGTGTGTGTATATATATTATATATATATATAAGCCTCTTTGGAAGAAATTTGACCCAAAGCTAGACTTGTGTCTATTGATTTACTTTAAAATTTAGTTTGGAAGGGAGAGATGGGGAGAGGAACAGAAAAGGGAAGGAGATAAGGAGGCAGGGTGGCTGGGGGAGAGAAAGAGGGAAAGTAAAAGAGGGAGGGAGAGAGATACAGGATCCCATATGGACGCCGGTTCTAATCCCGGCAGCTCCACTTCCCATCCAGCTCCCTGCTTGTGGCCTGGGAGAGCACTTGAGGATAGCCCAAAGCCTTGGGACCCTGCACCTGTGTGGGAGACCCGGAAGAAGTTCCTGGATCCTGGCTTCGGATCGGCATAGCACCGGCCATTGCGCTCACTTGGGGAGTGAATCATTGGATGGAAGATCTTCCTGTCTTTCCTCCTCTCTGTATATCTGACCTTCCAATAAAAGATTTATTGGAAAGATCCACAGGGAGAAGGGAGAGACATACAGAACTGCCATCCTCCGGCTCACTCCCCCAGGTGGCTGCAGCAGCCAGGGCTGGACCAGTTGGAGCCAGGAGCCAGGATCTCCATCTTGGTGTCCTACAGGGGTGGCAGGGACCCCAGTTCTAGGGACACTCACGATCTCCCCAGGACATTAGCAGGAAGCTGGATCAGAATTAGAGCAGCCAGGACTCGAACCTGTTACAGGTGGCAGCTTAAAACACTGAAATTCTATCTTTGAAATACATAAATCTTAAAAAAAAAAAAGATACCCAATAGCTTTATTACTCCTCAGGAGTCCCTTTGTAGTGAACCACTCCCTTCCATGGCAACCTCCAACCAGTCCATTCTCTAAGAAGTTCTCTTTCTCTGGGTAACTCTGCCTTTCAAATAAACAAATAAACCTTAAGAAACAAATGTTTTGGGCCTCGCGCAGTAGCCTAGTGGCTAAAGTCCTCACCTTGCCTGCACCTATATGGGTGCCACTTTTTGTCCTGGCAGCCCCCACTCACCACCCAGCTCCCTGCTTGTGGCCTGGGAATGCAGTTGAGGACGGCCCAAGGCCTTGAGACCCTGTACCCACATGGGAGACCCAAAGGAAGATCCTGGCTCCTAGCTTTCGATTGGCTCAGCTCCAGCCACTGCAGCCACTTGGGGAGTGAACTAGCAGATGAAAGTTCTTTCTCCATCTCTCCCCTCTGTATATCTCAATTTCCAATAAAAATAAATAAATGTTTAAAAAATTCTTTTACCTTCAGTTCTACAGGTTTACATCGTGAAATGATCCCTGACAATGTTTTCCTATTCACTTTTTCAAACACAGAAAAACTGGAAGATATGAAAGTTAACACTTTGCTCCATTTGTTTTACTTCCCTTCCACATGTGAGAGCAGCAGACACCACGAGGCAGTTGTGCACCTGAATGGCCACGGGAGGAATACTAAATACTGCAGAACAAACCAGCCCGCAAAGAGCCGAAACTGCACCCGGGGATCTTATCAATAGGAAAATGTTCTCGGACAAAAATATTTCCCAAACCAATAAAATCTCTTACTGTTGTTTATAAACATGCAAGGAAAAAAAAAAAAAAAAAAACCTCAGTGAAGTGTACAAGTTCTCCAGTCGCTGTAACCTCAGACAGTGGGGGCCTAGCAGCTGCAGTGTGTCTTCGGAAACGCTCACCAGGATGCTTCCTCACCAGCCCTTCCTCCTTTCGAGGGGAGCCCTGCCGTGCGGGGGTCACCTCCCCTGGCCGCGGAGGACTGTCCCTTCTCCGCAAGCCTGGGCTGCTCCCCGATGGTCCAGGGCTGCGTAGTGCCTTCCCATCCACCTACAGGCCCCTCCTCCCGGGCCTGGACCACCTTCTCGCCCTGTGCCCAGGGGCACTGCTGCCCATGCAGAGCCGGAGTGGGTGTCCCCGCCACTGCCTGTCCCTCCTGCGACTCCCTTTGCTTTCTGTTCGGGTTTCACTTCCTGCAATGCTGTTTAGTTACTGTATTACTTTCTCATTGTTACGGCAATTAACCGCCATTCCTCCGCTCCGCAACCCTCCTCTGCCGCGGTTCTGCGAGTCTGCAGTTCATCAGTGACACCCATTTCCCTGTCCTTCTCACGTGCACCCTCACTTTGTCAGGGCCATGGGACTTTGTGGACAGATACCCACGGACCTCGGGGCCCGAGCCCCCTCCCCGTCTCCCACCCACCTTCACCGGCTGGCTGATGAAGATGTTCTGCAGCACCGACAGCATCATCGAAACGACCCAGCTGCTGGCTTGGTCCTTGTTCAAGTCCAAGCTGTAGAGGGCGGTGAAAAAGGCAGCAGCCAGGCCAGCGATGCCCAGGAGGGCCCAGGAGGCGCAGGACAGCCATTGGCGCCGGCCAGCAGCACTGGGGTTCCGCTCAGCTTCCGGGCTCAGCAGGGGGAAGCAGGTCACCTCCCTGCAGGCAGAGGACCAGACAGTAACCCCTGCCCCAGCAGCTGGCAAGAGGCCATGACGCAGAGGGCCCCGTGACACACTCATTACCTGGGCACATCCTGCTCCGCCGGCACTGCCCGGGTGCGCAGGAGGTCCCGGAGTCTGCGCAGTTGGCCGGTCGCCTCCTGGACGTCGCGGGGATGGGGCGCCTGGGACGGGCTCGGCGCGCCCAGACAGGACTCCAGCCTCTCCACCACTCCGAGCAGGTAGCAGCTGAGAAGGCGTTGGTTCTCGGGAGCTGCTGAAAGCAACACGCTTCGGCTTGACATCCCGGTGGGGCATCCGCATGCCGCACCAGTGGCAGAGCTTAGCAGCGTCAAGGCTGTTTTCCCAGCCCTAAGGGAGAGTGGACTCAACTCCGACAGCAGTGCCATCCTTCCTGGGTGTGCCGGCGAGTTGGCAGCAGCTGAAACATTCTGGGCTTTGACCTGCAGACTCTGCAAACCTTACCAGGCATTTTCACCGGAAGCACCGTGCGTGTCGGCTCCGTGCATCTCAGGATGCATGCAATCATGTCGTCTGCCCATCCCATAAAACCCAAAGCCCAACAGCCAGTGTTCTGGGGGTCTGCCAGGGAGGACGCAGCCCTGGGTCTCGGCCACCTGGAACCTGGGAGCCATCAGAGGGGCCGGGTCCGCAGGGAATCCCAACAGGAAGCGGGAGTCTGCCCGCTGGCTCCACCAAGAGGGGACCATGAGTGGGAAAATGAGAGGGGAGCAGGGGAGGGGACGGCAGGGGCCTTACCACTGGCCCTGCGAGGCCCGGCTGGCCGGCAGCTGCCTTGCTCCTTGAGGTGCAAGCACACGAGGCTTGACAGTAACTTCACCAGCTCGCTCACGTCCCGGGTACCCGCTGGGGGGTGTGCACACTCCGGGAGCATGTTCCCCGATCTCCTGAGCAGGAACCCCACTGTCTCCCTCAGCTCCTGAAAGGAGAAGCAACATGAGAATGGCCAGCAAGCCCCACCCCACCCCGCTGGGCCTGGGAGCAGAGCTGGGCTGGGCCTAGCTCCTTTACTCAGAGGGAATTTGGCTGAGTGTCGACAGCCTCCATGTGCCACTTCTGTTCTAATCACATTCGGAAAGCAGCCACCGTCTGGCCGCTTTTATGAGAGTTAACAGAATCAAAGGTGGAGGGACAGCTGGCTCAAACAGCAAGAGCTGGACCCACTCCACTCATATTTAACCCTCACAGCCCTTTGTGACCAGAGGAAAGCAGAGGTCCGGCTGGCCACACACAGACAGGGATGGGGAGGACCTCAGGGGGTCAGAAGCGCCTCCCCAGACCTCCCAGGCATCCCATGCCCTCTCCACTGCCACCTGCACAGCAAGGGAGGTGATACACCCGTACCACCTGCTGCCCAGCTCACCTCAATGACCTCTGTGAGAGAGGGGGGCTCAGCAGGTGCATCTGAGAGGCAGGGGGCCCAGGCTTGGGGGACGGGAGGCAGGGTCTCCTGAGGCTGTGTCAGCGGGAAGAGCCGCCCCACCACCAGGTTGATGGGGAAAAGGATGACGGCCGTCTGGAGGCTGATGCGCAGCTCGGACCAGGTCACAGCCAGCGGGCCCACTGGAAGGAAACCCTCGCTCAGCCTCGGAGGGGACACGGTGAGCAGGTCAGAGGTCCCCCCAGGGGTACGAAGACCAATCAAGGTCAATGTGCATCCCCAGTGGCAGGCCAGGTCACAGGGCAGCCCTCACTGCCTTCCTAGATGGCTAGCCCCCAAACCAGGGCAGGCACGCCCCAAGTCTATGGCCAAACTCGGGTGGGGGGAGAGGAGATGGACCGAAGGCCACAGCCCGCAGCCGTCACCTTCTGCCCAGCCGCGTGGTACCTCTGAACTTGGCGCCTCCCGCCCAGCGTGTAGCGTGTACGTACTTGGCGCCTCCCGCCCAGCCACGGCGGCGTTGGCCTTCCAGAACATGACGTTGATGAGCATGTTGCAAAGCAGCAGCGTCACGCAGCAGCTCAGCCGCTGCACCCGCGTGAACGGGCTCCAGGGGTGCCGGGTGGCCACCGAGAGCCACAGGTAATCCTGGGTAAACTTCTCCACCATCACGGAGGGAAACAGGTGTCTGGGGAGAGAAATCAAAGACACGGTTTCACGCTGCAGGCCTTGCGGGCCGGCAATGGAGCCCGCCGGGTACCGCTCAGCCCCTCTTCTGTGGGGAGGGCGGTTAAAATGCATGAGAATTTAAAATTTCAAGCTACCATTTCAGCTTTACATGAGTTAAGAAGGTTAAAACGTATTTTTTATTTCTTTGCATGGCACGGGCTGGGAGAGGGCGGGACAAGAGAATGAATCAATTGTCCATCCATCGGTTCCCTTCCCAAAATGCTAGTGACTGCTGTGCTTGGGCCACGCTGAAGCCGAGCCCAGTACTCCAACCAGGTCTCCCACGTGAGCAGCGCGGTCACTGCCTCCACCCGGAGCCTCCCCTGGTCAGCCGGGAGCTACGACTGCAACCCAGCCACTCTGAGATTGAGTGTGGGGTCCCCCAAAGACAACTCAGCTGCTGTGCCAGATGCCCCGGACCTTCCCTGCTCCAAACGTGGAGGAATTATAAATGACACATAAACAGAGCAAAAAAGACTCGAGTGGGCTTACAAGCCTTTTGGACGAAGAGAAATGGAGCGAGCACAGCAGGTGGGGCGTGCGGCTGAAGCTGCAGAGAATGGCCGGGCTGCAGGCTCACACGGCTCTCCAGCGTAACGGCAACTAAAGTGTCCCCAGACTGGGGAAGATGAGGACACAGCCGCTTCCACTGCTCACAGTCAGGCTGCAGCTGGAGCTCAGGGAAGGGGAATTCAGCAAAATAAAAACCTGCCTCCGGTTACTCGTTTAAGGGCCATGACAGCCAGGGCTGGGCCAGGCTGACGCCAGTGGCCAGAACTCCACCTGCGTCTCCCTGGTGGGTGCCAGGAACCCAAGCATTGTGGCCACCATTTACTGCCTTCCCAGGCATGCCAACAGGAAGCCGCAGGGGAAGCGCAGCAGCCAGGGCTGAGATGGGCGTTCTCAGGACTGGAGCCAGCACTCCGATAGGGTTACGGCCAGCGGGGGCTTAACATGCTGTGCCACAGCATCAACTGTACAGCTGAGAACACAGCTCCGCTGACTCCCGAGGAGAGCCAGAACATGAAAAAGCATGCACGAATTTCAAATTCCTTTTTGCCCCAAACTTATTATTTCATTGTTTTCCAAAATCTGTTTGAAACACTTATATAAGCAGAAAAAATATTTACTTAAGGATAGTAAGTAAATGTTATCTAAGATAATTAAAAAAACATTATTTTAAATAATCACTTTATAAATTAAATTTGGAACTAAAAAAAATTTGATCAAGAAAAAAAAATAGGCTGTATAGATATGACTAAGCAGAAAAAACAGTGACCTAAACCAATTTAACAGACACGTTCTCTCTGAGGAAACTAAGACATTGATTTACTAGGTAAACATTATATTTTACAAGTGTTGGAAGAGCCAGAGACAGCTGTATCTACAACACTAGAGAAAAACAACCGAGTATGACGCCTCCCCGGATGTAACAGAGGACGGAGGACAGCCTGGGGACCCTGCACCTGTGTGGGAGACCCGGAAGAAGCTCCTGGCTTCTGGTGAGCATGGCTCCGGCCATTGCAGTCACTTGGGGAGTGAACCAGCAGACAGAAGATCTTTCTGTCTGTCCTTCTCTCTGTAAATTTGCCATTGCAATAAAAATAAATAAATCTTAAAAAAAAAATCCCACAGAAATAAAAAGTATCAGATAGGTGTGGGGGAGGGGGCAGGAAAAAGCAAGAGTTGGTTAGTGAGCACAATTTGTTTTGCAAAATGAAATATCTGAAGTGCTGTTGCACAATATACTGAATACTACTGAACTGGTTAGGGTGGCAAATCGTGACGTATGTGTTAAAAGTGCCAGGACTGGGATCGGTGTGATGGCGTAGCAAGTCCATCCTCTGCATGCTGCACTGGCATCCCATAGGAGCAATGGTTCAAGTTCTGGCTGTCCACTTCCCATCCAGCTTCCTGCTAATATCCTAGGAAGGAAGCAGAGGATGGTCTAGGTCCTTGGGCCCCTGCGCTCATGGGGGAGACCTGGAAGAAGCTCCTGGTTTTGGCCTGGTTCAGAGCTGAGTGTTGGGCTCATTTGGAAAGTAAACCAGCAGATGCAAGATCCTCTGTCTCCTGTCCTCTAAAGTTGCTTTTCAAAGAATAAATCTTTAAAAGGAAACATGAGAAAACTAACGCAGCTGTTGATTTCAGGGCAAGATATTAAGCAGCCGTAGCCACTGGAAAAGTTCTTAATAAAAACACTGCTCGACAGTCTCTAAGTCCTGACTCAGGCACACGAGAGGACGACACAACGGGGCATTGGTGGGAAGAAAGTGGCGCACTGAGCGAGGCCCTGGGGGCATCGGTCAGGGGTTTCTAGAAGGACCTGGTGCTTGGCCTTCTCATTCTCACGAGGAAAGAGCCAAGGGCCCGACATGGCTGGGCGGTACACCTACAGCCCCGGTCCCTGTCCCCAGCCTGCCCAGCGGTACCTGAAGGACAGCAGCTCGCCGCGGGACGCTGGAAGGAAGATCCGGTCCAGCTCACAGTCCCCCAAGTCCACGGCCAGCCAGCAGTGGCACAGGAAGTGCCACTTCCTCTGAAGTGTCAGGTCACTGACCACGACCCGGGTCACGTACCTGGAAGGTGACAGAGACTCGCATCAGGGCCGCTGTGTGGGCAGAGTGACCCCATGCTAGTGGATGGTTTTATGGCAAGGCAACGAAGGTGCAGCCAGAGCTGACGCCACCGAGGGAGTGCCTGTCGCCCGTCTGGCATCTGGCTGCTAACTCCAGTCCCTGGGGATGACATCGGAAGTGCCTGCGTGTATTTCACAGTTGTTGTCTTGGCTGTGTACTTGACAAAGCCTTGCCCCGTGTGTCTCTAGCTTGTGTCATCAGAGGTGCAAACTGGGGTGCAGGGCGCGGCTTCAATGACCCGTGGCTTCCTGCCTGGCCGGGGGCAGTGGCCTCTTGATCTCACAGACTCCAGACGTGGTGTGGCGCATCCGATCCTCTGCCACCTTCTCCCTGAGCTCCAGCCACCTGCACACGTGCCCTCCGGCGCCTGACCCTGCAGCTCACGAGACTTCCAGTGACCTCTAACTCTTGATGCAACTTTTCCTACCACAAACCCACTGACATGACGGACCCGAATCGTGGTTAGACATCAGAAGAGACTTCACTTGCAAGGAGAGAACCAAAGACTCCCCTCCAAGGGCAGACAGTCCAGAGGACCCTGATTGAGGTGGCTAACTGGTTCAAGCCAGCTGGTGCACTGCATCATGCTAGAGTCCTGCAGGAGCAAAGCGCAGGGCCCGGCATGAAGGCTCAGTGGCTAAATCCTCGCCTTGCACGTCGCAGGATCCCAGAACCAGGGTGCTGGTTCTAGTTCCAGCTGCTCCACTTCCCATCCAGCTCCCTGCTTGGGGCCTGGGAAAGCAGTTGAGGATGGCCCAAAGCCTTGGGACCCTGCACCCATTTGGGAAACCCAGAAGAAGCTCCTGGCTCTGGATCAGCTCAGCTCTGGCCGTTGCAGCCATTTGGGGAGTGAATCAGTGGAGGGAAAATCTTTGTCTCTCCTTCTCCTTCTCCCTATGACTCTACCTTTCCAATAAAAGTAAATTAATCTTTAAAAAAAAAGAGTAAAGTGTAATAAAAGTAGAAAAACTAAACGAGGAGGAAGACCATTTTGATTGGCAAACAACCAGGCATGGACTTGCCATGTTTCCGGTTAGACACGGAAGAGGCACTCAGCGCCCTCTACAGGAGTGCCTGGGAGGCAGAACGACAGCCTTGCAGAACCCAGTGATGGGCCATCCTGTCACAGCAGGAAACTGAAGTCAGGAGCCACTCACTGGTATGGTGTGGATACAGGAAGCAGGTGTCTTAACCACTAGGCCACACGCCTATCCCTGCCAACGGCCTTCCCCAAGCTGCTGGGATGACGCTTTGGTCTCACTCTGAGATACCAACGTCTACGAGGGATGAACCACCAGGGGGCAGAGATGGGCACTCACCAAGCAGGGCTGGCGCCGGAATTGTCGTGCCAGAGCCGCAGGCTGTGCAGCTCCCCTAGAGGCCTCCGGGTGGCAAGCAGGAAGACGTCCAGGGCCCCTCGTTCAAACGCAGGCTTGTGGGGATCCGCCAGGTGGTGGGGCTCACTCCGTCCCTCGGAGCCATACAGGGTGAGGACCACCTTGGGATGGAAATACAGGACTGATTAAGTTGACTCTGAGTCAGCCCTGAAGAATAAAGATGAAGACTTAGAGGAAGCCCTTGACATCCGAGACTGTGAGCTGCTCTATAGAACCTAGAATTAGGGAGGATTGACTCTGACAAACCTGGTGAATTACTAGGGCACCCCGCGCTGCCACCCAGCCCGGGTGCATCTGACACAGTGGAAGACTCGGGTGACACACAGGCAACACGCGTGCCACTAACCTTTGCCGTCGTAGCAGCCCTTCTGCGATAGCCCGTGTAGACTTGGATCAAGTAGTGGAAGCGCCCGCCAGGGTCACTGTCGGCCAACACGGTGACCTTCACCTGCAGGAAAAGCAGAACTGGCCATTTCCCGGGTCTCAGTCCAGCTGTGGGGTACAGGAGTCTGTGCTCCCAGGTGCTGCTGCCGGGAGCCCACGGAGCAGCACAGAGAAGCGGGGAGCCCCGGAGTGACCGGCTTGGTGGCTGCAGTCTTGGGTGCTAAATGCTTCCCCCTCCCCGGGTAATACAGGTGGCCTGGCTGGAGTTTCTGATGGACAGCAGATAATCTGGGGCGGCCTTGGACTAAAGACGCATTGGCCATTTGCCCAGAGTGCAAACTTCACAGAGACTGGCAGCCCTCAGTCCAGGGCTCCAGAGAAACGGGCACTTGGTGTTTTCCAGAATTTCCGACAGGCAACTTAAACACACATTACAAGCATCGAGAAATGTCATCAAAGGAATTCTGTGGCTGAACTGTTCCTTAGAGGGCTCCAGTGTATTGCTGCTTACACGGAACAATTTGAATTGTCTGATGTGTGAAGTGACAAACACTTGCACTGGATTTGCGAGCTGCACTCCCTAACTGTGCTCTGTTGGGTCATCCCCAGGCTACGTGAGCCTCATGGAGGTCCTGGCTAAAATTAAAAAATAGAAACCAAGATTTACGTTCTTGGGTCTTCAGAGAGAAGATACAAAGAGAGCTTTAAGAGATATCCTAGGCACTGGTGCAGAGGCACACAGCTGGGTAAGCCACCACCTGCACTGCCAGCAGCCCATACGGGCGCTGGTCGGAGTCCTGGCTGCTCCACTTTTGATCTGCTACTGTATCAGGGAAAGTACTGGGCCTCCACACCCACGAGAGACCCAGGGAAAGCGCCTGGCTCCTGGCTGCAGGATGACCCAGCACCAGCCATGGCAGCCATCTGGACAGTGAATCAGTGGATGGAAGATCCCTCTAATATTGCCTTTCAAATGACAAACAATTTTAAAGGACTATCTTGCCACATTTCTGTTCCCTGGGGTGATGCTGTCTGCTGGCATCTTAGGTAACACACTCCGCCCCCGTGGCAAAGGCTCTGGGAGCCCAGCGCCAGCACCTTCCGTGCGTCCGCTCGGTCCTCTCTCCAAGCCCACAGAGCCAGGGTCGCGTAGAAGGCCAGCACACCGGCCAGCAGCGACACCCCGACAGGGTTGCTGCTCACGCGCAGGAACAGCTGGACGGTGTCTTGGACGTTCACCGTCCTGGGCAGGATGAAGAAGTCACTGCCGAAGAAGGTCAGGTGGTTACAGAGGCACTGCGTCCTGCGAACGGTGCTCCGCGGCCCGACCTGCAATCAGATCCGGGACGTCACAGCTGGGCAGTGCCACACGGGGGACAGGCATGCGGCAAACAGGCTGCCCAGCGGCTGGTGGCTGTGACCACTGGGTTAGCCAATGACAAGAGCAACCGGATAATGCTCAGCAAAGTTGCAGCAGCCGCCTCTGCCTCCTGCGATTCCGGCTCTACGTTAACACGCACACGCGTGGAGGGGTGTGTGAGGAAGACCGTTTCGTCAGTCATGTCTGTCCCAACGGGAGACAACCTGGGCCCGGCCTGCTAGCCTAGTGGCTAAAGTCCTAGCCTTGCATGTGCCAAATGGTTGCTGGTTCTAATCCTTAGAAGGCCTTGTTTCCCATCCAGCTCCCTGCCTGTGGTCTGGGAGAGCAGCAGAGGACGGCCCAAAGCCTTGGGACCCTGCACCCGTGTGGGAGACCCAGAGAAAGCTCCTGGCTCCTGACTTCAGATCAGCTCAACTCTGGTTGTTGTGGTTCTTGGGGAGAGAACCAGCAGACAGAAGATCTTTCTGTCTCTCCTTCCTCCCCCCCCCCAAAAAAAATCTGCATTTTCTTTTTTTTTTTTTTTAAGATTTATTTTTATTATTTTTTTCATTGGAAAGGCGGATATACAGAGAGGAGAGACAGAGAGGAAGATCTTCCGTCCGATGATTCACTCCCCAAGTGAGCACAACGGCCAATGCTATGCCGATCCGAAGCCAGGAGCCTCTTCCGGGTCTCCCACGTGGGTGCAGGGTCCCAAAGCTTTGGGCTGTCCTCGACTGCTTTCCCAGGCCACAGGCAGGGAGCTGGAAGGGAAGAGGGTCTGCCGGGATTAGAACCGGCGCCCATATGGGATCCCGGGTGTGCAAGGCCTTAACCACTTGCACCACCACGCCGGGCCCAAAAATCTGCATTTTCAATAAAAACAAATCTTTTTAAAAGAATGTCAGTGGGAGAGCAGGCACGATGTCAGGCTGCTGGTTCCTGGGAGGACCTTGGTTCAGTTCCTATCTCCGGGCCCCAACTCCATGTTCCTGATGGGCCCCTCTGCGAGGCAGCGCTCAGCCCCTCACACCGGCCCACGGACCTGGGCTGCTTTCTTGGCTCCCGCCTTCTTTGGTGCTGGCCGAACCCTGGCCCCCGGGGGAGTCCGTGGAATTCACTGGCAGATGGAGGCTGGCACTTAATAAATCTCAGTGAATAAACGAAAGCCACCAATTCTGTGGTTTTGTGGAAAAGTGGTGCAAGATACCGTCATTATGACGATTCCTTTCGTAGGCACCAGGTTAACCCGTGGGCGCCCAGTTCAGGGGGGGATACTTCAACAAGGGGGAGAGGGAGAGTGTCAGAGAGCTGCCATGCACTGCCTCACTCCCCAGACGGCCGGGCCAGGCTGACGCCAGGAGCTTCCTCCACGTCTCCCACGTGGAGTACAGGAACCCAAGTGGAGCTGGGACAGTAGTGGAGCAACTGGGACTCAAACCAGGACCCACAGGGGCTGTGTGGGTTGCAGGTGCTGGCTTAGCCCTCTACGCCATAATGCTGGTCCCCTCGTTTTACTGAGTGCTTGCAGACATTAAGCTTCCATGCCGGCTTGCTCACCGCACCTACAACTACCACGTTCGCCCTTGCAAAGCCACGGCGCACGCCGGCGCCCCCTGCAGCACGACCCTCGCAATGCGGCTCTTTCCCCCTTTCCCCGGCTGAGCCTCTGGGCTGCCCCCTGGGGGACGGCAGGGGTATTGCGTTTAGCAGCCCTTCAGCCCAGCCCCTTACCTGGCACCCGCTGCTCTTCCACGCCCTCTCGTGGCTGTTCCAGAAGTAACACTGGGTGACGGCTGTCACCACGGAGACCAGGGTGCCCTGTGTGTCCCCCTCCAACACGGCGGTTATGTAGTAGGTGCCTGTCCCGTACTGCAGGCTCTCGGGGGTCAGCACCCAAGTGTACTCCTCATCTGGGGACAACAAAGAGGGTTTGCCTGGAGTCCTCCCGGTGCAGTATTCCTGTTCCTAGTTTGCTTTTCATGGTTAGAATTTGGATCGTACTTTTCTCACTGAACAACACTGCACATTTTCCCCCTTTCATTCGCAAGGCCGTGTTTGGACTGCTTCATGTTGATGCACTGTTTTAATTTTTTAAAATGCAAGATGAGAAGGCTGACATGGCAGTGCGGCAGGATAAGCCACCTACAATGCTGAATCTCAACGTGCCTGGGAAAGCAGCAGCAGATGGCCCAGGTGCTGGGGCCCCTGCGCCCATGTGAGAGATGAGGCTGCGAGTCCTGGCTCACCCGGCTGTCACGGCCATCGGGGGACTGAACCGTTGGATGGAAGATCTCTCTCTCTCGCTCTCTGTAACTCTGCCTTTCAAGTAAATAAACCTGAAAGCACAAATGAAAGATTTCGCTTCCCCCATAAAAGGAAATGTGAAGAATTCTTTTTATTTTTAAATCATGTTTATTTTAGAGCAGAGTTACAAAGAGGGAAGGAGAGACAGAGAGCTTTCATCCTCTGGTTCATTCCCCAAATTGCTACAATGACCAGGGCTGGGCCAGGCTGAAGCCAGGAGCCTGGAGTTCCGTCTGGTCTCCCCAGTGGGCACAGGGGCCCGAGCACTGGGGTTACCTGCCGCTTCCCCAGGTGCTTTAGCAGCACGCTGGACTGGAAGCAAAGAAGTCAGGACTTGAACCAGCGCCGCAAGGGGCCATGGTGTTGGCTCCAGAATCGTTCTTTTGATAAACGAACATTTATCAAGCTAAATGAAAATGGCGCCCCCACGCACGTCCACACGGATGTCCAGCATCTGGCTGGGGCTTTACCTTCCTGCCACACCTGGTCCCTGGGCAGGGTGATGTTGTGGGGGGAGTTGGTGGGCTCGGGCGGCTGCTGGAAGCCCAGGTGGAGCGACACGGAGAGGGGCGCCTCGGGCTGCAGGCTCACGAGCAGGGTCTTGTCCGTGGAGGTGACGTTCAGCGCGATCACGAAGCGGCTGCTGCTGAGGTTGAGGCTGGTGGGGTGGGTTTCCAGGCTGCTGTTTCTCCAGAGCATGATCTAGGTAGGGCAAGACAAGGTGCGGGGAACCAGGGGTTCATCAGCGATGGCTTCCTGCCACGTCGGAGGGAGAAGTCAGGACGCTTCCCAAGCCTTCCTGTTGTTCATCAATTTATTTTTATTGGAAACACAGGTTTTTACATAAAGAGGGACAGAAAGAGGTCTTCCATCTGTTGGTTCACTCCTCCAATGCCCACAAAGACCAGAGCTGAGCTCCAAAGGCAGGGGCTTCATCTGGGTCTCTAATACAGGTGCAGGGTCCCAAGGCTTTGGGCCATCCTCTGCTGCTTTCCCAGGCCACAAGCAGGGAGCTGGATGGGAAGTGGAGCAGCTGGACACAACCCAGCACCCATGTGGGATCCTGGCACTAGCAGACAGAGGGTTAGCGTGCTCTGCCACCATGTGGGCCTGAGGTCTTCCTGTTTGAATATCAGCAGGTAACAGTGTCAGGGATTAGCTGCGATGTGAGTTACATTAAGTCTCAGACCGAGAACACCTTTTGGAAAGGGTAAAGGCTTATCTCTATGTAAGTTCTTCGTTAACAACATTAATGGGAACACGATGGCACCGCCATGAACCCATCAGCTCGCTTTCCAGACCATCCTGTTCTCTAGGATTCAGTTCGTACCTCAATGTCTTCCATCAAGCCATGGACATGGAGTAATTTATGATCAGAGCTTAGCAACACTGTTCCCACGCTCCCAACGATGTTCTTGTCATCTAAATCCTCGAAGGGATTGAACGCCAGACCTGTGACCTGAGACAGGGACAAGCCCAGTTCCATCCGTCACTACACATTAGATATGACCCCAATAGACAGCAAGGTAGCAGGGGTCAGAATTTAAAACAGATTTTCCTGAACGTCTCAGATGAAGCATTTTGCATGATAACATAAATGAGCAACGGTTACAGGCGTATGTTAGAACCCTCAGAATTATTTAACAGGTTTCTACTACTGTTTTGCTAGCAACTAACTCTTCAGCATTAGACAACAAAACTCCCTATCTTGTAGGTAACTGCTGAAAGCACTGCAAGCAGCTGGTGTGCTCTCCGAGTCAAGCAGGCAGTCCCAGCTTTGCGTAAACTCAAGTTGCAGTGCAGACACCGTCAAGTCCAGAAAGATTTAACACTCTGAGCTCCACACCGGGTCTTTCCAGAAGATCCTACCCCCTCCCCCTTGGTCTGGTCAAATCAGTTGACGGACACATGCCCTCACCTGGACGTCCACGCCTGGGTGCCTCTCCAGGAGCTCCTCCAGAGCCGCGGCCGAGGGAAAGCCCAGCCTCACCGGTGCCGGGCCGCCCAGAGCGAAGGAGCTCAGAGGCAACGTGGACGCGTTGTGGCTGCGGACACGGGGGGAGTGCGGGAGTGGAATGGCAGGCTCCTCTGAAGACCAAAGCCTAAGGTGCAGCCCTCGCCCTTCCCCTTCACCTGCTCAGCATCACAGCAGCAGAGGAGGTGGTCAAGGTGACAGCAGACCCGGACACCTGGTTCTGCTGGACAAATGCTTGCTGGAGCTTCCCAAGAGCCATCAGGGCCATCTCCAGGACGTCCTCCACCTGCACGGGATGTGGACAAGTGCAGTATTATGCTGCCAGGTCCCTGTCATCCAGATGAGAGCTGGCATAAGCTTTTGGTTCCGGGCCAGTCAGCTGTCTCAGGTCAGCTTTGGTGAGAGCGCAGGGAGAGAACTGGCAGGCAGGAGCTCTGTCTACCCTTACACGCTGTTTAAAAAAAAATCTCTTGTGGAAAAAATTTTCTGCACAGAGTTGGCAACCTGCAGACCCTGTACGCACCAGCTGTCCATGTCCTTGCCAACTTCCTTCTCCGGCTTCCCTCATTTCCTGCTGAAATGGACAGGAGGTCGCAGGCATCGAGACAGCCAGACTGCTGTTCTGGAAGGGGTCTGGGTCCTCCAGCAACTGCTCATGCAGATCAATCAGTGCATGGATAATCCTGGCCTGGGGACATCACAAGGCAGACACCTGAGGGCGCGTCAGAGTGGGAGGCGGTGCCCGGAGCAGGGGTTATGAGATCAGAGTGCCTGGACTTCAGTTCCAGCTTTCTGCTAGGGCGCAGGCGGAGGCACTAATTCCTGGGTCTCCGACACCCACGAGGGAGTCCTGGCCCGACTCTGGGTGAACCAGCGGCACCAGGAAGCGACTGAGGGGAGGCACAGGACGCTCAGCCTCCCTGGCAACCAATGGAATGTCCTTTCCCTGCTTGTGACCTTGACTTTGGAACGGGCAAAGGTGTGAGTGGAGAGGGATGGATGTTGGGCGATTTGGCCTGCCTCCTGCAGGCACAATGGCCCGTCCCTTCTACCTCCAGCACTGTATCCCCAGGAAATCCTTGCAAAGACAGGCACAGGGATGCTCAGGGCTATGCTGGCTGCAAGAGCAGACGAGTGGAAAATATCCAGGGAATGTAACGCTATGTTCACTTAGGTGTGCTGGCATAAAAACGTGCCTGTGACCTGGTCTCCGCTTCCTTCCCCCAGATGCCTGTAAGGGCCAGGACGGGCCAGAGGCAGAGCTGGAAGCTGGGAACTCAGGCAGGTTCCCACATGGAGGGCAGGAACTCACCCACTTGTGACATGTGGAGAGGAGCTGGGGGTGCACATCCCATGCTGTACCCCCATGCCTGCCCGGTCTCCTCTTCTCACGGGGCCACAGGATCCCACACAGGGGCCTCTCTCAACTTCTCCAGTCACCTCTCAGACCCAGCACCTCTAAATGCTTTGGCAGAGTTAGGAACCTGCCGTCTGAACACCTCCCAACATGGGCATCTGAGGCACCAGCCACATCACTCCCCCCACCCCCCGGCTTACCTGCGCGGGCTGAGAGACCCTGGAGCCCAAGGTCCTCAGCCCCTGGAGCACCTGACAGGCTTCCTGCAGTTCCCTGGGACCTGGCACACCCTGCGCGGCTCTGCTCACATTCCGTGCCATCTCGCTTGTGATCTGCCGGGAACCAAGGGCACCTGTCGGGCTTTCTCGCAAGTCACCATTGCCGTCTGAGACGCCGGCTGAGCCAGAGGCGGCCTGGGACAACAGCAGGGAGCTCGGTGAGCCACAAGGCTCTCGGGACAGGGACAGCTGCAGCTCTCGGGAGCTTCGCGCCAGGGCGCAGAGCCTCCGGCACCTGCTCTGTCCAGCGGACGCAGTAAATGACGAGGTTAAGCAGCGACTGACATAATGACCAAGAGATTCAGGAAATGAGATTTTCAGGATGAGGGAAACGTGGAAGGCAGAACAGCAAAGCCTGATCTCAGTGGTAAAACGTGCTCTCTGTCCCCGATTCTGTTCTACCACGTCTGTTGTCCTTAAGGACTTCAGAGGCAGGTAGCTGAGCTACCACAAGGAGCAAGCCGACAACTCCCTCTGCAGGAAACAGTCTGAGCAAAGTGGACCGGGGCAGGGGCTGGAAGGGCTGCTGGATGCCAACTCCCACGCTGGCCGACAGCTGCCCACCCAAAGCCTGCTCAGTCACATGCTCATGGGGTCCTGGCTAGATACCTACTGTGCCTGCTGGGTGATGTGCTGGACCACTCAGACCAGCGGGCTTATTCCTGACTCAGAGGGCTTGTAGGAGACCGAGGCCCACACAGTTTGAATTTTTCATGTTCGGGATGAGGTGTTCCTGAGCAAGGATGAAGACCCGGGGGAGACAGACTTGTCACTAACCACCGGACGACCAGAGAACACATCTTCATCATGCCAGAAGGGTCCCAAAGGTGGGGACGTCATGGTCAGTGTTTTAGAGCAGCCCTGTCGGTGGGCCAGAGTCTTTTTTTTTGAGGGGTGGGAGGATAGGGGAGGGGAAAGGACCAGTACGATGGCTCAATTGGCTAATCATCTGCCTGTGGGCACTGGCATCCCATATGGATGTGTTTGTATCTGCGCTGCTGTTTCCCATCCAGCTCCCTGTTTATGATCTGGGAGGACAGCCCTAAACCTTGGGACCCTGCCCTGTGTGGGAGACCCAAAAGAGGCTCCTGGCTCCTGGCTTTAGATTGGCTTAGCTGCAGCTATTGTGGCCATTTGGGGCTTGAACCAGTATATGGAAGACCTTTTTCTGTCTCTTCTTTCTGTAAACTGCCTGCTTAATATCAGATTTGCCTTTTACTGAAAAGAAACATTTATAGAAAGAGGGAGAAACAGATTTTTCACCTGCTAGTTCACTCCCCAAATGGCCACAACGACAGAAACTGCGCTGGTCTTAAGCCAAGAGTTTCTTCTGGATCTTCCACATTGGTGCAGGGGCTCAAGAACTCAGCCATGCTCCTCTGCCTTCCCTAGTCCACTAACAGGGAGCTGCTTTGCAAGTGGGGTAGTTGCAATTCGAACCAGTGCCTGTAGGGGATGCCAGTGTCACGGGCATAGGACAGTCCTGCCACTCCGTGGTGCTGGCCCCACCATTTATTTCCTCTTTCGTATTTCATCTTTAAGCAGTCTTGTTTGAAAAGTGGGTAAGGGAGTGAACAGGCATTTTTTTCAAAGGAACGAATTCAAATGGCTGATAGACATTTTAAAAAATGCTTAGGCTCCCTGGCTATTAAGAAAGTGCAAATAAAAGCCACATTGATGTTCCACCTAACACCAATGAGAATGGGCACATTCCAGGAAATAGGGGAGGACAGAACAACAGCAGAGGGGCACCTGGAGACTGACAGACACGGGAAAGCAGCAGACACAACGCTGTGGTGTTGCAGTCCCATACAGGTGCCAATTCGTGTCCAGCTGCTCCTCTTCCCATCCAGCTCCCTGCCTGTGGCCTGGGAAAGCAGCAGAGGACGGCCCAAAGCCTTGGGACTCTGTACCTGCGTGGGAGACCCGGAGGAAGCCCCTGGCTTTTGATCAGCTCAGCTGCAGCTGTTGTAGCCACTTGGAGAGTGAACTAATAAATGGAAGATCTTTCTCTATGAATCTGACTTTCCAAAAAAAATTCTTTAGACAAAACAAGCCTTTTCTCAGCAGGAGGCCAGTGGTGAAGATGCCCGTTTCGTACCCAGAGTGCCCACGGTCAGTGTCCAGCACTGGCTCCTGCTGCCAGCTTCCTGCTAATGCAGACCACAGGAGGCAGCGGTGATGGCTCAGGTAGGAGACCCGAACCACACTCCTGGCTCTCAGCTTCTGTCTGGCCCAAGCCTGACCATGGACCAACAGATGGGCTGCTCTCCGTAGAGCTGCTTGTCTCCAATTCCCAAGTGAAAAAATTATAGCATTAACTTGTAAGTCTTGAAATACTGAAATGTGAAGTGGCTGGCATTGCTGTACAATGGTTTATTATTTTTTTAAAAAAGATTCTTTTGAATGATCCAGTTACAGGAGAAGGAGAGGTTGAGATACAGAATGATCAATCTCCCCTCCTCTGGGTCAATCCTCTAATGGCTGTAGCAGCTGGGCCAAGCTGAAGCCAGGAGTGTGGAACTCCATCCAGACTTCCCATGTGAGTGGCAGGCCCAAGCAGATGGCTCTTTTCCCAGGTGCATTAGCAGGTAACTGCACTGGAAGTGGAGCAGCCAGAACTAACTGGCATAGGTGTCCCAGGTGGTAGCCTCACTCACTGCACCATGAGCTAGCATCCCTTGGTGGACTGCAAGCTGGTATCCCAGCTCCTATTCAGATCCAGCTCCCTGCCAGTGCACCTGGGAAGGCAGAAGAGATCTGAATGCTTGGGCCCCTGCCATCCCATGTGAGTGCCCAGCAAGGGGTTCCTGGCTGCTGGCTTCTGCCTGGCGCAGTTCCAACCACTGTGGCCATTTGGGAAGCAGATGGAAAACCTCAGCATGTCTGTTGGTCTAACTCTGCATTACAAGCAACCAATCTTCATGTAACAAGATACTGAAATGGGCATGAGATCTGCTGTGGAATATTTTCAGGGAGTTGAGTTTGCTTTTCACTAGGAGAACTGATCATCTATCAGACCTGGTTAGGGACAGGAGCAAGCCGGGCTGCTGGCCATCACTGTCCTGGAGAAACCGCCCTGACCCGGGGACAGGACAAGGTAGCCTGCACAGCGCACACAACTTCCCCACCACGACTTCCAGTTCCTCGTTTACCTGGTCAGCAGTGCTAGGACGCGAAGGTTGCCCAGCATCCTTGAAGACTGTTGAGTATGAGGGGGTCTTCGGCCTCGGAGGCCTTCGTGCTGTAGATCGCCCAGTATGTGCTATCGCCCCGGAGCTGGGGCGAGGTGTCGTGGAGGTGCCCGCCGTCACCTGTGGCCTGATTTCCGTGAGAAGGGACGGGCTGACCGGCTGGCACAGGATCTCGAGATAAAAGGTTCAAGTATGAGAAAAGCTAAAAATGACTTGGTCAGCCAATAACTAACCAACCCAAGTTTCCAACACCACTCCAAAACTCCTGGTCCTCTGGCATGTGAACGGGTAACCTCTCTCGGAGGCAGCTGGTGGCTCTAGCTCTTTGAGATACAGTGGCCTGGAGCAGGTTTACTGTCAAGTTGTCCTAAGACAGCAAACTGCCCTCGCCATTTCTGGAGAACCAGAGAGTACAGCAGCAAACAAGGGAAGGCAAGTTCCTCCTGGGACAGACTGATCAACTAAGCCAGGGCCTGAGTAAGCGCCCTGGGGGAAGCTGTCTGGGCACTCGGAAAACAAGTGGTTGGGAGACACTGGCCAGGCTCCTAGTGTGAGAGAGAGCTGAATAAAGGCAGAGAAAACTGCCAGTAAGTCGAGATGGGCACAGCAGGGTGGCAAAGGAGACTGAGTAAGCTGGGGTGGTAGGGCAGGGGCGGGGTTAGGGGTAAGGGTTGTGTCTCAGGTCAGGCCCGTGGGGGAGTGCAGGGAGCAGATGGAGGGAGCCTGGGGGCTGGACCTGAGCTGCCTGCTGCTGTGAAGGATGTGTCTGCTACCAGCTTGCACGCACAGGGAGCAAGCAGATGAGCAGGATGATCCTATAGGAGTCCCAGGAGTAGGGACAGGACACAGACGCTGCAGTGGGGGGCTGGACAGGCTGAGCCTGGAGGGATGGAAGGGGAGGAGATTAGCTTGGGCCTTAAGACAGCCTCTGAGTGAAGTGTTCTGCCAGCAAAACCCTCTGCTTTCTTCTTTTCTGGGCCCATTTCAGGGGTCCAGCTTAGAGAACCTTCATCCTGCTGCCTCTCACACGGGCTGAGCATGCTGGTCGCAAGGGAACATGCTCGCGCAGTTCCAGATGCCCACCAAGAGGCTCGTGTGCGGGACGCAAGGCCAAGAACACGGACAAGTTTAACATGTTATGCACACTGTTTCTACCTCGAGGCTTCTTCCCTTTCTAGGTTTTATTATACCATATTTTCATTAGGTGCTGAGTCATTTTCAAGCAGAGAGCAGCCAACCAACAGACACAAACACCAACAATGGGTGTTCACACATCTTTCTTGAAAGCCAAGGGATGGACAGGGTCCTTGGGATGAAGCACTGGGTGGGGTACCTGTTTCCTCATCGGAGGGCCTGCAGTGAAGTCTGGGCTACAAACCTAATTCCAGCTGGCTGGGGAGGGAGGGGGATGGCACAGACGGCCAGGTCCCTGCCCTTCCCACGGGAGGCTCAGACTGAGTTCTGACCCAGGACCAGGAAAGGCTGGTATCTGGAGAACACAACAGTGGGTAGGGGCCTTGCCTCCCAAAGGAATGAAAATACATAATGAAGCACCTGTTCAGTCCGATTCTTTTCTACGTTCAAGTAGTTTCCTAATTAGAACACTGTACCAGAGCCATCCGCAAGACAGAGTTCGGGGGTGACCCACGGGAGTAACAGTAATGCCTGGTGTGAGAGTAAGAAGTTACCTGAGAGGAAGTGGACGGTTGGCCTGCAGGTGCAGGGCGAGTCACTGCAAGAGAGAGAAAAACAGACGAAGTTCAATTGAAAGTGTCACACAGAAATGTGTATTTCTGTCTTATGTGAGGATATCTTATTCTTGGCTCCAAATCAAACGTGTTTTCACACAAGCGACCGCAACAACAAGCTGTTGCTGCCCAGGGAGAGGAGGGGACGGGGTTCTGACACATGCCTGTCATTCATCCTCACACCTGTCTGCCAAGGCAGATGTTACCAAGGGCAGAAGACAGAGATGGAAGAGCTGGTTTTGCCTCCAACTCGGAGGACTTGAACCAATGACAACCTACCTAGTTTGAAAAATGGGTCTATTTATCCCCAAGGACATACAAAGTAGACAGACACTTAGAGGCACCGACTCCCTCTGCGTGTGCCCTCCAAGAGGCACAGCAGGCGCTTCTCCCAGCAGGCTGTCCGCCTGTCGCCCGTCCTGCCCCTCTGGTGTGCAGCCATTTGCTGCTCAACTTCCCTTCCCTGAGCGTCACCAGCAAATGCTCTCGGGTCTGGCCCTAGAATGTGGGCAGCTGCTTATGCCACGCTGCTGCAGGGAGCATGGGAACCCGCGTGGGGACCCAGGCCTTGCCATCTGTCACGACTAAAGACACCCTTCACATTCAGAGATTCCCCACTCTCCAGGGCTGTGGCCTGACACTTTCCAAAGAGTTCTCGAGGGTTGTATGCCAAGAGCTTGCTGGCCAGGATGGACGACACTCATAGCAGTGAGGGTGGCCCTTGGCATTGACCAGCAGATCCACTTCCAAGGTCTGTCAGGGCATTTCCTGATCAACTCTGACTTTCCTTGAAGTCATTCCAGGCTAACGCCTTTTCCCCAGTTAGTGCAGGGTGGGAGAAGGAGGGATCAGGGAGAGAGAGAGAGAGAAAGGGAGGAAGAGAAGGTTAGAGAACCTTCTCCTTCTGGACTGAAAAATTTTGTTGAGAATTATCTTTTCTTTAATGGGCATATATGCAAAGAAGACGATTAAGGACATTTCGAGAAAAACAAAAGCAAAGGCCAAAGATCAGCCACAAGGGAAGGCGGGCAGCGCTCCGGCAGGTGCATGTCCAGGTACCGCATTCCAGCATCGTTCTCGCCTGTGCACCTGTCAGACAGGGGCTGGTGTCTGACACCGAGGTGGCGAGAGGAGTGGCAGATCACCTGAGTCTTGTCCTTGTCCTCTCTTAACTTCTTTCTCTGTTTTCCTGGAACTTGAGTTATTTTCATTCCCTTGATTGTCATCTTCACCTACAAAGGAATGTGTTTGGAGGTCAAAGCAGAAGTTAACTTAGAGGTCACAGGTCTAACTGGCAGCTTTACAAAATATTCACAAAGACAGAAAGTTGACTACCAGTTTTTAAATGGCAGCAGCAACAGGAAGTGATTGCAAACAGATGTAGGACATACTGGAGAGGGGAGCCAGCATCGTGGCACAGCTGGCTAAGCTCCTGCCTGTAGTCACATCACCTTATGCCAGACAGCAGCTCGGGGGAGAGCTACCTCATGGGTCAGCGTTGTCGGGCACTCGTGCTGCCCTGGAGAAACGACCCACGAGGCAGGACATTCTCCTGGGAGTCCTGCTGGAGCTCAGGGGCTGGGCGTGCCCTTGCGCATGTACCCTTGTTGGCCCTGTGTCCGATTTTCTCACTCGTGCCGTGGGAGGTCGCAGCCATGTTGGCTCCATCCCTATCCAGGATCAGAACCACCAACTTCCTGTGGCTCCCTGTAGTATGCTCCCTTCCTGTAGTATGCTCCCTTCCTGTAGTATGCTCCCTGGTGCACCGCTGCTCCTTTCAACTCAACTCTCCCATTCTTCCGTGTGGCTCTCCTGTCTACTAAACATCCAGAATCTTCACGTTCCGGTCAAGCGGTGACCTTGCTCTCCAACCCATGGAGACGCGGACAGCATTTGGAGCCCTTCCGGCTTCTGTTGCCAAACAGCCCCTTCGCAGCATCTGCCTGCTCCTAGAGATGGTGCACCTGCTCTCCCACCCCTGCAGATCCCCACGGTCCTACCCACACGTGCCCAGCTGGTCTGTGCAGAGCTCAGATCAGCTGCATCGTCCCAGCGTCACTAGTGTTCCTAAGAAAGAAAATCCCACACAGCTTAATACGAGCTTGATCCTGGGCAAGAGGCCCAGGGGCCTGGGCTGTCCTTCCTGTTATCCCAGGCCATCAGGGAGCTGGAGCGGAAGTGCAACAGCTGGGATCTGAACCACTAAGCCACAAACGCTGACCCCGGATCGCTCCACATTTTGATTTACGCTTGTATTCTTGTTTTAGTCTGCCTTATGCTGCTATATCAGATTAGTACAGGTGGGGTAATGGGGAGAACAAATATCTACTTCTCACATCTGGAGGTTGGAAGCCCAAAATCAAAATCAAGGTTGAGGGCAGAGGGTGGGCTTGGTTCAATTGGTTAATCCTCTTCCTTCACATACTGGGATCCCATATGGGCACCAGTTCATGTCCTGGCTATTCCACTTCCCTTCCAGCTCCCTGCTTGTGGCTTGGCAGTAGAGAATGGCCCAAAGCCTCAGGACCGCGCATCCATGGGGGAGACCCAGAAGCAGCTCCTGGCTCTAGACTGGCTCAGCTCTGGCCAATGTGGCCACTTGAGCAGTCAACCAGCAGATGGAAGTTCTTTCAGTGTCTCTTCTCTTCTGTAAGTCTGCCTTTCTGAGAAAAGTAAACAAAATCTTTTTAAAAATGGGAATATGGGGCCCAGTACCATGGCCTAGTGGCTAAAGTCCTCGCCTTGAATGTGCTGGGATTCCATATGGGTGCTGGTTCTAGTCCTGGCAGCTCCGCTTCCCATCCAGCTCCCTACTTGTGGCCTGGGAAAGCAGTCGAGGATGGCCCAAGGCTTTGGGATCCTGCACCCTTGTGGTGGGAGACCTGGAGGGAGTTCCTGGCTCCTGGCTCCAGATCGGTACAGCAACAGCCGTTATGCTCACTTGGGGAGTGAATTATCAGACAGAAGATCTTCCCTGCCTCTCCTCCTCTCTGTATATCTGACTGCAATAAAAATAATCTTTAAAAAAAATAAGTCAATCTTAAAGAAAAAATAAAGGCATGTCCCTTAAAATTGTTTCTAGTGAAAAATTTTAATAGGAACACAATGGCACTGCCTTGTGTTTTCAATAAATTAAGAGAAAAAAACTGAAGCAGTTGGGACTTGAATTGGTGCCAATATGGGATGCATAGGAGGATTAGCTGGCAACACCACCGGGCTGGCCCCAATACCATGCACTCTTATCCAGTTCCCTGCAGGGTGACATCTGGGGTGCTACGGTATTGCCAGGGTGTTAACACTGATATTTTGGATGCAGAGATTCTCCCAGGATCCCCTCAATCCTTGGCACTGCCCTCTGTGACCAGGCCCACCTCCATCTTCAACCTTGCCAACCTCTCCTTCGCTCTCCTTTCCTGTAACTCTGCCATGTGAAGGACATGCAAAAATCACAATCCACACAGCACTGCCTTCTGGACTGTTCTGTCCCCCGGTGTGACTCGGAGATTTGGGTGCGGTGCGCCTCAGCGGCCTGTCCCTTTCATGGCCAGCTGTGCTCCCTGCACGGATGACCCGCAACCAGTCACCACTCTGCGCTTCCAGCTCGCCCGAGTCTGAGAAAAATGGTTGGGAATACTCACAGATACACCGTGCGAGCACAGGGTGTCACTCTCTGCCACCAACACCCAGGGGTGCAATCACTGGGCTAAGCATTTAGGTCAAGAAACTGCCAACCAGGGGTGGGCACTGAGCCATGAGGTAAGGTCCGGTTCAGGATGCCCGTGTCGTGGCTTACATGGTCTCGGTGTGACGCCCCCGATCTCGCACTGTGGCCCCAGGATTCTAGCTAGTTCCCTGTGGACACGGACCTGAGGGAGCAGCACCTGATGGCTCAGTTACTGGGGTCCCTCCTACCCATGTGGGGCACCTGGGTCAAATTCCAGGCTCCTGGCTTTGGCCTAGCCCAGCTCTGGTCTTTACTGGCTTTTTGGGAGTGACCCAGAAAGTAGAAAATATCTAGCAAATTTAAAAAAAATTTAAGTAACTAAGAGTGAAAAACAGATGCCAAACATCATCAATAAGGCTCTTTAGAAGTCACTCTTCCAGCTGGAAGTAGGCAGGACAGAGGAAACTCCTAGAATGACCAGATCTGAGGGACGTAGCTGCAAGGCGGCTGGCCATAGGGAAGCCTTTCATGGGGATGGAATTCACGGCCACTCCCCTCACGCCTTGGTCTCCTTGCTCCTGGCTGTGGCCCTTGGGGGGGGGGGAAGGCATCCCATCACTGCCAAATACACCCTAAAGACCATCAAGCTCTAGTGGGCGGGCGAGGAGCGTCACCACTGACCCTCTGAGATGCTGGGAACCTGCTTGCCGCCAGTTCCTAGAGCAGAGCAAACCACCGTACACTCCGCTGCAGTTGTCTGCAGATGCTTCATAGTTCAGTGAGAATATAACTCCATAGCATCCCTGAGCACCCCGGAGCGAAAGAGACAGAAACTCTGCAAAGATGAGAGCTGAACCCCCGCCCGCAGAAGCAAGGCTTCTGCAACAAGGTCACCACCGCGCCAGGCACACCTCCTCACCTGTTTCCCGGGATGCCACATCCTCCCTCCCTCTCCCATTCTTCCCTGTGAGTGCGGGGGTGTGGCCCCCCCCAGAAGACAGTCAGCTTTTCCATGGCCCCCCAACTCTGTCCCGGTCAAGACACCAGTGGGACAGCGAGGCTCTGTATGGGGCGCACGAAGATGTCTCCGCAAGCACACACAGCCTCCCTCTCTCATCAGTATCACAACCAAGGAGTCCCGATCCGGCCCATCTCACTCCTATCCCACACGGGCCCTCTCTTTAGGGTGACCTCTAAAACTTGGGGTCTTTGGTGGCACTAGCTGTCACTCACCAACTTTGCAGATGAGGTAATGTCTACTGGTGCACGAGTCCTCTTCCAGCCTGGTCCGCCCCGACGTCTTGGACACCAGAGTGCAGTTGACCAGCAGTGGGCGGGCAACGCTGTCTGTGGAAAGACACCCAGATGAGCCTCACGAATACGGAAACCACACCTGACTGGCTTCAACAGACGGAAAACAGGCCGTCCCTGCCTGCTCCCGCCTTTAGCTGGTTGTTTGTTTTTTTCTGTCACAAATATCAGGATGGATGTAAGCCTGATGTTAAAGATGTTACGAGTGATAAATAGCACTTGGGTTCTTCAAAAGCAAAACCACTGCACAGCATTTTGCTTCTATTTAGGTAGCAAAGATCAAAGATATTTCTCATTTTTGCATTAGGAAAATTGGAGCCAAATATAATGAGACAGTTACCCTGAAGAAAAAAACCTGTCAAACTTCCTTCCCTGGGCCAGATGTTAGGTCTACAGGCCCAGACATCTGCGTGCCTGCCTCTGAGCACTGGCACTGGCTCCGGATTCCAGTTTCCTGCCAGTGTAGGCCTTGGGAGGCAGCAGGTGGTAGGTCAAGGAATTGGGTGCCTGCCGGCCACGTGGGCCATGTGAATTAAGTTAATGGCTCCTGGATTTGGCTTGGAGGCACTTGGAAACTGAACCAGCAGGTGGAAAATCTCTTTCTCCCTTTCATAAATAAAACTTAAAAATCCCTTTTCCCCTTTAGGATCCTATACAATGCCTCTATTAAGATGTAGAAGCTTCCCCTCCCCTTTGCTACACAAAGCAAAGGATATAACAGGGCCACGAGGGGGATGAGACAAAGGGACCCATTTTTGGTTAAGCTTGTTTTTCTGCTCCCCTCCCATAATAAAACTTGAGGAAGTTTCCTTCACAAACCCTGGAGCCTTACCTGAGTGCTTTTCCTGCGGCTCGCTCAGGGGCACCGACTTTTGCCCGATCCACCATTTGGTCCCTTCTTCCAGGGAGTCCTGGATGAAGCCGGGAGTGTTCTGGTTCCAGTCATCAGGGAGGTGTCCCCCACGGTTACGGTTACGACAGTAACTTTCAGCTCCCTCTAGGGTGACCTTCAATCTGTGGAGCTGGTAACACTCCCTCTCCCCGCCATGCCCCAGGACCAGAGCTGTGCTGATGCAGAACCAAAGCCAGCTCCTTGGTGTGGGCAGCATTTTCTCCGTGGACAAGGAGCGGGAAAGCGCGTGTGGGACATCGCAGCTGCCTAATCCTTTACATAGCTCTCTGCTCGAGGGTGTGTCTCGCTCCTCGCTATCCTTTTGAATAGGGAATCGTCTGCCAAGGGTACAAAAGAGTTCTGCTCTGATTCCTCCCAAGGACCCACATGGAGATCTGCAAGCTGAATGCAAACAGCAGAGTTCAACAAGACATGGGCCTGGACAGCTGCGCCGGCGGCACCTGTGTCTACAAACCAGCTAGAGACACCAACCACAGCATCAAGCCCAGACAGCCTGAATGGCTGGCAAACTGATACATTTATTTATTTATTTCAAAGAAAATATGCTTACAGACTAACAAGAGTTTTCAAAGATCGGTGTCTTTGTGTACAGAAGTGAATGACAGGGCCCAGCGTGGTAGCCTAGTGGCTAAAGTCCTAGCCTTGCACACGCTGCTATCCCAAAGGCCCCGCTTCCCATCCAACTCCCTGCTTGTGGCTCGGGAAAGCAGTCGAGGACAGCCCAAGGCTTTGGGATCCTGCACCCATGTGGGAGACCTGGAGGGGGCTCCTGGCTTTGGGTTGGCTCAGCTCTGGCCATTGTGGCTGGTTGGGGAGTGAACCACCGGACGGAAGATCTTCCTCTCTGTCTCTCCTCTTCTCTTTTTGCCTTTCCAAATAAATAAATAAAATAAATCTTAAAAAAGAGTGAGTGACAGAACTGCCACACACACTAAAAAATGGAGACCTGTGTAGCCTTCCTCTCAGGGGTTTGGGTTTTTGCCCAGAGCCTGCACATCCACGGGTTTGGCCGGGTCCCCTGTAGGGGACAGTGCAGCCCCCGGTCCTCCCGTGGACTTCTGCCTCTAGTCCCAGGCATCCCCCACGCCCCATCCCCGGGATGCTCACTGCACTGTGCTGCTTCCACGCGTACAATCCTGTGTGCAGTGTGCCGTGCAGTTCTCACACAGCCGTGACGGCCAGAGGCGCCCCGCTCAATGCAACAATGAACAACACAAGGTCAACATCAACAAAACCAAAGCCAACACAATGCACCTTCTACCGACTCAACAGTGGACACACACAGTTCGGGCTTGGGACCCTTTGGCTGCAGCATGTGGCTTGCTTTCTATGCCGCAAAGCCTTTGTTCTCACAGCATAGCCTTTGGTCTTTACCTGGGACACACCTGCCATCTGGTGGCACAGCTTGCTCGCTTCCTTGGGGAAAGTCTTTACAAATGCAACCACAGACTGCTGGGCAGTTTCCCGTCAGCACATCTGCCCACATGGAGCTCACGCAGCTTCTTCATGCCATCCCGGACATGGACACCAAAATGAAAAAGGTCTCTGAAGCCCGGGTCCCTGTTTGACTAAGAGTGCAAGAGCCAGCTGCCAGAACAATGCGGTACAAACCTTAAATGTCCAAAAAGCTCAACACCCTCGGATGACACCGAGTGGCTGGTCCCCATCCCGGATCCTGATGCGGCGGGGCTGCTGGGAGGGGCCCTTTTACGATCCCATCCCCTCTGCCCAGTACAGAAAGGAAAAAAAGCGGAGGCAGTTGTCTCATTCACCTGCCCCAATTCCCTCACCTTTCCCACCTTTCCCAGTGGTCCACATGGGCATACATCCTTCTCAACTATGTAAACATCATCAAAGATAAACAGCAAAAAATCTATCATTTGGAAATAAAAGATGCAATGAAGGAAGATGGTGAGACAGGCCATCAGAGCGATACTGCCAGAACTGCCAAGGGCCAGTTGAGGAAGAAGTGACTGCCCCACAGATTCGAAAGGGAGACAGAGATGGGGCTCGGGAGGAAGGCTGCAGGAGCCGGAAGCTGCTCTGTGAAGAGCACATTTTGCTTGCAAGGTTTCGGAGGAGCGCCGACCCTGACCAGCACTAGGCCACCACTTGATGAGGGGTGCCTTTTCTTTTTTTCATTGGAAAGGCGGATATACAGAGGAGAGAGAGAGAGAGCAAGATCTTCTGTCAGATGGTTCACTCCTCAAGTGGCCACAATGGCTGGAGCTGAGCCAACCCGGAGCCAGGAGCCAAGAGCTTCTTTCAAGTCTCCCGTGCAGGTGCAGGGTCCCAAAGTTTTGGGCCGTCCTCAACTGCCTTCCCAGGCCACAAGCAGGGAGCTGGATGGGAAGCGGGGCCTTTGGGGGGCCTTCAGGATTAGAACTGGTGCCCATATGGGATCCTATAGCATTCAAGGCGAGGACTTTAACTGCCATGCTATTGCGCTGGGCCCGAGGGATGCTTTTTATGCGTTCAAACCTTACAGTATCTGTCCCTAATGCACAAACACGTAATGCATGTTTCATAAAACAGAACTTTTAAAGGCACACAGGGAGGGAGAGAAAACAACGTCTCACTTGTTGGCTCACTCTTCCGAAGTCTCCCCCATCCCTGCCCCTCCTCAAGGGGAGGGAGCTGCTGTGGTGGCATAGCAAACTAATCCTCTGCCTACAGCACAGCGATCCCGTGTGGGGGCTGGTTCATGACCTGACTGCTCCACTTCCCACGCAGCTCCCTGCTTGTGGCCTGGGAAGGCAATAGGGATGACCCACAGCCTGGGGACCCTGCACCCACACGGGAGACCCAGAAGAGGCTCCTGGCTGCTGGCTTCGGAGTGGCAGAGCTTTGGCCATTGTGACCATCTGGGAAGTGACCTAGTGGACAGAAGATCTTTTTGTGTCACTCCTTCTCTGCAAAATCTACCTTTCAAATGAAAATGTTTTTACATTGGAAATTTAGATTTACAGAGAGAAGAAGAGGCAGAAGGATCATGTCTGATTTATTCCCCAAGGGGACGTAACAGCTGGAGCTGAAGCCAGGAACCAGGAGCCTCTTCTTGGTCTTCCATTTTGGTGCAGGGTCTCAAGGTTTTAAGCCATCCTCTGCTGCTTTCCCAGACCACAGCTGGGAGCTAGAAGGGAAGTAGAGCAGCCAGGATACAAACTGGTGCTCGCATGGGATCCCAGCACATACAACGTGAGGACGTTAGCCACTAGGCTACCGCATTGGACCCAAAAATAAAATCTTAAAAACAGAGGGACTTTTCAGAGTCACAAGTTCCATTTATTCATTCATTTATAAAGTCCACCTGGCTCCCAGTCTCTCCACAGCCAGAAATAAAGCTCTGAGCTGAACTCCCCATCCAGGACTCCCACAAGGGAAGCAGGAACCCAGCAAGGGAACCTCGCTGGCTGCCTCCCTCAGCGTACCATCAGGAGGCTTTGCTAGTTGCCTTCTGCTAAGGCAATCTCGTAGTGATGTCACCTGCAAAGCCCACCCAGGCCCGTACCCACACGTGCCTCAGTCCTTTCCATGTAGAGCACAAGCAGCTCAAATGAAACAAACCAATACACCTACCCACCCAGCCGCCCTCGGTGAGAATGTGCTGAGAACAAACACTGAGGCAACACCTTGTCAGGATGGGATGCGAGTCGATTGAATGGATTTACTCCAAAGTGTGAAAGCAGGGCTAAGTTCCTAAGCACAACTACTCGGTCGCACATCGAGCATGTAAATTATCACAGACGCTTCTCAAAACGTCACCGCGTCCGCACATATCGTCCGATCAGATACTTCTGTGCAGGGGAGAAAACTGAAGACACCGACTGTGACATCAAAAATGCTCCTGTTAACTCCCGCCCCCACCCCCGTCTTATTTAAAAAAAATTTATTGGAAAGGCAGATTCGCAGATAGAGGGAGAGACAAGACAAAGATGTTTAATTTGCTGGTTCACTCTCAAGTGGACACAACAGCAGGAGCGGAGCCAATGCAAAGTCAAGGGCCAGGAGCTTCTTTCCGGTCTCCCATGCGGGCACAGGGTCCCAAGGCTTTGGGCTGCCCAGGACTGCTTTCCCAGGCTACAAGCACAGAGCCACACGGGAAAGGGAGCGAACCTGTGCCCATACCTGATCCTAGTGCTTGATTAGCTAATTGTGCCAAGGTGCTTGCCCCCACCATCCGCTGTAACTCTCACCACAGCTCTGCAAGTATTTCACCTGCTGCAACAGCAGCCAGGAAGCAACTACTGCAGGTGAGGCGTGATCAAGCAAGCCAGGAAGATGCGACTGAAGCCATTCATGCCCAGTGCCTCCACTGAACTAGTACTCCAGCCAGGGCACTGCTGACTAAGCGACCAACGCTGCTGACCGGGCCACCGCTCTGGGCAGGACACACTCGGTCAGCACACCCAAGCCCAAGCTCACTGCCTCGCCAGCATCCTGGTTGGAAGAACAGGTGCTCTGTTTGGTGCTGCATTGGGATGCCAGCCGGAATGCCAGAATCCCACCAGCGCACTCCCTTCCCAGTTCTTCCTGGGACAGAGGGATCGAGTTTCAAGCTTCTGCCCCAGGCCAGGCACTGCTGGGTATTTAGGAAGTAAACAAGCACTCTCTCAAAAGTGGCGAAACTGGGGTTGTCATCCACCAGACACTCAGACACTCAGGGCCTAAGAAAATGTGTACATTTCTCTTAAAATCTGAATTAACTTGAGCTTGCAAGCAGAAAATAAAGGCTTAACTAAAACATACCCCTAGTGTATATTCATCATACCAACATAGTAAAGTATTTCAAGCTGGCAAATAAGAACTGTAGGTATATATGATACAACAGGATCTGAAACCATACTTTAAAACACGTTCCTTTGGAAAGGATGGGGCCTTGGCCACACGGACGTGGCGGCCTGAAGTTGCCTAACAGTCCCTCCCGCGGCCCCAGGTCCGGAAGCCCCCTAGGCAACCTCGGAGTCGTCCGGGCATCTCGGAGGAGCCCCGGCGCGCAGCCACCTCGCGTCCCTCAGGCTGCGCAGGCGCGTTCCCGACCAATCAGAACCTCCGGGGGCGGAGCCGGATGTTCCCCCCCGCGACGCCCGCTTCTCTCTCCTGTCCCGCTATTGGTGGACCGGTGCCGCGTCGGCGATGTGGGCGGGGCCGGCCCGTCTCCACCAATGGCGGCGCACTCGGAGCAGGCCCCCGGCACGAGGCAGCATGGCGTGGAGACAGCTGAGGGTGAGCGGGGCCGTGGGCTCGGCGCGCGGGCGGAGGGTTCTGGCCGGCGTGGCGGGCTGGGTGGGCCCCGGCACGGAGCGGGTGCCCGGTGCCGATCGGCACCGCAGGGGTCCCGGCTAGCCTGATCCCGTGCCCTGACTGCTCCAGCCGCCCCTGGCCGGGCTCCCCCCGGCTTTCTCGGGCTTCGTTCTCTCTGGGAATTAACTTGGGTCTTTAAAAAATTTTTTCTTTACAGCTGTTATATTTGCATGGCCACCGATTTACCTTTATTAGAAATAAGAAAAACACGAAGATTACATTTTCGTTCCAAGTCACAATATCCTATTTGGGATATAAAAATGAATTTATAGTAAAAGAAAATAACATTTATGTCAGTGTCAGGCTGGACGCCTCGCCGTTCCCGCGGGGCTTAGTCAATCAGGCCGAGTGGTGCAGCGTCAGACACCGGGAGGTGGCCTGCAGGGCCAGGCTGTCCCCCAGGCTGTCCCCCAGGCTGCCCACCTGTCTCAGGAACTGCCAGCTCCCTGTCCACTGGGGCGGTTGGCATTGCCGGCACTGCAGCCAGCTCCCCCAGGGGGAAGCACTGCCCTCTCAGAAGCTTGGGGCCCAGGGTAGGCGCTTCCACACCGGAGGGTGCAGGGCCTGGGCTGGTGGGCAGTCCCCTGACTGGCTCCCTGTCTTCCAGAGGCGGGCCCTGGACGCCGCGGTCATCCTGGGGGGTGGAGGCCTGCTCTTCACCTCCTACCTGACGGCCACTGGGGATGAGCACTTCTACGCAGAGCACCTGATGCCGGCCCTGCAGCGGCTGCTGGACCCCGAGACAGCACACCGGCTGGCCGTGCGCGTCACCTCCCTGGGACTCCTGCCTCCAGCCAAGCAGCAGGACTCCGAGATGCTGGTAGGTGCTACCAGCACACGTTAGGTCGGGCGCCAGGGAGCTGGGGTCCTGCCTTAGGGAGTTCAGGCACTGCCCAGGGTCACCCATGACTGGCAGGACAGACTTGGACAATGGTGGCTGGATCTGGCAAGCAGGCCAGCAGCCGTGCTCCAGCCTTGCTGAGGTTCTGGGTGGCTTACTTGCCCCTCTGCCGAGTAGGGCAGCCCTCAGCCCTCTAAGGGGTGCAGCTGGGCTGAGCCTGCCCGGGACGCAAGGCGCAGACACCTGCCTTGGCCCATCAGCTCAACAGTCCACACCTGCGCCTCCGCCAGCCAGCTCCAGGTGTGGGCCTTGCGGTGCCCTGGAGTTGAGCAGCATGGAAGGCGGGGGTGGGGGCCCCCCCCCCCCCCACGGTGTCCTCAGGCATGCCCTGGCTGCATACAGTGAGCCCCTCAGTGGGGACCATGGGTCCTGGGGTGACGGTTAGGAAGCACTCAAGGTCGCCAGCAATGGGTCCCATCTACTTTCTCCCTTAGACTGTGGTCCCTGTCTCTGACCCCCGCTGAGCCCCTGAGGTAAAGGCGCTGCAGGCGGACAAAGCACCACTTTCCTTACCCCAGACTGCTCCTGGGGAAGCCCTGGGACCAGTGTGGGGTGCAGACACCCAGGTTCTGCCTCGCCTTGGTGGTGGGAAGGCCCTGCTTCCTCTGAGCCGGCCCTAGGCACCTGTGTGTGCGTAGCCCTGGCTGGCAGCAGTGCATCCGGGCAGAGTCCAAGCTTGCCAGGGCACACCCTGGCCCCCTGGCAACTCTCACCCAACCCAGCCTTCTGGTTGTAGCCCCCCAGCTCTTCTCTGGGGTCCTGCCCCGCAGTCACAGCTGGGTGTTGGAGCCTGCGGTCACCTCTGGTGCGGCCAGGAGCCCTGGCTGTCTGCTACAGTCGTGCTTGCCGGGTCTCAGGGTGGGGCCTGCTCGCCGCCAGGGCAGCCTGTCCCGTGGCCCGCTCCGTCCCCACAGAGCCCCTCCTGCCAGCTTCCTGGTACCTGCCTGGCCACACCCGAGCTTTCTCCTGCCTTTGTGCGTACGGTCCGCCTTCGCAGCCCTTACCTCTGGCATCGCTTTGGAGCTCTTCGCTGGCTTCCCCGGTGCTGCCCGCGCTGCCCTTGGCTGCAGGAGCTGTCTCCTCGCCACGCCCAAAGGGGCCTTTTATCAGCTAGGCTGAGGGGCGGCAGCTGGGGAGCGTAGCTAGGGCTTGCTTCAGCTGATTAAAGGTTTAGCTCTGTGGATTCCTAGCAGCCCTGCTAGGAGACTTGAAGGCATGCCGTGAACCGTGACTGGAGTTCTCCTGGTCTCCTGTCCAGTCCACGGTGGAGACAGCTCCCCTGAGCCTTGGGGTAACACAGTGTTGGGGTTCACCAACCCTAACAGGCAGCAAGCCACCTGCCCCTGCCACGCCCACTCTCCGGATCTGAGTTTTGAGGTGCTTCATAAGCTCCCCAAGGACATTCTGGAGTGAGCTGGGGTACCAGGGACCGCACCCTGGGACACGCTGGGATAGCCTCCTGTCTTTCCTTCCCAGGAAGTGAGAGTCCTAGGCCACAAATTCCGAAACCCGATAGGCATTGCTGCTGGATTTGACAAGCATGGGGAAGCCGTGGACGGCCTGTATAAGATGGGCTTCGGCTTTGTCGAGGTTGGAAGTGTGACCCCAAAGCCTCAGGAAGGAAACCCAAAACCCCGCGTCTTCCGCCTCCCTGAGGACCAGGCTGTCATCAACAGGTAGGCCCGTGGGTGCCCAGTTAACCAGGGGTCCTTCTCGCCAGCCAGGCTTGTTTCTAGTATGGGGTTGGAAGGATGTTTTTCTGTCATTTGGAATGTTCAGGAGCCCCTTTGGGGTGTCTGCCCAGTGCCGGTCAGGCTGGCTTACTTGCATTGCACACAGAGCTGAGCGGCTTAGCTGCAGTCCTGGAGCCACCGCCTGGTGGAGCTGTGCCTGTCGGAAGTACCCTGCCCCTTCTCCAGGCCGGCAGCTCCTGTGTCCCTCCCCAAGGCTGGCCCTGCAATGTATGTACAGTAATTCTAGTGACTACATTGAAACAGAAAAAAGAAATAACATGGAATTAATTTTAATAAATTATATTAACCATTATTTGCAATTATTGTGTTTTATGGACATGTAATATATATTTAAAAGTTAGGATTTTTAAAAAGATTTATTTTATTTTTATTGGGAGGTCAGATATACAGAGAGGAGGAGAGACAGAGAGGAAGATCTTCCATCCTCTGATTCACTCCCCTAGTGGCCATAACAGCCAGAGCCAAGCTGATCCGAAGCCAGGAGCTCGGAGCCTCCTCTGGGTCTCCCACATGGTACAGGGTCCTAAGGCTTTGGGTCGTCCTCGACTGCTTTCCCAGGTCACAAACAGGGAGCTGGATGGGAAGCAGGGCCGCCGGGATTAGAACTGGTGCCCATATGGGATCCCGGTGCGCTAAAAGTGAGGACCCTAGCCGCTGGCCTATCACACTGAACCCTAAAAGTCAGCATTTTAGTGTAGGACCAGACAAAGAACCGACTTCTCTACTTTTACCTGCACCAATCTTCCAAAGCCAGTGTCCGATCCCCTAGCATCTCTCGTGTTGGACAGGTAGCCCGGCCTTCAGGGGACAGGGCAATCCCACAGTGAGGACACACAGCCACTTTCAGTGAGAGAAGTCCTTGCAGGTGTAGTGTCTGTCCCTTGTCCTCCCTGGGCAGGTCTGATTGCAGCAAACCAAGAAAGGAGACCAGACCCTCTTTGGTAAGAGTTTGAAAGCACCTGTTCTTGTGGGTGAGGGGACAGGACAGGAGACCCAGAAAGGGGGAAGACAGACCATGCTCTGATGTGTTAGCTTACCCCAAAAAGGCCAACAAATGGCTGGGAGCGTACCAGGCCGAAGCTGGGAATGCCCTTCAGGAGCCCCACGTCCAGGACAGGGGCCTGATTACTTGAGCTTCCTGGCTGACCCCATGGTCTGCATTAGCAGGTGGCTGGACTCAGGCACGGGTGGGCGTGAACCCCGGGGGCTCTACAGCACCAAGGTGCCTTACTGGCTACACCACATGCCCTCCTCCTCCTCCTCGGGGCGCTGCGAGGCCTTTGGGGAGCCTGAGCTGTTGGGAGAGCCTGCTGCTCTACTGTGCTTGTTTCAGGGCAGTTTTCCAGTGTTAGAGAGAATTGATACCTTCAGAACTGGCCAGGCACACTACAGGAGGGGGCCTTTGAAACACAATCTGTGTACAGCGTTTATCACGAAAAAGCTGTGCATGGATCTGTGCACCAAAATAAACATGTAATTCTGTTTTTGAAGCACCTCGCGTACATCCTGAGCAGGAGGAGGGTATCAAGGCAGCTGTGCCACTGCACGGGGAAGCCTGGGGCTGGGACAGAAGGGAGCACTGTATCTAGGCCAGGAAGGGGGCCATCTGAGGGCACAGGAAGGGTGTCAGGAGGCCAGCTGGGGAAGTGCACAGTCACCAGAGGAAGGAATATGGCTCGGGAAGTGGGATCTGGGCAGGGCAGCTCCTGCTGAGGGGTGCCAGCTGTTTGTACTACTAGGGCTGAGCAGCTTGTCTGCACATTTTAGTCTTCCCTTTGTGCTTGATCATGCTCTGGAAAGTTCTCTGGGAGTCCCAGGGATGCTGAGACTGGAAGTGAATGAACTAATTCTAGTGTGTGTATGTGTTCAGAGAGACAGTATGAGGAAGGGAAAGTGGGTTCTTCTATCTGTTGGTTTACTCTCCAAATGCCCACAGTGGCTGCCTCCAGGAGCCTAGCACTCCAGCCAGATCCCCTGTGTGGATGGTAGGGTCTCGGGTACCTGAGCCTTTGCCTGGTACCTCCCAGGCATTAACAGGAATCTGGAATTGCAGCAGAGCTGTGACTGGAACCCGGGCACTCCAGTTCGGAACGTGGGCGTCCCAAGCAGCGTCTCACCCTGCTTCTGTTTCCCTGTCGTAAATACATGGTGGAAATGGCCCTGGCGGTGCTGGCTCTGCAGCACTCGGCCTGCTCATCTTGCCTTTTCCTCTGTGTGATGCAGGTACGGATTTAACAGTCACGGGCTCTCGGTGGTGGAGCACAGGTTACAGGCCAGGCGGCAGGTGCAGGCCATGCTCACAGCAGGTAAAGTGCGGCTGTGCTGGGGGAGCTTTCTTCACTGTCCAGGAGGGAAAGTGGGAGAAATGTTGGGAACAATCCTAGCCAAAGAAACGCGCCTGGGTGATACATGGAAACCACCAGGGACCCGGGAGCCTGACCTGGGGGGATGGGCCTGGCTCCACCACAGCCTCTGAGGTTGTCATGGAGATGTACAGTCCAGCAAGGGCTCAGCCTTTTAACTCATTTTGTAATATGTTATCATGGCTTACCTGGCTCGGGAGGGCAGAGCCATGCATGGACAGTGAGGATGTGAGCAGAGCTGAATGCCGTTTTCCCGTGTCCTGCTCTGGTGTCCTGTCCACTGTAAAGATAACATTAATTCCAGAAGGGTTAGGAAATGGAGAGCAGCATAAAGCAAAAGTTCTCACATGCAGTCTCACTCAAGGATAACTGCAAAAAAAAAAAAAAGAAAGATGGCGTTAAGATGAATTTATTTGGGTGCAAAAGCAGTTGAAATCTGTGGATTTTTAGGTAAGGAGGCTGGCTGTGCTAACATAGGTGTAAAATGAGACACTTTTCAGAATCACCGGGCCATCCTGTTGATAAGTGGGCCCTTTTAATGCAGGACCTGCGCTCTGCCGAGACAAGACTTCCAAGCAGAGGCAAGTGTAAGGTGCACAGTGCAAACAGCATTCATTTCAGATCACCAGTTCTTTGTTCTTTTGGCTTCTCTAGTGCTGGTTAGATTTAACAGCGAAAAGGGCGAGACGTGGTAGGACGTCCTTGCAGTTGCCCCGACCTTGTGATCCACGGGCAGTGTGCTGCTGTTTGGGCAGCAGGTGGCAGTGCCATGCCGTGGTTCACAGTGTCGGCAGGTGTGGGCAGGCTCAGGTTGGGAGGTGGTTAGTGACTTGTGCTGTCAGTGCTGGCGCCTAAGGACAGGTGCGGGGCCTGTGCCACTTGCAGAAGGGATGCCACTGGGCATAAACCTGGGGAAGAACAAGACTTCGGTGGATGCTGCTGCGGACTACACCGAGGGCGTCCGGGTCCTGGGCCCGCTGGCCGACTACCTGGTGGTGAATGTGTCCAGTCCCAACACGGCTGGGCTGCGGCGGCTGCAGGGCAAGGCTGAGCTGCGCTGCCTGCTGACCAAGGTGGGTAGTTGCTTTTCTGTGTGTTCATTCCCCCACCTGTCCCCTCCTGCAGTGGAAGCTTAGCATCACTGGCCGTCCTTAACCCTGGGCCCACTCTGCCCTTCCGGAGCACCCTAGGGCCCCTGCTGGCAGTTGCTCACGTGCTGTCATATAACTGCCCAGTGACCTGTGTCTGTGGCTGCCAGCCCTGGAGTCCAGAGAGCAGGGACCTTGACTGCCGCCTGTCGCTGTCCCACAGCCAGCCCAGTGAGGGAACTGCGTGGTAGTAGGGACAGGTATTTCCTTGTTGGACTCTAGGGGGAAAGTGACCTGTGCAACCTTGAGGTAGAGGTGATGCCAGTGGGAATCCCTTGATTCCGCACACTTGAACAAGGTCCACGTGATGGGGGCTGTGAGACCACCGAGGGCTGAGGTTCCCTGCCTGGCTGCCCGCTGGGGGTCCTCACCTCTGGACCTTTTGTGGCCCTAGGTGCTGCAGGAGAGGGATGCCCTGAAGGGGCCACACCATCCAGCGGTGCTGGTGAAGATCGCCCCTGACCTCACGGCCCAGGACAAGGAGGACATCGCCAGCGTGGTGAGAGAGGTCCGTGTGGGGTGGCCCCTGGCCGGCGGGCTGGCGTCACGATGGCAGCGTCTGTGGTTGCCTGCATGATGAGAAGGCTGTTGGTGCCTGTGATGATGTGGTGACCTGCTTCCTTCGGTGTCTCCCTCCCCAGGCCTCTAGGGCATAGGAGGGCAGTGGAAACAGACTGAGCCCAGCAGTCGTGGGTTCAAACCCCAGTCCCACCACTTCTTTCCTGGAACCTGGCCCAGCACACTGTTAGGTGGGTGGTTATAAGGATCAGACGCGGTGCTCGTGGCATGTTCCAGGGGCTCAGGATGGTGGCAGCTGGTGTCACGCTGAGCTGAGGAAGGCCAGCAGGATGAGGGCTGGGGCACCTGTGGGCTGCAGGAATCCCCGGCTGTTGCCTCAGCCGTCCTGGGAGGTTTCTCTGAGCACGTCCGCCATGACTGCTGGCTTTGCTCTGTCTCTTGCAGGTGGGCGTCGATGGACTGATCATCACCAACACCACAGTGAGCCGTCCCGCCTGCCTGCGGGGCGCCCTGTCCTCTGAGGCCGGAGGGCTGAGCGGGAAGCCACTGCGGGATTTATCCACTCAAACCATTCGAGACATGTACACACTCACTGAAGGCAAGCCTTCTGGGGTCTGGGTTATGGGATGGGCTCCTGGGCTGTACCTGGAACCCGTGGAGTGCAGGGCCTCACGCCCCTTGTCTCCATGTTTCCCTGTGCTCCCCTGCAGGCAGGATCCCCATCATTGGAGTGGGTGGAGTCAGCAGTGGGCAGGATGCGCTGGAGAAGATCCAGGCCGGGGCCTCCCTGGTGCAGCTGTACACGGCCCTCACCTACGGTGGGCCACCCGTGGTGGGCAGAGTCAAGCGCGAGCTGGAGGCCCTTTTGAAGTGAGTGTGACTGAGCATGGCTTGACTGGGGACCTGGGAGTCGCTTCCGGTGCCTTGAATACAGAGGATGCACTGAGATGTCTCTGTGTTCCTCATTCAGGAGGGCCTTGAGGGGTATATTCAGGACATGGGGGGAATCACGTTACTATTCTCATAAAGGACAAGCAGTGCCACGGGAATTCAGAATTCACACCCAGGGCAGGCCTGAGGACGCCTGGTAGAAATAAGTCCAGCCAGGGAACCTTTTTCTGCCAAAGGCCATTTGAATAGAACATGATTCATGGGCCACACAAAATCACCAGCTTGAGAATCAGCCTGCTTAAAAAAATTAGCCTGCTCTGTGTTAACTGAGTTTTGAGCCCTGCCTGCATTTGCCAGGCCATGTGATTTCAAGGGCAGCCTTAGGCCAAACGCCCCCAGCCCTGCATAGATGGTTACCTAGGTTCCAAAGTGAGGGGGTTGTTGGTACTTGGTTCCCGTCCTACACAGAAGCCATGGCTGGGTGAAGACTGCAGAGAACACCCATGCGATGCCCCTGGGATGGGGCAGGGCAGATGTCACCATGCCTGGGGCGTCCTGTTAGAGCAGGCCCATCGGCCGGACTTGTTTGTTTTCTGTGCTTCCAGAGAGCAGGGTTTTCACAGAGTCACAGATGCCATTGGAGTGGATCACCGGAGGTGAGGAAGTTGACCGACGAAGTCCAGCCTGGGACCTTTGTGTAAACTCAGATGAGCCTTTGTGGCCAGACCACAGAGGAGGGGCTGTCGTACGTCTTGTCCCTGAAACTGTGGCTGACCGGGCTGTGAAGGCCAGTCATGGGATCACCCAGCTGAGCAGAAGGCATTCTCCAGTCGCTTGGTCAGACCACGAACTTCAGCCATTATGGCAAGGATACTGGACATCTGGAGAGAAAAATCATTGGAAAAAATAAAGCCATTGAAACCTGAAAATAACCCCTGGCCTTTGCTGAGAGCCGCAGGCCTCACCCACACCATGCAGGTCCTTGCAGGCTGCTGCCTGCTGGGTCTGCGGTGGGCTTCATAGGAACTTGCCTGTCTTTCACTCTTTATTTTTATTTAAGTGTCTAACTTTACTTTGAAAACACTCCAAGAAGAGGCAAGCATACAAGACTTGTACAATGAATCTGTGTGTATGCTTCGCTTTGATTTACCTACCATTAAAATTTTCATACTTGGTTTCTTTATATAACATGTAGATAAAATATTTACATTATTTATACATTTATTATTGCCAGAGCATTTGAGGGTCAGTTGCAACCATCATGACCTTTCATATGTGTGTGCTTCCGTTTGTATTTCCTATGTACACTGATGCTAATTCTGTTTTTGAGAGGCAGACACACACTCACAGGCAGATGTAGAAACAGCGCTCTGTTACTCACTGGTTCCCCCTCTGGCATTGGCCAGGGTGGAAGCTGGACACTGGGTCAGCTGGACCCAACTCAGTCTGGGTCTCCCCTGTGGATGGCTCAGAGCCAATCCTTGGGCCATGACCTGCTGCCGTCTACCAGGGTGCTGAAATTCAAAGTGGAGACAAGGCCTGGTGCAGTAGCCTAGTGGCCAAGGTGCTCTCCTAGCACACGCCAGAATCCCATGTGGGTGCTGGCTCATGTTCTGGCAGCACCACTTCCCATCCAGCTCCCTGCTTGTGGCCTGGGAAAGAAATTGAGGCCGGCCTGAAGCCTTGAGACCCTGCACCCGTGTGCGAGACCTGGAAGAAGCTCCTGGCTCCTGGCTTCAGACTGGCCTCTCACTTCCTACCATAACGGCAGTATGGTACAACGGAGGGATCTTCCCCATCCCCTGGGGCTGGGCCTATTCAAAGCCCCCCGTGATACCTAAAGCCTCATCACGGTGACAGTGACTTGGGTCGGACACTGGGCCCGCGGCTCAGTGCTCCTGTTCATGGTAAGGAAGCAGGGAGGCTGCTAACTTGTTTTGTCATGTTCCTTGGCCAGCAGCAAGCTGTCACAGCTGGCTAATTGCCTTCTCTGGGTCCCCATATTAATTCTCTATTCAAGAAACATCAGTTCCTTGAAGGAGAAACAGGAATGGGTGAAAGAAAGGACCTGAACTTGATGGGGCTGCTCTGAGTCGTAGTCAGAGCCACACTGACTGTTGTCCTGCAGAGTCTGCTGTGGAGTGACTGTCTTTGAAATGTAACAGTTTTAAAAGAGTTACAGTGGTTTAAGAATCTGGGTTGGGGTCCTGGCACAATGGCTTTGGCTAAATCCTTGTCTTGCAAGTGCTAGGATCCCATATGGATGTTGATTCGTGTCCTGGCTGCTCCACTTGCCATTCAGCTCCCTGCCTGTGACCTGGGAAAGCAGCAGAAAATGAACAAAATCCTTGGGAACCCTGTACCTACATAGGAGACCTGAAAGAAGCTTCTGGCTCCTGACTTTGGATAGGCTCAGCTCCAGCTATAGCAACTACCTAGGGAGTGAGTCAGCACATGGATCTTTCGGTATCTCCTCTTCTTTGTAAATCTGCCTTTCCAGTAAAAATAAATAAATCTTAAGGAAACAAAAATCTGGGTTGGCTTTATTTTTGTTTCTAGAATTAGGCAATTAGATAAGTGCCATGACGGGGTGAACAAGAGAGCCTGGTTTTGTAGGCAACTGCAGCTTAAGGAAAGCCAAGGTGAAAGAACAAAAGGTTCTCAAAGTTAGCAAAGATCCGGGTTTAGCAATGATAAAGTAACTGATGGCTAACATCAGGTTATCTTAGGAGACTGCGTAAGAATGAAAGCAGAAAAAACATTGTCATTGCCAGTTGAAACTGGCCTATTTGGGAAGCTGACCTGTAACGTCTCATGGTCTTTCTGAGTATCAGGTGAACAGTTCAGCTTGGTGACTGGGACTTTAGTGTGATTCCATTTTGGTTTCTAGCTTGGGCTGTCGGGGCCTAGTGTGGAAGGTTGGCCCAGAACAGTGGCCTGCTGTAGCTTGTGTTTAACAATGGTGTTTCCAGCAATGAAATATTTTCTGCTGTCAGGAATGGGAACACATTGTCGTGGCTTTGGTAGTTGGATTAATTTGCTGGGCTCTCCTGCGACAGCACATGAGGTGATCCAAACACAGACCCCAAGACCCCCAGGCTGGCAGCAGGGCTGGGTCTTTCTAAAGGCCATGAAGGAAGGACGGTTCCTGGCATCTGTCAGCTAGTGGGTGACATCTCCCTGTGAGTACACACTGGGTTAGGTCTCACCTAATGACATCCTTATAACTCAGTTCCTCCCCTGTTTCAATATAAATGGTTAGTTCCTTCCCTGCTTCAATGAAGATAATTAGTTCCAGGAAACCCCTCCCCTTCTCCCCCTCCCCTAGAGAAGAAGGTATATATATGAGGAGTAAAATAAAGAGGGAGAAGCACTCTTTTCCACCAAGTACATGTGTCCGTGTGTTTCTTGGGCCAGCAGCCCGGAGGCTAGCAGCCCGGCATTCCCAGTCCACCCTCAGGGTTTTAGTGTCATGTCCTGCAGGTCGGGACACTATGCCACACTCTAGCCCCTAGTTTTGCTTTTCCTTTTGTGTTTTTAACCATCACAGAGATTCTGTAGATAGACAGGCTGAAGTCAAAAGCTCAGAAGTTCATCCGGGTCTCCCACATCCCTGCCACTCAGGATGTATTAGCAAGAAACTGGATCAGAGAGTAGCCTGAACTCAAATGGGCACTTCAGTATAGAATCTCCAGTATAGAATCTGAGTGTCCTGGGCCCGGCGCGGTGGCGCAAGTGGTTAAAGGTCCTCGCCTTGCACGCCCGGGATCCCATATGGGCGCCGGTTCTAATCCCGGCAGCCCTGCTTCCCTTCCAGCTCCCTGCCTGTGGCCTGGGAAAGCAGTCGAGGACGGCCCAAAGCTTTGGGAACCTGCACCCGCGTGGGAGACCCAGAAGAGGCTCCTGGCTTCGGATCGGCATAGTATCGGCCCGTTGCGCTCACTTGGGGAGTGAATCATCGGACGGAAGATCTTCCTCTCTGTCTCTCCTCTCTGTATATCCGCCTCTCCAATAAAAAAAAAATAATAAAAATAAATCTTTAAAAAAAAAAAAAAGAATCTGAGTGTCCTAAGTGGCAGCTTAGCCTTCTCTTCCACAACACTTATCCCTCCATTTATTTTTAATTACTTGAAAAGGAGAGACAGAGATCTTTTGTGTGCTGGTTCACTCCCCAAATGCCCGTAATAACCAGGGCTAGGGCAGGACAAAGCCATGAGCCAAGATATCTATCTGGCTCTCGTACATGGGTGGCAAGAACCCAGGTACTCGGCCATCGCCTGCTGCCTTTTGGGAATGTTAGCTGGAAGCCTGGAGGAGTCGGGACTGGAATCAGGAACTCCTTACTTATCGGGTCCACAGTATCCACCATAGCTCCCACTTTTTAAGGGAAGATTGTTGAAGAACTTGTAGACACAGTCCTGTAAGGCAGGTGCCGTGGCAGTGATTAGCCCCTGGACAGATGCGAGTAAGGTCAGTGCTTATCCAGGGCAGCGTGGGCAGCTGGCCGAGGGAGGACCAAGTCTTCCTTGCACGGCTGGCAATTGTTCTGCTCTAGCCAGAGCGTTCTCACCCACTATGGATGCCTCTCTGAAGTAAATTCATGTTCTCTCAGGCATGTGACAGGGTGTGCAGGTTCCTGCTGCTGGGCTGTATCTGGGAGACAGAGGAAGACTCAGAGAAGCTGAGGGCCAAGGTGCAACGTTCTTTCTGAACATTTTTATTTTACTTTATTTGAAAGGCAAAGAGATAAAGGTGGTCCGATCACCGGCTCATCCCCTAAATGCCTGCAGTAGCTAGGGCTGAGCCTGGCCAAGGCCAGAGGCCAAGAATCATTTGAGTCTTTTACACTGATGGCGGGGACCCAGGTACTTGAGTGATCATTTGTTGCTTCCCAGGATATGTGTCTGCGGTGAACTCGACAGTGAGTGGGGTTGGTTCTTGAAGCAGCACTCCCATTTGGGATGTAATCCCCCTTGCAGCATCTTACCCTAAGATGGGTGTAGTGTCCCAAGCTCTGTCCCCGAGCTGCAGTCTGCGCCGCCCGCCTCTAGGTGGCTGACACAAGGATGGGCAGGATGAGGGGGACGGTCAATGCAAACAGTGAGCTGCATTTCTCCAACTTCTATTATAAGACATGTTAGCCAATTAGACAATCTGAAATAGTAAATAGTCAGTCATTATTTTTGTTTGCTGTCTCCACCTGCCTTTACCTATGCTGTGTTCTGAATCACTTCTAATTACTTCACAGCCTGTGTGTGTTCTCCATGGAATCATAAGAAAAGCAAGCATGATTATTGCATATCTTGAATATTTAGCCCATATTCACATGCCTCCTGGTGTCCCGAGTCTCTTCATTGGCCAACCAAGACTTGCCTACATATCTCCTTAGCTTTATTTATTCTAGAATGCTAACATTTGAAGACATCAGCTCCATGGTTTGTCTTGGAGACAGTGTTCTGGGTTCCCAGAATAAATAATCCATTTCTTGACACCTGTCAGAGTTGGGTGTAGTCATATGATCAAGGTGAATTCCGAGAGATTTATATGAAAGTGTTGGGTGGAATTTCTGAGAAGCGTTCTGCTGCCTGGACTGTGGGCAGTTGGAGCCCTGGCAGCCATCCCAGGTCAGAGGGTCAGGCCACTCCCTGGGGGTAACAGAAGTAAAGCGGGGAAAGCTTCATGGAACATCTGACCAGCACTGACTGCCTACTCCCCGACCTCTTTTACTCAAGAAAATAAAACTGTGAGTGCTGACTGCCTATTAATTTGGACATTCTCTCATACCAGGTCAAATTGAGTGTGCACTCCTAAAGAAGTCAGGTAAAGGCCTGCTGTTGGTGTGAGGGCACATGGGCAATAAGCAGCTGTCTGCTTTTCACTGGGTGAGACACTCCTCAGAGCATCCCCTTCCTCTGGGTGCAGCC